AAAAAAAAAAAAAAAAAAAAAAAAAAAAAAAATCGTAGGTGCCTAAAAACTCTCTCAGCAATGAAAACCGACGAACGATCGAAGACTTTCTTTTTTTCGAACACTTCTATATATATATTTTGCTCACTTTTTCAAAAAAGCAAGATAATATGATTTCACGCAGCGAAAAAAGACGCCCAAGTGCGTGAAAGAACAATCGGATGTAAAATTTAAATGAAAAAATACATCAAAATGACGCGTTCCCCCTCCCCCCTCCCCCGGAAAAACGAAAGGACCAAATTTCAAAGACTCCTCTGTGTGAGAGAGAAAGGATCCATTGTATCGCGATTAATTGCAGTCTTGTGTGTGCCGTAGATTAAGCCCCTGTCGAATCATCATTTGTTCTGCGAACAAACACGATCGCGGGATCGGGATCTTGTTTAATAGGTGCTGGATATCGAATGTCGTCTAATGTGTTTTAAAGGTGCCTTCGCTCCACTCGTGTCGCAGCGAAACTCTCGACACTACAGTTTTTACATCCGATCCGTAAAGATGAATCTTGATTTCGAACACGAGTCTTGAGTACAAGCGACGTGTCTTCGTCAGAAATGATCGAAATATTGTTTCCGAACGTTTCGCCGCATTGTTTTTTTCAAGGGGAAAAGCAACAAATTAATGTTTTTTCTTTTTTGTTTCGAAGACACCGCAGGTTGTACAGCCGACGTCTGTGTAAATAATTGTAACATACTTGACAATTGTTGTATAGTTTATCGAGAGAGAACTCTCTCTTGTAATAAACGAAACGTTCGGAGAGCAAATCTGTTTTTCGCAGATTTCGATTACGTCACGGGAAGAGAGAATTGCGTTTTACAATGTGCGCAAGTTCGTCGAAGAATACGCCCATTACACTGGTGCTGGTCTCGAATGTACAAAGTTTGTATCGATAGCATTGAAAGGAAAAATTACAATCGCAGTCAAATTATGTACACATGTGTGTGCGTGTGTGTGTAGTTAATTGCTTCAATGGAGGACGTTTCTTTTTATACGTCCGGCGAAAAAATTGTACAACGCGAAGAGCAAACGATCGGTCTCTAAACCCGGTTTTTGTCTCGTTACGTAACAAAACTATTCTGATTGATAATTTATAAAAAAAAAAAAAGCGAGTAGAACTTCTCTTTCTCTCTCACTCAGTTTCTTCACAAATTTGTGCCGCAGACATTGCGATCCTCGCGATTCAACATGCCCGCGGGAAGCATTGTCCAGTTTTTGCATCTCTCTCTCTCTCTCTCTTTAAGCAACCGCGACCGTTTGCGTTGCGGTTTGTCGCGCACGTGGCGTGGCGTGTTGTACATAAAATATGTATAAAATTATTAAAGATAGAGCGCGTTGGCAAACACACAATGGACAATTGGTAGGAGAAGAAACAAAAAATAAATAAACAAATAAACGGAAGCGTCGACACTCATCGCGAGAGTGCGCGCGCGAGAAGCTCGCACTTAATTAAATCGGCTCGGGCGGAATTGAAGCTTTGCTCTGTGTACATTTTGTAAATAATAAACATACCTTTTTAGATTCTCTCAGTGCGTATATATACAAAAACAAACATGGGTGAGTTTCCTCGTTCATCGACTGATGAATTAGGAAACTCGTCCCCCGTAACGCGACGCAATGACGAGCCAGGATGTAACGGGAAACATCAGAACGAAGGAGATTGTATAAGATATTAGAGAGGAGAATATATACAGGGTGTTCCAAAACCATCAAGAGATATTTTATAACGACGGATTTTTTGAAATGTTCTAAACTGCCGAGGCTGTAACAGATCGCTCGAGTTTTGCGAGGTGTAACGGCTGAAGTGCGGTTGAAAATTGATTCTAGTAAATGGAGAATTTTTCTTTATTGAGATCTTCGAAGTGTTCCGCAACAACGCATTTGAGATCATCGCACACACGAGTAATTAAATCACAGACAGATATTATTTGTCAAATATATGTTAGGACGAAATGTCTCTCCAATTGCAACGAAAGCTGTGAGATCGTATTGAATGTTACGGCTGAAAAAAAATTCTAAAAAACTTCGTCTTCAACTAAAAAAATCGGATAAATTTGGTAATCAAGATGGTACGGACACACTTTGAATACAAATTGAGAAATCTCTAGAAGAGATAAAAGGAATTGTGCGTGTGCGTGTGCGTGTGTGTGTTTACGCATGTGTGACTCGCATCACATACGTTTTGCTTTTTGTTTGTTTTCTCTCTCGATCTTTGTACATAACACACATACCTTGTACAACGTTGCCTCCTGGACCGACGTTTCGCTTGTAAAGGAAATCAATGCGAGAGACAGAAAAAAAGCACGCGGTAGTTAGCGCGTTAAAACATTTATAATTGTCGCTATGATTGAAACGCTAAGCCGCTCTATTATTCTATTATCATATATATGATATATATATATATATATATATTTGCGTTGATCAGTGAGGAAACATATATATATATATAAAAGAGAAGAAGCATATAACGTTATAAATTTAAATATTGTAGTATTAGTTTTACATATTATATCTCCGTCACACGTGTAGAAGTCGCATTCCAACGTCTAAGTTTTTAACGAAACAAATAAATTACTTTGGCCAATATAGGTTTATCATTTATGTCATCGATTTTCCTTTTTGTTTTATGTCTCTGTTTTGTCACTTGATATGTTTTTTCGATTCAGACTGGAACAACTGTTTCCACATTTTTTGGACATTAGCAAGACAATGTCGTGCACGACCAGTTTCGGAAACCCCCATATTTTTTTTCATAATATTGAAATGATAGAAAATGAATTTCTCTTTTTTTGTTTTGGTTGTCAATCTCGCATCGCGATCGATCGAATGCGATTGGTCAATTCTCTGCTTCGAGATCTCGGAAATTCGAGACTGCTCCAATTTTTTTAAAGGGAATAGCGCAATGGACGGAGCATAAAGGGCCGTCTACACAATGGGAGTAGGTAGTATAGAGTAATAAGTAAGGTTCTTGGAGTTATTTCATTTTTGTCTATGCGAGTAATAATTATTTCGCGTTTTTTGACACGCGTCTTTTATTGGCTAAAAGTAAGGCAGTAGGCAGTGCGAAATGGGAATTGCCCGTTTCGTTATTCCCGTCGTTTCTTCACCGAAAAATAGTTTACTCTCTGCTCCTACAGCCTTACTACCTTCATTGTAGACTAGCCATAATCCGCCCGAATGACGAGGCGAAGGGGATGAAGCTCAAGGAGCGAGGGAAGTGAAAGTCTACATCAACGGATGTGACCAAGATGGCGATTAGTGTCACGGAGCACGTTTGTTTCAGGCACTTATAAATGCTTTTCCGCAGATCGGCTCACGGGTGAATACTCGGCGCGGCCTGCTTCGTCAATGAAACACCAAACTGTTGTTTTTCGCGCAATGTCGAAACGCGGCGAAACACGCGCGGATTACGATCACGCCGGAAAATACGCTAGATCCACGTTTAAAAATCCAACGAACCAAGATGGACGCGACGCGATTTCCTCCCCTCACCCCGCTGGATTTGCACACTGTCAGAAAGAGTACTCCAGTACTTGCGCCTCGTCCTGATCGGTCCCAGGTGTTTGTATGTCCATGAATGCCGGCAATCGACGGCGATCGCCGCTACTACACCCCAGATTCCCAGCCAGCACTTTAGTAACTTAGTAGCAGCATCGTCACAGGCTGCTTAGCAAGGTGGCTAATGTGCGGTCGAAATCGGTTGAGATTGAACCTGATCGTGTATAGGAAGTAAAATGCATTAGTTTCGGTTTGCTCGGATTTATTTTGCGACTCGAGCGATCAGCCTGTGCGGTGCATGTGTCGTGACAGTTTTTACATACGGTTGCAAAGGTTAAGCACGAGATCGAGAAACGGTTGCGAAAGGTGGTGATCGGTACAGCGCGGATTTACGCGCGGACATGGACGGCAAGGTGGACGAAGAGAATCAGCGTGGTGTCAACGACGGCGATTGGACTTGCTCGGACTCTCAGTACGTGGTTTTGACGATTTCCAATCTCTATCACGCGTAGCTACTCTACTACTATTTTTTTTTCTTCTTCGTGATAAGTCAAAACTGTTACGCGATTAAGTAAAGTTGGTGTTTTGATTTCTTGCAGATGTGCCAATATAAATTTTGCTAGGAGAAATTCCTGCAATCGCTGTGGAAAAGGTAATTTAAAATGTTTATATTACGGAATTACAATATATCTATAACATTTACAAGCTAATGCGATATATATTAGTCAAACTAAACTGTATCTACTACGATATCGTCAGCTTACGTAGAATATCGTTAACATATTTTACATACTAATGCAAAATTTCTCCTCTCACAGACAGAGGTGAGTGTCCAAAGAAGAAGAAGTTGGGTCAGGAAATTGGAAAAGCAGCTGCGGAAAAAAGCAGAGGTCTTTTTAGGTAACATCTCACATTTGTTTGGTCTGAGATACACGTCAATTCATCGTCAGTGATAAAGAGCAAACACCAATTGTTATATGGAAATTACTTATATGCATGAATTTATTACACAGTTGGAGAATACACATAACAGTTATGTATATGTATATATATTTATATATATACATATATATATGTATATGAGAAAAGAGTAAGAACACAGAAGCGTTCCAAACTAAAGATAACATTCTCTTATAGTGTATTCTTTCTTTATACAGTACTTAAGTTATATTTATATTACGTAAGTTTTGAATTGTATAATATATACATGTGTGTGTGTGTGTGTGTGTCGTTCAGTTCTCTAAATCTTAAGCATGTATAAAATCACAATGCAATAATTTACGCCACTTTACAATTTTTCTTGTTTATCTTGACGTCATCATCTCTTTAAACACTGTAAATCGAATCTATATATAGACGTGTTTTCGAGTATAAAAAATTTGTTGTTGCTTGCAGCGCGGACGACTGGCAATGCAGCAAGTGCGGTAACGTAAACTGGGCTCGTCGGCAACAGTGTAATATGTGCAACGCGCCAAAGTTCGGCGAGATAGAAGAACGCACGGGATACGGGGGCGGGTATAACGATCGAGGTGTTGTCGAGTACAAGGAGAGACGAGACGATGACGACGAATACGACGAGTTCGGACGGCGCAGGAAAAAACGAAAACTCGACAAGAGTTCTGACGACGATTCGAAAGATTCCAAATACAGTAGCCCGTCGCGTAGCGAACGTAAATCCAGAGACAAAGCAGAAGCAGATGAAGCAAATGAAGATGATCAAGAGGAAAATGTAATTTTTATGATCCATTTTGGTTCTTGACGTGAGTTGTAATCACGCGTTTTTGCGCGCGCAAATATCGTGTAGAAAACTTGTTGCAAATTGTGACAAATTTTATATAAATTTCTCGCTTCTTACGTTCAAATTGATTCAATTCAAATCGGTTCAAATAATTCGATGTATCACAAATTGCAGGATGAAGAGGAAGATGATGACGAGGAAGAGGAAGATGAAGATGGCGATTTGTCCAAATACGATCTTAGCGAATGGGACGATTTTGCACCGCCAAAGAAAAGGTAACAAAATGCGCGCGGTTGAGGTTGTTGTCAGTCATAAATATTACTGTGAATTTCTATCTTTCAGTGCGAACGGAAGTACCATATCGTCAGAAGCACAACGGTCAAGGTAATTAATAAAAATGGTAATGCGATACAAAATATATCCACTTAAAAACACTTTACACTCTAGCTGTTAATATAGCGATGTTTTTTCTTCGATAAATTAATGACGACTGTGTGGCAAAAGAAAAAGATATAAATGTCGATTTTGACAAAAAGCATGTTATACGTGTGAAAATGTTTGTTTTTTGTGTCTTATTTACAGAAACGGAGATGATCGGCGCGATTCAGGCACATCCAACCACTGAAAGGCTGTTTAGAGAAGGACAGGTTTGACTTGGGTTTCGGGTATAAAAATTGATTATGATGATCAGAGAGTTGCAGGCAGCATACAGTGTGTGATGAGTTTTGCTTAAATAATGTATAGTCCCAGATCCTTAAGACTTAAAGTATAGCTTGCTTTTATTGCGATTTATATCTTGAGTATATATATCGCATAAAGACATCGAGTAGAGATTAGCGTCGACTTAGCGAACCTCTAAGATGCGCGGAGCATGCATTCTTGTTCGATGTGTGACTTTTTGTTTTCTTTTTTTACAGATGACTTGAGAAACAGGAGACTCTCTCGAAAAAGATGCAGGCTCTCATCAAAACCTAAGAAAATATACACAACGCAACACAAAAATTTCAGTAAAATTTTTAGAGTATGCACCTTTGGGTATAAAAGTGGCCGATAATACGTGACTTATTACAAATAGGAAGTCCAAGACAAACGCTAAGCTTTACATTTGTAATTGAGCTCACACAGCTTCGTTGATTCTAAGGAAGCAAATTATGTAGGTCTCTCTTGTTCGCGCGGATATATATAATATCGTTGTTCGAATGACTGCGGTGAGTGTACGAGAGAAAAAAAAAGAAAACAGTTTGGCGTACAAGTAGCGTGTTGTTTTTTTCTTTTGCTAGCGAATAATGAGAGATTGATAAATCTGCAAAACGTGAATCGTCTATAGAAGAAAAAAAAGAACAAGTTATTTCGCAGCTCGTTTTACAAGTTAAATATATGATGTAGAAAAGATCTTACTTCTATGTAATCGATGATGTCAACGCTCTGCGCAAGCTCCGTCGTCGCAGTGTTTCGAGATTTCTATTGTAGCTGTGTCACTGCTTCGTATTGCTCAAGCTGCCCAAAGGGTTCTAACTTTTTTTATTTTTTTTTTTATTTTTTCTTGTCCTCATCTCTCTTTTTACGTCATTCATTTATGCGTGACTCTCTCTCTCGGACTGAGAAGAGAGCGAAATATGTTTTACATGGTTTTCTTAAACCAGAGCCGACGTCGTAATTTTGCGCTTTGCGGCATTTGACGTCCACGCCTGCTTTCTCTCTGTTCCTCTCGTTGTCCATCTCTCAGACCGCAATCTAAGAGCAAATCTCAGTTAATCAGAAAACGAGAAGAGCCGGGAAAGAGAAAGCGCGAACAAGAGCCGGCGCGCTTCAGAGCGCAAAACTCCGCGCGGACCCTGTCCTAAAAACAGAGCAGATATGTTTTATTTCGACGTGAATTTGAAGAAGACATTTAATAAGGATACGTTCTCTTGCTTCGACTATCACAGATCCGAGTAAGTTTGAGAAGAAACAGTCCGCTTATATATTTCGAAAAGGTAGCGCATCTTAAAATAGTATCGCGTTTCCGCATCTCGCATAATAGTTTTTATCGTGAATGAAACCTCCGATAGCCGTTCTTCTGAATTGCAAAATCGACTGTATCGATCAAATATCGTAATGATACTTCTTGTAAATATCTTTATTTTCATTTTTAATAAAAATTATTCATCAACAACATAATTCTTAGTCAATTACTTTTCTCTTTATGTCATAAACTACAGATAAGGGAGGAAGAGGGGTGAGGGAGGGAGGGAGGGAGGGAGGGGCGAATGGGAGGATCATGATTATGCACAGAGTTGGTCACAGGGAAATCAATGGGAATTACGGGGATGGACAATATTTTAAGGATTTATATGTTGCAACAGGTGTATATGTGTGTCCGTGTGTGTGTGTATATTATGTTTGTGTAGATGCGTGTATGTATGTCCTTTGTGGTATGTGTTTGTATATATAATATATATATATATATATATATGGTATATATGTACAATAATAAATTTGAGCTTGTTGACTGTGTTAAGTATATAATGATAAAGGAAGGATGTGAATCATACGGTACCGGCGTACCAACTCCTCTTGCTCCGTGTTTTCGCACGCGCGCGCGTTTCGTGTCTCGCACGCTGACATATTTCAGATTTTTAATTACCGGTATGAACAAAGCGCAGAAGAAGAGAAGGAATTTCGATTTTCTTCCTCTCTCCTTTTCTTTTTTACACTCGGGTTACAGTAACAGTATATTCCTTAAGCCTAGCGATATATTTTCTTCGAGCAAAGTAACGATTTCTACAAAAAAAAAAGAGAGAAAAAAAAGAGAAAATAAAAATAAAAAGAAAAAAAACCAGATTGTGTACATCGGTATTTACATGAACGCACAGCGAGTGTTCGCGCGTCTCCGCGTTAACGTTTAGAGAATTTACATATATAGACCTGTCCTGGGAAATTTGTGAAAACGATACTTCCAAGACATCGGGATAACAAATTCGGAGACACGAGACTCGATATCGTGTGGTGTAGAAATAAGATTTAAAAATAAAAAATAAAAAATAAAAAAAAAAAAAGGAAACCGCAGAAACAGTTTTTGATCGACATAAACAACGCGAAATTAATTTTGTTTTTTTTCTGATTTTTTGTGTCGCACATGCCAATATCGTGAAGATGATTATCTTATTTACCTCCTAAAGGTGGCAACATATATATCTATCGTTATTCCTCTCTTTATCCTTTACAAGACCGTTTTATCTCGCAAAGTGTACATCCTCAGAAATATCTCGTACGATTAATAGAAACATCCCTGATAGACAAAAAGATAAAAAAAAAAAAAGAATATGAGAGAGAAAGACAGTGAGAGAGAGAGAGGAGAGAGAGAGAGAGAGAGAGACAGAGACAGAGAGTTAAGAGAGCGAAATAGATACTGAGAAAGAGAAAGAGGGACGCTAAAAGGCCACCGTAGTAATCGTCATCGTCTCTGTCCATGTCGTTACGATCGTCGTCCTTGTCCTCGTCGTCGTTGTCGTTGCGATATGAATCAACAAACAGCTTTTACTTCGGTAGGAAAAACTGCTGATGCGAATGAGAGTTCGGCGGTGGGTGCAGATTAGGATGCGGTGGCCCGCTGCCTCTGGTACCAGTGGCGTAAAGCTGTTGCTGGAAGTTGTGAAACTGTTGAGCATAAGTCGGATCGGACATGCTGGGCCCGCTGCCGACGAACGGGCTGTTCTTGAAATTGCCAGTCGCACTGCCCATGCTCGGCGGTAGAGGCTGAGTAGCATCAGGTGGCGGTCCGAGTCCCATCGGACTGCCTTTACTACCGGACACGCCGTACATTCCCGGGTTCGGCTGATTCGGTAGGTTTTGCGACACCATATCAGGTGGGAAGACTTTGTCAGGATCCATGGAGCCGCCTGGGAAGACGCCGCCGCCTACCATGTGTTGCATCCGCATCAGATTCGGCTGCGGTCGCATGTTGCCGACCGGTCTCATGGACGGGTGCATCGTACCGGAGGTATTCATAGACTGGCCGTCCATTCTGGGCGAGCCGCCCATGCCGGGGATTCCGGCAGTATTCATATTGGACGGCATACCGCTGTGTGGACCACCCATGCTATTCGGCACACAGCCGTTTGGGAAGTACTGAAGGTTCACGGAAGGTGATCCTCCCATCTTCGACTCCAAGTTAGATAACGGATTCGTGAATCGTTGAAGAAAGTCCAGACTAGGTGGGCCTCGGGGTGGTGCATGACCGACATTCGGCCTAGCTGGCAAATATTGAATAGTGTTGGGTGCATTTGGTTTCACTTGAACGTTCGCACCATTGTAAGGGCTAGGTCCACCAACTCCATGATTACCCATCAGTCTCGGTGGAGGCGCATGACCAGGGTCGCTTCCGGGATAAGCGCCACCAGCCGTGGCGGCGCTCGAATGGCTGCCCATCATACCATGACCGCCCATCATAGGATGACCCATCTTGCTAGGAACTCCACCGGGACTACCCGTGTGAGAAGTAGTGGGACTGTAACTCGTCGGTGGACCCGCGAGGCCCATACACATTCCGCCAACCTCATTGCCAGGCTCTGCGCTGGTCGTTCCCATGTGACAGCTTCCGTTCATCTCGCCTCCCATTTGCATCATGTGTACGCCAGCAGCATGTGGATTACCGAATGGCATCATTCCAGCGGTATTACCAGAGTGCATGGGCTCGTTACCAAGCGAGTTGTTTGCCGCCGTACTTGCGAGCTGCTGGTTCATCTGCGTCAGTGACGATATCGGATCAAACTGGTTTGTGTTCATGGTGTTTAAGCCGCCGAGGCGACTGCCGATATTGTTAGGATTAAGAGGCACGTTGTCTGAGGGTTGGCTCACGTTTATCGACGTCCTGCCGCAGGAGAATGAAACACCACCGCCACCGGGGCCGCTCAGTGATGGCACTACAGTCGTATTGGTATTGTTCGGATTCACCACTGTAGGCTGTTGTTGCGGCGGCGGCTGTTGCTGTTGCTGCTGCTGCTGCTGTGGTTGTTGTTGTGATTGCGTTTGCTGTTGTTGTTGCTGCTGCTGTTGTTGTTGTTGGACATCTTTTACGGACGGCGGCGACGTATCGGGTTTCATGGTAGGCGAAGCCGGTACTATTCGCGGAGGACCCATACTATCAGGTATACTGGTATTGTGAGGCGTCGGGCTGCTTTGTGCGCTGGTGCTGGATTTGTTACCCGGTTTTGCGGGATCCGCTGGAGTATGCGGCGCGGCGCTACCTGGTGTGTGCGGTGTGTGCGGCGTATGAGGACTATGTAAAGAACCCCCGAAACCTCGGTTCATATTATCCATTTGATTCACAGGACTCGCGCCCTCCGATCTGGTGGGGAACTGATTGTTGCTGTCTAGACTTCCTGGCAACATTCTGTTAGGCATCTCTGTTGTATTGCTCGTGTTCCTATTGTCAATAAAAAGTAATGTTACAAGTCATATAATTGAAAAATATTAATCAAGACATTTTATTTTCTCTCTTAAAAGTTGTCTATTGAATAAAAAAATAGATATTTACGTAGATGAATTTCCATCCTTTAGACTCGTATTGGGTTGCTTCTGTATAGTCAATTCTTGTCCTTCAAACGTGCTAAGATATTGAAGTTGGTGAGGACTCGGTACTGGCATTAGATTCGCTTCTTTCACGGTCGATGCGTTAACATTTCCTGTATGTTGCTGCTTCTGTTGAGCTAAAGACTGCAGCGATCGGCAGAAGATACCATCCACTAAATCAGAGAGAACAAACCAAATTAATTTAGAAAAAAACTATAAATTTAAAAAATTATAATCACATTCTCTGTATAAAAGATATACTTGGTAGAAAAAAAAAAATTTACATACACTTACCGTTTGGCTGTTGACTGGTGGGAAATTCGAGAGAAGGATCCTTTTGAGCAGTAGCACCACTTGGACTAAGAGCAGCAATATGGGAATGAGAGACTGGTGTTCCTGGATTACTGTGATTCAGTCGCGTCGTTGAAACAGCTGCCGTAGCTGCAGTGGCAACTGCCGGATTCGGAGAATCCTGACTTGTCGGACTCTGTCCAGGTAGATGACCAGTTCTTTGATTACCAAGCTGAAACTGTCTGTTGCAATCCGCTGGTGAATTCAGAGCTGAACTCGCGCGCGGTGACGGTAACGACAGATTGCTGGTCGGGTTATTGGGCGACGATGGATTCGGACTCTGAATTGCGATTGGCACACTAGCGGACCGAGTGGTTTGATGATATGGTGGTGGCGGGCCTTGACTTCGCGGTACTCCAACCATGTTGCTTCCGCGCAATGACACCGCACCAGGATTACCGACTGCTGCCTGCAAATAGTAAAAATATTCTTATTCAAGATATTCTGTCGTTTTCAAAATACACTTAAACGTGTAAGAAAGGTACGTACTTTGTTCTTGCCGTCAAGAAATTGATGCTGCAACTTATGCCAATCCATAGATGGAGGACATTGATTCGGTACGCCTACAGGAGGAACATTTGGGAGACACGGCACCGTAGTTCCTTGCGTTGTGTCCGTCAAAGTGCTGTTGCCAGGTTGATCTTCCTTGAACAACATTATTTGCATTTTTCGTAAGGTTGCCAATTGAACTTCTCTGTGTTGTCTTTGTCTCGGAGTTAGATTTTCATCTGGAACTTTGACACCATGCAGTGATGGTTGTCCACCTGGACCTGGACTTGTTGTGCCACCTAACAAATTTGGACTGTGGCCCATGATGGCGTTATTAGCAGGTTGAGGATTGGCTGTGTGTTGGAAAACAACAGTTATATACACATTAAATTTTTTGCGAAATGTGTTAATAAACAAGAAAAAAATTAATTACATTGACGAATCTAAACAAAAACTACCTGAATTACCAGGAGAGTTCGGCACAAGGCAAGGCACATCTATGTTTCCATCATCTAACGATGGTTCTGAATTACCAAGGGAATTTCCACCATTTATGTTTCGCAAGTTAGGTTGATCGTTCCAAAATTGTGGAGCATTAGGATCTAGTGCTGGTAAATCCGGAGGTTGTTCAGTCGGGAAAGTATTATTCGCATTTCCCTGATGGCCTTTCTGTTTTATTATAGCAAGATTATTTAACCATTGAGCAGGATTTTGGCGTATTGGATTTAGTTTATTTGGTTGTTTCTAAAAGAATAAAAAATGGCAAATATATATTAATGGTAATTAAACAGAAAAAAATAATGTGTGAACATGCAGAAAGACAAATTAATTAATTAGGAATGTTTTGTATGTGTGTCTGTGAAACGTTTGAGTTATATAAATCAAACAAACTCCATCAAAACAATAAAATTAACATGTTGATGTATTGTCTGAACGAAAACTTAGCAGAATTTCTACAGCCGCTACTACTTTTACAAAAAACAAACAAGCTTCTATAATAAAGAAAAAGAAGAAAAAGTAAGAAAATGTTGTGTTACTTTCATATATATATATATATGTAAGTGTAATTCAATATTGCGCATAAAATACCTCCAAACACTTTTTAGTGCCTGGTTGTGCACAATGATAAGCGACGATGGACGTGTATTCCTGTCTCAACACTGCCTCTGCGCCTGCATTTGCTAACTTTGTAGAAAATACAAAAATTTGACTCTGCTGCTGCATATATTGAGCCTCTCCTGTACCAGTTCCCATTTGTTTCCCCACAACGTTACTAACAAGTGGTTGTGTGGAATCCATAATATTATTTCCTCTACAATCTACAGCAAAAATAACAACTCGATTAACATAGGACATGTGAACAAAAGAATGTTATGTATAAATATGAGAGAAATAAGAAAATCTAGAGAGATTCCAACAAACAAATTCTTCTCACCAGATAAATCGTCGGTAGAGTGATGATCTCCTTCTTGCTTAATGGAATTCAGCATTGGTTGGTTTCCATTAGTATTCTGCTTTTCCCCAGTCATTGCACCTTCGCCATTAGATGAATCCAGACAAGGATCCCTCTGACACTCCGCGGTATCTTCTCCAGTTGCATCGTCGTTATTGCCACCTGTGTTCTCTTCCTTGATTGAATCAGCGTCAGTTTCATCCTTGACCACTGTTGCAGGTGGACAACAGCTGGGCTCGTTGGGCTTCTTTTCAGTTTTCATGGCTGGATAGCGTTTCGCGTGGGTGAACGAGGGTGAAACGTGTCAAACCTTGTTAGCACCAACTAAGAAAGAAACCTGAGGCATGGCCACTAGCACTAGCGTTCTCAACGCACTGGCTACATGCGGCAAGAGGTTAACAGCCAGCTGCACGTCAACCGGCCGATCAAGAAACGCGCGCGTTTACCAGACGGCACCCACGAACTCTGTCGTGGCTCGAGGTAACGCCATGTGACCCCCTTCCGCAGCACAGCGCGACGTATCGGTGCGGACGGCGGAGCGCCAGTCTGTCTCATGCATTTATCCTAGCTGAGAATATCCGCCGTTCTCTGGATTACGAAGAAGACCAGTATCCGAGCACTCGGGGTATGTTGGCGCGAGTTTAATCGGAACCGACGCCGAACCTCAAAGAGAACAGTTCTGTTGTGGAAAAGTAATCCAAATGTCACCCTCGCCTCCGAGAGCACATAGCGCGCCTCTCCGGCGGCGGCGGCTGGTGCTGCTGCTGCTGCTGCTATATCGCGCGCGCGGCTGCTGTGGCTGCGGCGGCGGTGGCGGAGCAGCGGCGGTGCGCGTTCACGCACTCTCACGCGAGGAGACACTCTCAAGACCGCGATCCGGATCCGGGGATACGAACGCACGCTATTACCGAGTATCTTCACGCCGTTCTACATGCGAGAGCATTGTTCTCTCTACCCCGACTTTATTTGTCACTTTACCTATGTGTACGTGTGTATGTGCGCGCGTGTGTGTGTTGGTCGCTTTGATTATTTATTTCTTTTACGCACGGCTGCCAACTGTGCGACGAAAGTTCGACGACGTCGACTTGAAGCGTGTCGCCCGAACGCGAGACGAGGACGGGACGATGATCCGCCATTCGTCGGAAGCGGGACGCGCGTACATACACAACCGGCGCGCATGCGCCGGCGCGAGAAATCCACACACAACCCCGCCGCCGTCATCCGCACACAGGAGATTACTATTTTCGTCTTTCTTTGGTTATATTTTTGCCACCTCTCGCGATCTCGCGGCACTCGGATGCTCAACCGTTTCGTCCGTTTTAGCGTTCATCGGCGATTGAACCAATTGAATCCACGGGACGGGAGGAGACATCCGATCGCTCGCTCTATCGAGACCTCCGTGCGGTCGCGAATTCAAAGCCCTGAGAAATTCCAGCTACACGGACGAATCGACCTCGATGGTTTTCCGAATTACCGGCTGGAATTTCAGCCCGACCGGACATTGTCGCCGCGTACCTATGAACAAGTCGTTCAGAGCCGTCGATGTTTTCAAAACTCACGGGATCTCCGCGATCTCATCTCGCGCACACGACCAATCTTCTATCTTTTATCTAAGTATCTTATCAATATAGGTACATCTCATTTGTTTGCATATGGAACTTCTTTTTGGTGTTTCTTTTTCTTTTTTTAATTCACTTTGTGCAAAACGACCGATCGGTCCGATCTCTCGCGAAGACCTTGCGCTTTTTTTTTTGTTTTTTTTTTTTTTGAGAACGGAGACGGTCTCTCCGGACGGTCTGGAAATTATGCCACCGCTATTATGATTCTTGCACACAGAAAGTAAAACAATGCGTACGGCAAAAAACCAACGTGGCCAATCGCGTCTTACGCCTAGATTCTTCGTCTATTTCCCATGTAGCTACTTGGCGCGAGCGCGTCTCTCTCTCTCTCTCTCTCTCGATATGTCGCATTTTCTGCGAATATTCCGTAATTGAAGTGAAACAGATCAACTATATATATACGTGTATGTTTGCTAAAAAGAGGAAAAAAACCACAAGTCAGCAAAAGCGAACTTTTTAATTTCAACCGAGCGAGCGGCCAATTGGCTGCTGCGTGTTTGTTCTCATCGCGTTTTGTGTGTAGAAGCCATTTCGAGTCCGAGAGAGAGAGAGAGAGAGAGAGAGAGAGAGGGAGAGACGATCTTGTCTCTTCCAACTCCATGTTTTCGCACATAAAAAAAAAGACGATAAAACCATGTATGTGTAAAATTACAATACAGAAGTACATCTCTTTCCTTCTTCTCATCCCGTTTCTCATCCTTTGACAAAAACTTTCAATACGTATTTTTTTTTGTACGAAAAAGAGAGAAAAAAAACAAAGGAAGTCGAATCTGAATGTTTTAAACGGCGAGAAAAAAGCAATCGGAGTTTTTTAATTTCATACAAGAGAAACATTAGAGCGGGAGGGAAAAAACTAATTTTTAAACAAAAAACGAAAGTTAACTTCTTTGCGTGTGAAACACATGGTTTCTTTTTAAATTTCTCCCATTACGTGTAGATTTAATTGTCGATTCGGACATTCAATTTACGCTTAGACGTGATGTATTATAGTTCAGCCTTGATTTTGCGGAGCGATGCGGAGCAATCGGTATTGTTGGAAAGATTCGTTTTGTAACCTAGGAACCGATGCTTGCGTTTCATCGTGTCTTGTTAGCAAAAGTTAGCACTACGCGCTAATTGCGATCGGCGAGACAAATTTCCCAATAGTGCGTTTTATTACAGTCGATAATTACACACCATGTTTTGCGATAGTTCGGATTTCGTGGTCTTTCGGAAGACCATAAACGGCGAACGTATAGTTTTGTCCGATACGAGAAAAAGGTAAATAGCGCACGGGTAAAGAGAGAAAAACGTGAGAGCGTGAGGATTTTCAGTTTCTAATCACAGTCATCTTGTGTGTTTGTTAAGAAGGAAAGATATTTCAAGTTTTTTTTTTCATGAAATTAACGTGACACACAAAGCAGCTCATTTATGTTGTTCGCGTGCTCTATTGTTGTCGCTCATACATAACCTAACCTAACCTAACCTAACTCGCGGAGTTCTATTCTTTCTAGCGCGCGTTGTGCTCGTACAAAATTTTTGTACACACATGTAGTCCCATTTTCCCTTAAACTCTGCGCGTACATTTATATATTTATTGTTTTGTTTTTTTTTTTTTAATATTATATGTAGATTATCTCCGAGAACTTGAGAAGTATTTCTAAAGGATGACTCAGCTAGAGCTGGATCCTCAATTTACCCAGGGACTCCGTCTTCTGCACTCAACCAACAAGGACTCTGCGGAACAGTTGAGGGCTTTGTTGGATGAAGCAATCAAACAAAAATATGGACCATCTAAAATGCTCTCAAATGTGTTACATAAAAAAGTATAATCAATGATCATTTATATTTTTAACGAAAAAGTTTGACTATTGTCAAACTTTTTATCAAAAAGAATAAGAGTATCTAATTGCTGTTTACACTTCCCTTTCAGTATATGATAGAAGAAGCAGTATTGAGCGATCACAGCAGCAGTAGCAGCAAAAAGAGCAAAAGCTCCAGCTCATCCAAGCATTCCAGTAAATCAAGCAAGAACAGTTCACCTGTTAATCTGCCAGCACGTGATACGCCACCGGACATATTGCAGACTGATGATACACTAGCATTGGAAATTCTAGAAGACGATCTAACGTGTGTCATTTGCAAGGGAATGGACGTTGGCGCGAGAAATAGACTAGTGGAGTGTCAAGAATGTCACTCTTTGTATCATCAGGAATGTCATGTTCCACATATTTTGGATTCACAAATAGATGTGCCGAAGCAAGTGTGGTATTGCTCTAACTGTTCAAAATCTCAGGTGTGTGTATTCATCCACACTTATGTAAGTTTTGTGTTGTGAAAAAATTTATAAAATTGTTTTAACTCTGCAAATAAAAAATCTATATATTTTGACTATTACTTTTTTACCACTAGCAAAACTGTTTTTATATTTGCATATGTGATTGTTGATACAAATATTATACTTTGTTGATCATTGTATCTTAGGTATCAAAAGAAAGAAGTTCGCCAAAGATAGAGAATAATTACACTGTGATAGAAAATAAGTCCAAAGAACAGAAAAAGCCCAGCTCAAGTAAGTACGAAGATGTATGTAAATCATGCGCTTGATACGTATAATTGAAATTACATATATGTGCGTGTATAAACGAATCACTGAATTGTCAATTTCTTGCAGGTAGCGGAGCTAAGATAACACCAAATATTCATATTATAAGCGCAGATAAAAGACTGAAAGATATGATGAAAAAAGCCAAGCAGGATAAACGAAATCCAGGTAGCGGAAACAGTTCGAAGAGCTCTTCGTCCAGCTCGACTGTATCCTCGAGCAAGTCTCAGGAAAAATCGTTATTGTATAAAATAAAAAATCAGGAGTGAAACGAAATTCTGTCAAAATATAACAAAGAAATTTAAGTAAACTAAAACAAGTAAGATGCGAGCAATGTATATTGTAAAAATATAATAACTTTATAGTTTTTTGTTGATATGTATATATACACATATGTATTTTTTTTAAATGAATTGTATTGACAATGAATTTGTAAATGATTTTATTGACACGGGAGGAAGAATGTGTGACTTAGTATTTGTCACGAGTATATTCCCGTATACGAATTAGGTAAGAGATAAAAGAAAAAAATCGGAAAGATTGAGAATCGCTCATGACGAAAAAAAACAAAAAAAACAAGAAGTCCTATATAGATGATATCACTAGAGTGTATTTATAGTGAAGTTTAATCTCGAAATACATTCAATCGATATTAGTACAATTGGGCCTTTGTGTGTACCGTCTCCGAAGTGTTTCTTCCTTACTACCTATATAAATACAATTCCATATTATACACTTTATTAATAATTGTACAAACGTGCCATGTAAATTTGTTTATCTTTTAAGCTTTTTCGCATTATTATTACAAAAATATTAAGTATGTAGAAAATAATGACATAATACTACTATCGCTAATAATTATTACACACGTAATATTATTTGTAATACACATGTCTGCGTAGTTTTTTTGTTTTTTTTTTTAATGTAAATATACAATAGATCCATTTTTTTAACTTTTTTATTGAGATATATTTATAAAAGGAAAGCGAGATAAAATTATACAAACTTCACATATATGTATATCTCAAGATTGCGTATTAATTGTACTGTTATATATATATATATATAATATATATATATCGCACATACAATTTCTGTTGTGACTGTGTGAAATCAACTCGTACGCTAATTTTATTTACTTGGCGTAACAACACGTCGGAATTAATTTTTGGATTTTTGTAGCGGAAAATTAACAACATGCACGCCAAACTTGTATACAAAATATATATATATATATACGCGCGAATTGTAACCGAAAAAAACGAAAGTGATGGAATTATACAAAAATTACAGTAAATCAACATGACTACATGTGTAATTTGTGACTTGTAAATTTTGAACAAGTATACTCTTCCCGGAAAGTCACGTGTATCGTTTGTATTTTTATGACAGTTATCATTAGTGCATCGTCGGAACTGTGACACAATGTTCTGCGATCTTTGCTCTGATAAAGTTTGGAAACACAATTTTCATATCTAGAGATTAAAAATACAAAACAAAAAAAAAAATCATCTCTGCGCGTCTCCACTCAAATGTTCGACGCGCTTGACATCGGAACACTTTAAACAAATTGTTCGGCCGTTTTTTTTTGTAGCCCTTCTCTCTTACGCTTGATGATAAAAACGATTGTTAAAACGACGCGCAACATCGCATTGCGTGTTTTTCTAAATCGCTAATTAGTTTTTAAATCTGTACAGTATCTGAGATTGCGGATGGGCAAAAAATAACGAAGAAGAGAGATGAGAATGAATTATACGAGTCGTTTATAATACCAATATATTTTTGAGATTCTTCAAATGTAATTAGTCGTTTGTCCCTACGTCCCATTTGAAAATTTGGCAAGAGTCATTTCGTTTCCTCGAGAGTGTTTACTTACAATTAGTCTATTTGTGCGCGGGGATTAGGGTGAAGGGGGAGAGGGGGGTGGAGGGGACTGGGAGGGGGATGAATTATGTACAAGGGGGAGGATGAGAGGGGAATTTATTCGAAGTGAAGGATTGCACACACGCGCACACGCAATGTGGAATACATACAACGATACAACACACACACGCATACACACACATACACACGCGCAGCGAGCGTATTGCACGCGACCGGCGTGCACGCGCTTGTCTTCTTAATGAATAAAAAAGAGCGCAGAGCGCTTTTTTCAAGGTACGTTTAGTCGCAATCAAAGATTGATCAGTGCGTCGCACGGGTCTTCCGTCGCCCACAGCTGCTGCGGCGTTTTTTTTCCTCAAAAAAAAAAAAAGAAAAAAAAGCTGCGGTGATTATTGTACGTACGTCATTTATTACATCTCCTTTGCTCGCGATATTCGACAACCGGTGGTATGTAAAAAAAAAAAAAAAAAAAAAAACGAGAGGCCCGTCTAATCCGTACCTTAGTGGAAATATAAGCGCGACACGAATACGCACGCCGTTTTGTTCGATACTTCCCGACCAAGAATGTACAAGAGAGATATCCGACGTAAGAGTCGGTCGGATATCGCGTTTTTTCCTCCCATCCTTCTTCTCTATCTCTTTTGAAGCTTAACAAAGAGTAATCTTAAATCAACACGAGTTTTTTTTTTATCTTTCTATGTATACTACGAAGCATGACACACTAATCGCTCCGCGGCCGCCGCGCCGCGCGAATCTCTCTCTCTCTCTCTCTCTCTTTCTCTCTCACAATCAAATATGTTTTATAATTACATAGTTTGAATACGGAATTGACAAGCATTTCTGATGGATGGAGTCGACTTTCGTCTGTACAACTTGCGCTAGAGAACACTCTGCTGCGTATAATAATTTCTCATTGCATTCACACCACCACCACCACCACCATCCACTTACTATGGCCATCTTATAATAAAATATTCAGTGAACGTGTTCTGTGTGTGTTGTGTGTACAAAGACGATGATTATTATTATTATTATTTTTTTATTATTACCGATGCACAATTTGCTTCTCTCTCAATAAATATCAGAAGTATTTCCATCCATAGTTTTAGTTCATCTCCCATTTGTGCTTTCAACCGCACGAGAAAGATAATAAAAGAAAGTAGACTACAAATCAATTGTCTAATTGCAACGGAGCATTTGCGCAAATAATTTACAACGCACGGCAGAGAACTAACAAATTCTACTTTCGATTGCGTTCAGACATTTTTATATAAAATTTCACGATATCGCGCGAGATATCTCGCGACTTGGATGTTTTCCAATTGAATCTCAAAAATGTGCGCTTGTTAGTGAGGCCAACTGGCACGCAGCGACGAGATGTGTATGTATGTGTGTGGGTGTATTTGTGTGTATATATACCTACGAATTATGTGCGCATGTGCGTATATCCATGTACGTCAATCTGTGCGAACTGTATAATATTTTTTTCAGACAAAAAACGCTCGCATTCTCGCCGCATGTATTTATAAACGATAAACACACACATTGTCGAACACACCACGTGTGTAGGTGCGCGCGCGTGCAAACAAACGCACTTAACGACTTAAACGATATCGCGAGATTATAAATGCAAAGAGTCAAGTGTACACCTCACGCACACAAATTTCTTCTTCGTGGTTTTCCTTCCGTGGAAACGCACATATAAAGTGTGCAAAATGTGGTGTTGGCGATAGCCTCCGTCGTTTTTATTTAAAAATGCTAAGTACGGCAGTGAGACGAAATCAAAAGAGCACGCGTTTTCTTGTGTGTTCTCCCTCTCTCTCTTTCCCTGTTTGTAGAAAACATTTGCGAAGGACGTTTTTCTGTGTGTAGGACTTGTACTGCAATTTCTTGTCGTTGTATTTCTTCTACGCACTTCGAGAACCAAGACACATCAGTGCCCGCATCGATTACGGCACGTCACCGACGATCGCGCATCCCCGTCGTGCGTTTCTCTCTTTCTTTTTTAATTCAATACGTATGTACATACATGTGTAATATATGTATGTATGTACATTATCTTCTTAGATACACGAGAGCGAGTAAGAACGACGACGTACAATAGAAATCGAAAATTACTTTCAACACCGGACGAGCCAAAACACTCGTCTCGCCCGCAATTCTTTAACATGTTTACAAGCATTACTTTCTTGTTATCTCGTTCGCGCGGAATTTCGATTCGCGAAATTCGTGACAGAGAGCTTAGTTTTATTCTGAAAATGTTCCATTACGCAATATTTAAATTTCACACCGGAGAATCGTAAATTTGTTTTATGTAAATTTGTCAAAGAAGATATACCTTTATATATATATACATATATATACACACACAAATGTTATTATATAACTTGAGATATCGATATTTGCGGCAGCTCTGCGAGTGCGTTAGACCGCGTAGAAGGTGCGATCAAAATTTTACCTGCGCAGGCATGTAACAAAAAAGAGTTCGGTCCGACGAAATCTCATTTGGGGAAGACTAAATGCGAAGCGGTATATCTGCTTCTCGCGTTCAAGCGACAACGAAGTGCCGTTCCCGGAAGATCGGTTTTTACAACCGATCGGACGAAAGAAATTCGAAATTCTTTAGCGGCACATTTTTATCGCGTTAATCATTGAAATGAACGAATCTCTTATCGAAAAGAGATGTGTGTGTGTGTGTGTGTGTGTACATACACCCAAAAATTTATTCGTATAAAAAAGCAACAACCATTCGGACGACACAAATCTCGATACAAAGAGAGACGTATGACAAAGTGTAAAAATGCGAGCACAGATTGACGCACACACATTCGCGAGCTACAATATTTGTTCCTTCGTAATATAAATAAATACGATATACACACACAATAAAGATACGTAGGTTCACTAACGGCCGCTGGGAGCATGGGGACCTGGAGAAAGATAATCGACATATTATAAGACGGCGTATTAAGTACAAGAGCGTGAGCACGTCCCCAGTCTCCCTGTGAGATTAGACCTGTTTCTGCAACAAGTCGTGTGTCGGGTGTCGCCTGTCTTGTGTCCAAAGTCGGTCTCGATCATTGATATCGAATCTCAATCTGCAACCAATAGATTAGTCGCGAACATGAAACTGTGTCTGAAGAAGACACTGTCGGAAATTCGAAATTCTCACATTTTTCAAAAAATTTCGCATCCGACAAGATTCACTTTTATAAATTTCTCAAAGTTGGATATTGTCGGATGTTGCTGCGTCGGCGACGCGTGTTTCCGACATGGTGTGTCTGGGCACAGCTCAACGACCAAAACGACACACACACACACACACACGACTTATCGCAGAACACAGTCCTCTTATAACGCCGACAACTCATCGCTCAAACTTTGTCGCATCTCGATCGAACGATGAGTTTGCATATTGACTGAACGGATCAGACAGTTTGTAAAAAGTGCACGGAAAAACTTGGCAGTGTGCGCGGAAAAAAAAAATGTATATATATATATAACAGTCGACGTTAAATCTCTTACTGGTGTTACAAAAGCACAAAGTTTTTGTAAAAAAAAAACAAAAAAAAAACAAAATAGTAAATGCGGGTTAAAAAAAAATAGGAAAAAAAAACAATTCTTCCAGTCTTGTGTTTTGTTTGTTTGTTTTTCTTTTTTTTTTTTAACTAAAAGTAAGTTACGCGCGACTTTTTCCAAGAATACTGTATGTCGTTGTGCCACGAGTGTCTGCGATATTACACGATCTATTGCAAATACAATATATATATATATATAGCACGTAAGTCTCGGTCTAAGAAATATACGTCAGTGTGAATACAAAAACATCTTCTTTTTTCCCTCACGCACTGTATAATCGAAACAGTCTATAATATTCTCGCACCAGTAAATATAAAAAAGATTTACTTCGTCATAAATTTTTGTTGTTGGTTGTCGTTTCAATATTTCCTAAATTTATAGCGATATAACCATAATTAATGAATTAGCATTTACTTATTTACGTACGTATAGACAATAGAGAAATAACTAATAACCGTTATAAAAAATAATAATAACATATACATAAGAATAATAATATATGTACGTTCAATGCAAGTAAAAAAAAAAAAAGAATATGTATATATATATAGATACATTACAATGAAAATTACCAGATACACTACAAAGTAGCTCCTCTAAAAAACAAAAAAAAAAAAGCGTAGCAACAGTACTTTGTAAACTACCGCGCGGTACAAAGAGAAACTCAGACGAGAGAGAGAGCACAATAATATAAAAATGATTAAAAACAAAAAAAAAACCCCAAAAAGATTGTTCACCGAATTTGTATAACGTACGAGATTACACGTAGAATAGGCCTAGAGTAGACTGAGCTGCTCTTATAACTTTTAACTCTTAGATTTTTTTTTAACGTTATACTTTTTTTTTAAATCGTCTTAATTTAATATTATCTGTTACTCTGTCTCTGAATTAAGGAGTTCTGCGTAGATCCCTCTTTTTTTTAACTTATAATACATATAGTCCCTCTCTAACTAGCTCACTACAATCCGTGGAGGTGTGTTGCGCATGATTCTTTGCTTCATATATATAATTTTTTTTTCATGTATATATATACATATTAATAATTATATATATCATAATGAAGAGATAATAGGCATAGCCACATGTGCTCGGATCACAGACTACTCGCTGCCGTACGTCGCCTTCGTACAGACAGTCCGGTGGACACTATGGCTTTCTCTCACTTATTAGACACGTTTACTTCTTTTTACTTTATGTTTAATGTAATCCGTATGTTTTTTTTTTTATTTTTTTATTTTTTTATTCTTTTTACGTATGCGCACGTATAGATATTAGATCGGCTCTCCTAGAATTTACACTTAAAATTTTCTTCCCTAATAAAGTATATTTGCACCGATCCACGTCTCCGGTCCTCCAGCAAGGTCTCTTGATATTCAGAAAAAATATGAGACGATGTTATATATTACACGCAACAACACGTTGGAAAATAGAGTCTTTGTACGTAAATACTAATAATGTATACACGTAACAGTGTCTCTGTAGGATACGTAAAATAATTTGATTGCCTAGATTAAAAAATAAATTTCTAATTTATACTAAGAGTAACTCTCTTTCGCGCGCCGCGCGTACGTGAAAAATAAATTGAGATTCTTATAAATTGAGTGATTGAGTTCATTCTCACCTTTGCGAACTCGCGACGGTGAGATTCATTTTGAGATACTTCTCTTCTTTAGGAAGGTCTTAAACAAGACCTTCCTAAAGAAGTCCGCACCCGCGTAGAGGAACGCGAATCAAGGATCAGAGACGTGTATATGTTGCCTACCAATATCTATACATGTTTACAAGCGTATTTCGGTATGGCCAATACGCTAAGATACGGTAAAATACTACCACGAGGACTGTCTAGAAATCCCGTGACCTATCTCGCCTGACTAGCCCTAACGAAATCGCGTGTATTCTTCTCTTTACGGCATTGTTATTCACACGGTGTGTTGTAATGTGTTTAATATTTGTACATATGTAACGAGGTGTAGCTGATGCATGAAGTGGAGGCACTAGTCAGTGTTTCTGGAGAGGTTGACGGGTCCTGGGATGGAAGTGAGGAGGGTATGTCAGCAGGCACTGGTCTCTTCTCCCTCGAGCGTGCACGCTACGTTTTCTAGTCTATGAGCTAGATGTAGTTTGCGGCAGCCCGCATCTGTCTCCAAGGCCTCTAGAATCTGAAAAGAATCCCCCACGAAGGGAGTTAATTAGTATCACGAGCGAAATTTTCAATAGACGAACAAGAGATTAATTGACAAATTCAGTTGGCGAACGCCTCACTTCGAACCAAACTCACTTACTTGTTCGTAATACTTGCTGACATAGATATAGAGCTCTTTCAGCGCGGCGATCACGTCGAACTCGTTGGCGTGAGACGCGCTCAGTTGCTGCATGGCACTAGACATCTCCTGGTCAGTAATTTGCGGCAGTTTCTGCACGTCTGTGTAAAATTGTATCACCATCTCGCGATAGTGCGGTATGTCCTTGGCGAAGAGCAGCTTGTTCGACGGCGAGTCCTTGCCCAGTCTGTGTTCCGTCATTGAGCACGAGTCCATAAACGTTTGCGCAATCACTGAGAGACTCGAGTCCACTGTTGTGGACTTGTTGATGTCGAACATAAAGTCCGGATTTTTGATGAAGTTAACCCAGAACCGAAGCGGCAAGCTGTTCGACTTCCACGCATGCGGCACTTCCGGGTCGATGATGCCGTGCTGCTTCGCAGCCTCGTCAAGGAGATCGAACAGCCACTTGACTGCGCTCGGCAGCGCCTCGTTGGCGGTCAATATGGTAGTGAGAAAATCGTCGACGAACTTCTGCACTGTGCCTTTCGTTGACAGTAATCGCGTGAGAAATATTTCCGGTATCGCTTTGTGCGTTCGTTCGGGATGGTGATGATGCTTGCTGCTGCTGGTAAAGCCCAAGCTGGGCGGATAGTGGCCGTCCTCGGGTCTCACTAGATGATACACCCGTTGATTGCCGCCGTGTCCGCTCTCGACGTCGCCGTTCGCCGTGATGATGGGTGGCGAGTGTTGCGAGTCAAAGTACAAGCCGCTCACGGGGTGATTGTACATCACAGGACTGATCAGCCCATGATTGGGCGTGGATGGAAGATGCGTGGACGAACAGTGATTTGAGTGTCGGTGAAGATGATGATGATGCGAATGGATCGGCTGTTGCTGCTGTGGGTGGTAGTGCGAGGGTTTACAGTTGTGACAGGGAGGTTTGCACGCCACGGAGAAACCGTCGTTCTGCCGTGGGATCAGCGACATCACCGCCGATTCTTTGACACCGTAATGCGCCAGCGTGTTGATCTTCTTCCACTCGCCGCTGCACTTAGTCGTGAGGTCTTCATCCTGAAGAGTCAGGTGGCCACCACGACCGTGCCGCCATTCCAGATCGACGTCGTGCACGGACGGTCTCAGTGAAAACGGAGTATTTTTGTACAGCGCATCGAGAATCTTCGACTTCACCTGACTTATAGTGTCGCAGTCTAAAACCTTGCATTGTATCTTCTCATCAAGATCGTCCTGCACCACGTGTAACGTGACAATAGTGTGTTCAATCTGCTCACGCAGAAGCCTCTCTTCCGAGAGCGAGTATCTCGCGTCGTGCGTTATCACATCCACCGGTCCTTTCTCAATCTGATGTTTAATCGCCTTGAACAGCAAAAATAATGACGAGCCGGCGTAATCCTTCAGATAGTTGTACATGCAGAGCGCCATCCAATTTGTCAGCATTTTCTCTACCACCGACTCCGTCCTTCTCAACATGAGCTGTGGATGTTTTGTGTTTACCGCTTTCTCGATCAGTCTCAGCAGTAGATTCATCAATATATCCGTGGCGTATTCCATCTTGCCCATTAGCACCACCATGAGCAAAGAGGCGACGTTCACTTTGTCCCTGATATTAAAGTCTTTCTGAGCTTCCAAGGTCTCTATGAAGGTCAACACAAAATACTTGTTATTGACCAGCTGTTCGAATTGTATCATCGCCGCGTCGTAGTTGGTCCGCGAAATGTTGCTGCGCGAGCGCGGATCGTTCAGTATGGGATGATCTATTACTCCGGGGAAGAACACTTTCATAATGTAATTCTTATGATCGAGGGTTGGTATACCGGACGACTCGAGATCTGCCGTCAAGTCCGTCATATCCGTTTGCAATTCCGCAAACGCCTGCTTGCATTCCATCCGGACGTTGCTCTCGAGCGTGTCCATCTGTATTTGGATCCGTTTATATTCCCGTTCCGCTTGCGTGCTCTTGCGGCGATAAATCACCAACACTAGTCCGAATAGAAAGATGAGACCGAAGGTGCCGGCAGCGATGCCCGCAATGGCCTCCGGTGGTATCGGATAGGACTTGATCACCTCATAGCGCAGGTAACCGATCGGGAAGCGCAGACTGCGACCGACTCGTACCACCACAAGCGGTAATCCGATCTCAGTCTTGATGCCGAGCTCGTCCGTGTCGGCAGGCTGCTGATCCGGTGGCGTACAAACTAGTTGCGTGAGAGCGAGCGACGTTACGTTACAGGGCATAGTACCAACGGTAACATTTACGTCGGACTCGTCGCTTGCGTAATTGAGATTCTCACCTTCGATCACCAAAGTATCGCCCTTGTACAGTTTGATATTCCGCGGGAACGGAAATAACTTTGGATCTTCGACGTAGAGCAGTCGATTGCGAAGACTCTGAAAGTGTTTCTCCAAGTCCCGCACACTCTCCACGTTGTCCATAATGAAGGCGATCCTGAGAGACAGTTGGGGCTCTTTCAATCTTGATGACTGCGACGACAAATTGCCTTGAACAGCACTGGCAGAACGTTCGCTCCGTCGAATCGAGCTGAATCTCTTGGCGACGCTCGGACTGGGACACTCCATTTGCGTAGGATTCAGGACGGTGCAAATGGTTCTGTTCACTGGTAACGGCTCGTTATCGAAATAAACTTCCATCTCGGGCTTCTGAATAGTGTCGAGGTTTGTGCCGTGCACGGTGATCATGCGACCGCCCGAAGCGAAGCTTCTCAGAGGCTTAATCTCCATGATGGTCGGATCGTGAGTGTAATTAAATGGATTATCCACTAGGGTGCGATTCGCGCCGTCTATGTTCAACGTTAGTTTGTGAATTCGCCTAACGCGACCCGACTTGCTGGTCACGCAAGTCAACCTCGTGCTACTCGCCTGAGTCGCGTTCACGTGGCACGGCAGCTCGTCCAGATATGCTGAAATCGTGCTACCGATGTTCAAAAACATACCAGTTATGGCTAGCTGCGTGCCGCCGCTTTGTGGGCCGACCGACGGAAACACGCCCGTGAGACGTATGTCGTTGTAATTGAATTGTACCGAGCTCTCCGTGTAGCCGGCGTCATTCCCGACACTGACTTTCGCCGAGTCCGTGGCCTCGTGCGGACCGGTGCGGCAGACAATACGCACCGACACTTCATAATCTACCAAGGTGCACGGAGTCTTGCCGATGAGTATTTTTCCGTCCACGTCGCTTTCCTTCAGCCCGAGATTGCTACCCTCAATCGTAACCAAAGTGCCACCCTCGATCGGTCCGCTTAACGGCTTAATCAGATCTATCCGGGGCTTCGGGCACTCAGTGAACGGTAACTGAAGACACGAATGTCGATACACACAACTAGTTCCGCACCAAGTGCACTCGAACCGACGGTCTCGCGTCATGCACAAAGAACAGTCCGCGTGATCGCGATGTGAGCCGAGCACCTCGCACTTGTACAAAATTATCGTAGTCTTATCAACGTGATGATTCGTATTCCAAACAACCGTCACCTCGGCCTCGTACTCGCCGGTCACCGCCTCGTAGGAATAGACCGTTTTGTCGCACACGATCAAACGATTGCTGTCCACACGAGCCTGCACCTTAAGTTTGGCGCCTTCGATGCTTACGATGCATTGAAATCCGCTGTGGCCCACCTGCGGATGAGGCAAATTTTCCACCTCGAGCATTATCTCCTTGGGTACACTGTTCGGGAGCATCAGCGGTTCCTTGCGTTGCACAAATCTCGGACAGTACTGTGCTCCGTGAGCGGCGAGATTCGCTTGATTTTGCTAAAACGAGAACGAAAATATTTATTAGAATCTACGTAGTAGATATGTAATAAAAAATTTAATGCAGAAAAAAATAGATAATATAATAAATTAAAATATAGATCAATAATTGTAAGGAATAAACGGTGCTTCGCAGATTAAAAATCAAAATTGAAAAGATCAAAAAGAACAGAGCCACCGGTAAAAAAAAATTAAACAATACGTGGAAAATTAAACAATAATCCGATTAGTCAAACAGAACGTTTCAATCATATATTTTTGATTATCTTCAGCCTGTCGAAAATTAACGAACTTCATAAAAGCATTACAATCCTTGAATGAGGGGAAAAGTATGAATTTCAAATTATAAAATTTCACCTTGTTTATTTGTATTATAAATGTTTTGATGAAATTTGTTGACTTTTAATAGACTGAAAATGATCAAAAATACATAATAAAAACGTTCTATTTAATTAATCGAATTGGATTATTATTTAACATTGGACTCGGTGGCTTTTTGCTCTTTTGTCCATTTTTAAATGTAGGCCAACAAGAACAAAAAGTGTTTTAAATTGTAATTAAACTTCTTTTAATTACATTTCAAAAAATGAAATCGTTAATCAATACAATTGTGCTTTTGAGATAATATCGAAAATTGAATTACATTCGATGTTGAAACTATTGTTTGATTTGTTTCATTGTATGAAAGCAAATATGTACCAAGCTATAAAATGCACAAAACTCACGTTTTCTCCCGATATAATGCCCTGACAGCTAGTGTTGTGGGTACATTTGTTGTCGTAAACGCACCAGCTGCACGCCCATTGTGATTTCACGCACTCGGTGCACACGGTGTGTCTCGAACAGTCGAAAAATGCGAAGTTGCGCGATACAAAATCCTTGTTCGTCTCACTCGACCGCACGGACAGTGGCACGAGCGCGTGATCGGCGCCCTCGGGAATGCTCGGTCTTTCCATAACGGGAGGTGTAGGGCAGGACAGTCCGAAACCGGTCATCAGCGCGTCTATAGGCTCGGCGTTACCAAAAACGCACTTGTAATTAGCGCCCGCTGGTAATTCGGGCAGAGTTCGAATTGTTAATTGCACCGTAGTCATCTGGTTAATGGGCATTCGATCGGGCAGAACCTGCTCGAAATCAATGCACTGCTGACCCGTGCCGAGAGATAACCATCGTGGACTGCTGTGACTTGCCTTTTGACAATCTCCTCTCACTGTGCATCTGTACGGCAACGTTCATAAAGACAAGACAATTCGATTAAATCATGTGCGCAGCGAACAGGTCAAAATAAATTTGAAATTCAGTCGCACGACTTGAAAATAAAAATGTGACACAAAAGTTGTAAGATACAAATAAAGTCTAACGCAATTGAATTGTAAATGAAAAATGTATGTACACGTATCAGAACATCAGCTTACCTTTTTTCTAAAGAACACCAACCACAGTAGGGATCTTTCGCATCGAGGCAGCTACTGCAATTGGTGTAGCCGCTGCAATGCTCCACCTTAACTTTCGATATCTTCGATGTAGATAATACGTAGATGTACTCGCCATCGGGTGAGATGAGTGTGTCAGGTAAAAGTTTTTGTTCTTTGTCAATCGTGACGCTCTCATAAACGAAAGCTTCGGTTCCGGACAACAAAACTTTTTTAAGAACCCCGTCGTTCGTCCCGAAAAACGCTACCGTGTGGCTCTCGGTATTCGCGACCGTTACCGAGGTGATGAATGTATCGGGAAAATGCAAAATAGCTTGGCCTACGATCGGCGATACGCCTGAAATCTTCAGTCCAACTTCGCAGAAGTTGAGTATGTTTCCTGTGGTCTGTAAAGCAAAAGAGAAAGATCAACAATTGAACTGGTGTGTTTGAACTGGCGCGTCTGATCATCTTTGTTTATACTCACACCAGCGGTGGGACATTTCCCATCTTGAATGGGACCGCTGACATAACCCATGTTGCGATATTTGATGCTACCGTTGAAGCACATGTGAATATTTTCATTGAACTTGGTCTCGATGTCTTGGAGACTGTAAACACAAACCGCCGAACGAGACATAGGCTCGTTCGTTATCCCTCGGCTGGGCGAGAATACGGAAACGAAAATCGGATCGCCCACGGATATGCCGAGCTGCATAGCCAAATCGCTTCCCGCCGCCGCGACTTTTGCGTCCTGCACCAAATTGTAATAGTGCTGCTTGCCGTCCCCCAGATCGACTGTGCATTGCAACGTCACCTCCGTGTAGCTATCGTAGTTCGGATCACTTATGCAGCTTCGCGCGAGTCTGGAAATGTAACCCAATTCCTCCTGCTCAGGCAAATACGACTGTTTCTGCACCAGAACGAAATATGCGTAGTCGCTTGCGTTGAATCCGTACACATATTTCACGAGAAAGTGATCTCGATACTTGACGTCGATGTACACGATCGACTGTTTATTGAACGTGTACTCGGCAAAGTCCAATTTATCGAGATTTCGACTGGAGATGGCGGGCACATCGTGACGGTAATCTCCTTTGTTGGTGAATGTCGTTCCCACGTAGAGTATGTTCGTTTGCCCCCACGGATTATATTTCTCGGGTCCGATGAATGCGTACGTGGACGAATTTTCATCATTGGCGGCCACACTGTGTGGGACAAACTCCGGTTTGATGGATATGTTGGACATTTTGTATTTCTCGCAAGCACCTTGAAGGAGAGAACCACAGGCGATTATGGTTTGTGATTCGAGATCGGCAATTAGTAATTTGTTCACATTATCCATTAATGAAGTGGTTATGTCTCTTGCCATGCAACCTGTTGCATGACATTGAGGATTATCCAGTCTCGGGCCTGAAATTAAAAACATATAGATCATACATTTCTTCTTTTACATTTGTACATTTTAAAGATTACAAGTCAGTATTGCCCACCAGTTGAGACATATTCCTCCAATTTGAGATTCGAATCAAGCTGAAAGAGCCTGTTGATCGCACCCGCATAGAGCCTTCCCGAATAAGGATCTATGGTAAGATGATTGAATCTTAGAGCGCCCTCCCTGGTCGTGTTGGCATCCAGAGAAAAGTGCCCGTATCGCTGTACATTTCCCACGGGAAACTGTCCTACTATGTGCGGTGATCTATTGTCTTGTATAGGTGCAATGGTGCTAGCAGGAGTGTCTATCGCTGCAGTTGCCAATATCACTAAGAACCATGTGGCAACGGACATGAATGAGAAGGAGAATTGATGAAGAAACGGCAGCAGCACTTGTGAAGATGACACTGTGAGTGACTTGGGAAATGACTGGGTAAGTCCCAGGAATTTCATGGTGTGTATGTAACAGTTGACAAAGCACATGGGCACACACTTGGGAGTGTGTGTCAGTGCGTATACAAGTCTAGGATAGGAAATGTAAAAGGTATGGTGTTAGGATCAGTGTGTCTTGCTGCTGGTAGCAAGCCAGTTTGTAACACAATACTACCAGCTATGCTCAAGTCCAGGTACTGACATGTCAATCATTGTCCAGCATTTCTGAAACAGATAAACTATATTGAAGCCAGTGTATTAATTTTTTCTAAATAATAACAGTAATAATAATATTGAGAACTTTACTTTTCTGCTATATTAGATATTTATTTGTCAAAAGTAAATTATTTTAACAAGCGTTCAAGTATCATCTAAACCATAAACTTTGGTGCTATTCGTTAGAAAAAACAAAGATAAAATGAAGCTGATAACGCGCTCAAACTCAACCTTTGTCTCACGATTGTTTAACAGCCAATTTTTTCACTTCTAGATAAGTTTTCGATAACTTTATCTAGAAGATATCTTTCAAAATTGGTTCTCCTTATTGGTTCTCAGAGGAGAGCTATCAAAAGGTATGAAGAAATCAGTCGTAAATCAGAGAAAATTATATATGTGTATATACATGATTGTTTTTGTTTTTTAAGTAAAGTGCCACTTTTAAAACAATTTTTTAAATAACCTTAAAAACGCACAGTAGCGACCGTAGCCAGATCCACTCGCGGCACATCGGAAAGAAAGAAAAAAATCACTCGCGACGCGACACACCGCGTGTCGAATATTTCTGTCGCAAAAATCACACGCCAATTTGTTCGTCGCGCGTATGCACCGCAACGTGAACGCATCGGCCAAGTCCGTCGTCGAAACGGCTGTCAAGAATAGTAAATAGAAGCTCTGGACGGAGCTTCCCTAACAATGAAGAAGCATTTACGATAAGGGACAGATGGCTCCGCACGCACTTGGGGCAATGCCACAGCACACACCGCCCTTCATTAGCGTGGTCAGCGTAGCTGCACTTGACAGCTAAGGCCACTGTCTTCGCACAAAGGCAAGGAGATACCATCCCTGTTCAATCACCCTCTCTCCACCTCCCCTCATCGCGATGCACTTCTTACCAAAACACAGCCGAGACGACGACGAATCGGAAACGGTCGCGTTGTCGTAAGCGCGAGAGAGCCGCGTGAAAAATAGGCTTGGAACGGATTCGTCGCGGAGGAGAAAGCCCCGCGACTGACTCTCGGTGCTCTCACAGCCACGAGCGAGCCCGAAGGAACGCGCGAGCGATGATATCGGGTCGAGACGCTAGAGTCGCCACCGTTTTCTCCTTCTCGACTCGATCGGGGAAGAATTTTTTTTTACCTTGCTTGCGCGTCGCGCATCACTAACGTACGTTGTTGCGGGAACGCTGCTGCTCGCACTACAACCCGATTGCTACGGTACATCGCGAATCTGCGGCATGCCCGGATCAGATATAACGAAAGTTCCGGCTTGCGCAGAAACAAGCGCCTGGTCGCCACCACGAACGTCGTCGGTAGTCACCGCGGCCGCACCGTCGCACCACCGCCCGGGTGAATCCTTGCCCGGATGTAATCCGATCGCCGTTGCCACAATATCATACGCGAGCCGACCGATCCGTATCCGTCAGCTCACAACACAACACTGCAAACGGCGGAGTCGGGATCAGCCGCCATTAAAATTCGACCGACATGGGGTTCTTTGCCTGCACACACGAGTTCAGAACGCGAGAAGTCGGGGGCGGGAAGCGGGAGGGGAAGCGTGTGGCTACGGCATGCGCCGCTTCTTCTCTCTCTCACCCTTCTCACGCATGCCTCCCTCTCTCTCGACTTCCTCCTAGCTCCTCTTATCGTGAATCCTCTCTCACGAGTCGGACTCTTCGCTCCCTTTTGCCCCCCTTCGGTCCCTGCGCCAAGCACGTTTTTCTTTCTCTTTTCTTACTCATTCATCTCCTTTTGCTTCTCTGTACGAACGCACAAACGTTCGCCGCGCGTGTGTATATTCAAAGAAACGTACACGTTACCTCCTTCGCGAAGTTGGTAAAACATTTTTTTTCCCAATATGAAAATTCGCGATGTTAACTTCATTTTTATTTACATCACATGAACTTTTATACACACGCATTTTCTCTCTGCGATGTAAAATAATTGTTTCTCACGTGTGTAGAATCTAAAAAACTATTGGGAAACAAGCGATTTTTCTTATTTTTCTCAAAATTTCAAAGAATTCAAATAAAATTTGCAACATAGACATTTTTATGTAATTCCAGTTCTTCTTCTCTGAGGTCTGATATAAAAGATGCGACTTCCAGAACACCTTGTATACACCTGTAGACGTAACGTGTTCCCTCCGCACTTGACGGCGCATACAAAGCGCTCTCTTTCGTTAGACTGTCGTACCTTGCTTCAATATTTCCAGAAGAGACCAGAGAGTTAACAAACATCGTATTGCTCGCACCGTTTTTTTTTTTTTTTTTAAATATAAAATTACTCGATTTTTCTATTCCCTTCTCTTTGTACAACATAAAACTGCACAAAATTTACTTCTAATTGTAAATACTACATTTATTTCGCCGTACGAAATGACTAAGCTAAAATGGCCGCTTGTTGCGTGCCAAAGGCTGCTTCGCGACCCTCGCCGCCGCTATTGAAAATCTATAGTTTACGTCGCACGTATTATAGATTTTCAACATCCGCAGCGAGCGCATCGAAACGCACCTAGTGCTCCAGTTAAACTTAAAATATCTACGCGTATCGTTTTTTGTTTTTACTTACACTGTTTTTTCCTTTACAGATGTGTGTAAATAAAGACCAAGACTTTTTTTACGCCTGGAACAATCTTGTTGTTGCAGTGACTGGTCACACAAATTAGTCGAGTTTGAAAAACGATTCTGATCATATCGTTACAATTTATTATTGTAAATATGTTATTTACACATATATCTAAAGCTTCAAACAGCTTCATAACGGTTTTTTTCTGTTACTTTTTTTTTAATCTTTTGTTTTTCTCTGTCTCTATATAATATATGTATGAGAATAAGAGGTAAAGTTTGTTTTTTTCTTTTTTTCGACCGTGATTTTTTTACTTTTTAATTGTATATAACAAATATAGTAAATAACTAATATTATAGCTCGCAATTGGAGAATATGAGAGAACGCATAAGGGTATATAACATAAATTGTAAATGTGTGTCATAAGGATTCGTTTCGTTCCAACTGTCCTGTCTCTCTCGTGTTTCCTGCCTCGTTCGATTTTTTTTTCGCGAATACATATATGTATACATACGCACATATATACATATATAAATGTATATATATATATATATATACATATATTTATATATATATATATATATACATATATAACATATCTAAAATCTGTAGTTTGTAATTTGTATGTTCACGAGATATTTTACTTAAATGTATTACAACTTTGCATAGAATATTTTATTCGAAGAGATCTTTCTCTTCTTTTCTTTTCTCTCTCTCTCTTTCTCTCTCTTTATTCAGTGTGCATGAGTGTATACATGTATGCATGTGTGTGTGTGTGTGTATGTGTATATTTTTTTAGGGTACATCTTTTAAAAATATACCCATTCTTAAAAGTTTCTTACATCTTATACTCATTGGCAAGCGACGAGGCCTGCCGTTACAATAAAGGGACTGTTCTTTTTCATGTACTGTATAAAACTTATAAAACAGAAAGTGCGTTTTTTTTTTAAATTTACGCCTAAAAAGAGATATTATACATTCTCACGCGTGTATCTCGATGCTATTATCCAGCCTCCTTTAGGCCCTTGACGCGACATCGGAATTGCGACACCGCAGCGCCTATGTCTTGATTTGTATACAATGAAATTTCTCTCTTGCTTTCGGGTATTTAATTTGCGTTCGGATTTAAATTTCTGGTCCACAATCTGTTTTTTTTTTTTGTTTTTTTTTCTCGTTTCTCTCTTGCGCGTCTTATACATCTTTTTTTTCTGCTTTTTTGTGTTCCTCTCACGGATTCGGGACTATTAACAAGTTTTTCGGGAGACCAAGCTCCGCCTCGACAGATTGTTTGTCCGTTGACCAGTAATTCAGACTAATTACAGACAAACAGTTTTTCACAAGTAGAAAAAAGAATCGTTATCTATTGTTGTTTTTTTCTTTTATGTTCATACATTATTAACTTTTTACGTGTACTATTTTATATGCCAATATGTACTCGTGGCGTTCAGACCACGACAGGAATTTTTAGATAGTGTTATACGTATTTCACTTCTGCAATGGTGTACTGTATTATGCATTAATAATTAGTTATCACTAATGCAAGATTCTTGATAATTATATTTCTTTTTTTTTTTTTTTTAAGTATTGTTCTATTTATAAATGTATTGATGGTGACGGCAATGATGGGACGTTGTAGGATCGACGAGATGAAGCTATTTATCCCAGAGAAGGAAAATCGTTCTCATCGTCTACCTTTGGAGCGTTCTGACGACTTCGTGGCGATCTTTGCTCGTTTTGCGACTGGAAAAAACGAACGCAAAGATTGTGCGTGTAATTATTATGTATCGTCTTGTGTAAAAATTGTTGTTCGAAAAACAAAATAAAGGAAAAACATGTTTTCCGTTTTACTAGAAGATAATAGATACTCACGCGTGAATCGCCGTCCCTTGGAGCACCGCGGTTTCCAAATCCGCGGCCGTTCATACGATCGCCTCGACCGCGGCCGCCTCGACCACGACCACCTGAGCCACGTCGGGAATCACTAAATTGTATCTCAATACCTAACACGCGTTTCTGCCTGCCAACGCGTTGAGGATATTCAGCAGCTGCGTCATACTCTTCCTCTTCTTCGTCCTCATCCTCATTCGTTTCTTTCTTTCTCTCGAGCGCGTACATCTTTTTCCAGCGAGACAGATCCTCACCTTCACCGGCCTTTCGCAAATTATATTGAGGCTTTGCTCTGTTACTTCGTAGAGCTTTCCACTCGTCCAGTGTCAGTTCACGCGTTTCTTCTTCGACCGGTTTCTCTTCCGCGGGCGTTTCCGCGGTGGTCTCGCCATTTTTCACTTCAGGAGTCACTTGAGTATCAGAGTCCGGTTTTTCGTTGGCCCAGTCTTGAGTTTCTTGGTTGAGACTTTCCCTAAAAGCAAAATAAAAACAAAAAATATAATATATTTCTAAAAAATATAAGATGTATACGAGCTTGATCGCAGGTTTTTTTATGCGGAAAAAATAGATTATTTTCTGAAGCTGTTGTAAAAAATACTTCTTAACTACTCTGATGATCGGATACACTGTATGATTGTGTAATATTTGACTATCAAAACCGGCCAAGTGGTCTCGCGGCCTAAATGCGAGGGCTAGAGCAGGAAGATCCCGAGTTCGAATCTACATCTTCGGATTTTTCTGGGCCGGGCTTTTACAGTCGAATTTATTGACTGAAATGTGAACTGAATCGGACCTCCAATCAGTTAGTCTTCCAGTTTGAAGGTTGGACGCAAGGTCAAACAACCTTGCTCCATAAAACTTGTATCATTAAGCATCGGAAGTTAAGCCTCAGAGCAGTATACACTTTCGTGGTGGTTCGGAACCCACCTAAAGTCGTAGGTCCTTTCTGGCACTCCACTATTGAGTGGAAGACTAGACTTCTGGAGGTCATAACCCGTCTGTAGTATGATTATGATTTTGTTATCATCATCATACTCCTATCACTAGTAATGATTTGACTATCAAGATACTTACTCTATTTCGTCATTATGAGTTCCCCAGTTATGACTACCAGCCCCATCTTTCTTGTCAACAGGTTTAATGCCACTATTAACAGATAATTAGTTTTTTTTTATTCTAACAAAGCTCATAATATTTGAACAAATGCTTGCTCGTTATATTGACAAAACCTTGGTTAAACGCAACTATACTGATATCATGCGCGTGTGTACTTTTTGTTTTTAATCGTGAAGATATTATATATACATATATATATATGTGTGTGTGTGTGTGTGCGCGCACACATAAAGATATGTAAGTGCAATATCTGTGTGTAAAATACGCGCGTTGATACTTACGTTTTATCAGAACCCGACTGACGATCAAACTCGCGTTTACCGCGATTATCAAAACCTCCACGACCACGTGGGCCTCCACGTCCACGACCTATACCCCGCATTCCTCCACGGCCGCGACGCTCGCCATACTCGCCACGCTGAGCGTCAGTCGAGTTACGAAACTCGCGCGTCTCACGGCCTTCGCTGAAATAAAATACATAATGCTGCTGTTACACAAATTATATTGAATTCAAGAATCTAGAGATATCACTTAAAAATATCATGAAATTGTTACAGTCTTTCAGAATTTCTCGTTCTTGCCACGTATAAATGCAAATGAACTAAACATGCAATTCAAAATTAGTATTGTGTATTAATGTGTGATTGATTAGTACCACATTTGTTATATTTTATACAATAGAAATTACCTCGGAGAATGTGCGAAATAACGCATTCTCTCAAGTTTAAAGTTCATTTTATGTACCGGAAAAAACACATTTCAGAAAAACGGCAATACAGTATTTCGCATCAAAAGTTGCAGGTTTCTTTGTTTAATATGTATTTTATTTAATATTGTATTTGCTTGTATTAACCTAGGAGGTCCTCGCCTGAATTCTCCCTGTCCTCCTCTACTTGGTCTTTCTCCTTCCTCTCGGTTACGCCTATTGTTACGCTCTTCTCTGGATTCACCGGAAAACTTCACAATTCGATCGCCACCGCTTGTTCGTGGCTCTCCACCTCGAGCTGGTTTCTTTTCAACTAAAAAAAACCATAAATATAAAAAATGTAATACAAAAAGTATGTAAAGTGTATTTATGTTTTAAAGACTATTTTTAACATAAATCTCTATGCATTATTTGTGACTTTATTACAAATTATTTTTATTACAGCACATATATGTGTGCACATGTGTGTAACTTATAAAACAAGTTAAAAAAAATTAGTGTTGTTTATAATTAGACAAAAAGTGAAAGAACCAATGTTTAAACTAAACAATTTAATAAAAACATAAAAGACTTATCTGATTTAATTAGAGAATTATTATTTTATTAATCAATAACCACTTTGCAAAATACTGTCTCACAATTTTAAGCAATTACATGAGATAAAATATTTGTTGCAAAGTTAAAAGTCAAAACAATGTGATGTGTATACAAATAATATTTTTATACATATACAAGTTTCTATAAATTTATTAAAAATAGAAACAAAAAGAGAGCTTGGGAGACAAATCAAAAAGTTTATAAACCGTCTTTTTGTCAATGTTACATAAAAGTTGATTTTAATTGTATTAGCCGATGTCCATTCGAGTCATATAAGACCGTCGCGGAATCAGTATGAGCGATCCTATTTTTATAAGAGGGATGCATATTTTCATTTTTAGAAAATTTCATACCGACGCGATTGTGTTTCCGCGGCAAACCCGCCGAATCACTGCGACACGTTGGGTATCGGAAAACGTTCGATTGGCAAAAAGCACCACAGAGACCGATCGGAACGAAGAGGGCTGAAACGATACACGAGCGAGCACATGGACCGGACACGAGGAGCGAGCCGACGGCCATAACGCGCCCGAGGCGCCGTATCAGCCGGAATGAGCGAAGCAACTAACCTTGATCTTTTTTCGGTTCCTGCGTCTTCGACGGCGGTTGCTGGGCATCCTTGATCACGCGGCTCTTCGGAGTTTTGTTGTTCGCAGCCTTTTGCCCATCTTGCTGTTGTTGCTGCTGCTGCTGCTGCTGCTGCTTGCTTTTATTTTCTTTTTCAGAAATTCTCTCCTTCTTTTTGGCTTCCTTTTCAAGTTCCTGGACTTTTAGCACTTCCAGTGGGTCCTCGCTTTCATCGAGCGCCAGCTGGAACTTGTTCCTGACGGTGACGGTGTACTCATTTTCCATCTTGTCTCGTTATCCTCACGGCGTCGAGGATTTTGTGATTTCACGGCTACTCTTGAGCCTCTGCGTAACGAAGTCATTCACTATCCAATATGGCCGAGTAGAAGAGAGCCCAGTTCACCACGAGGTCTAGTAGCCCGCTACGGCGCGATGTGAAGAGAGAAGGGGGTCGCATAATTCCCCAAACCAATAAAATTCGCAACCACCGCGCCACCTTCGCTCCTATTATCCGAGCGAAAATCGCCCGAGAATCGCCTGAAAATACACAGGATTTTTCATTGTTCGACGGGTCGAACGTTGTTGCCAAAACAATTACGTCGCAAAAGTTTGTCCTCAATTATGTTCCTCAAAAAGAAATAACCGCGCGATGTTCGCAAGACTTTCAAATGTTCAGTTACCTTTCTTCCTCGTCGAGTAAAAAACTGGCGATTTTCATGAAAAACGCGAAAATGGTAGCGAAATAAATTTTTGTCCGCAACATGGAAAATCGTCGCAGGCGTTCAAAACAAACCTACGCGTCTCGAGGGAAAGGTATTTTATTTAAAAGCGCAACAGAGCGACGGGATAGAAAAATGTGAGCAAGCTACTGAAGTTGATTGGTTGTGACGCGTCGTGCGACATGGCGCGTTTTTAAATACGACGCAATTGTCGATTTTTGAGAATTACTTGAGCAAAATCGCGTATCGAATTGAACTTGAAAAACGCTCAACGTATTTCTACCACTCGGTTCCATTGATAAAAATCATCCCCGAACGCATTTCTCTCCCGCTGCTCGGAGAGTCGACCCGACCTCTAACACCGAGAGAGAACTCGCATTAACGAGCAAACAGATCGGACCGTTGGATATGGGACTTTTGAGTAGATGCGCGCGCAGACGGCGTCCATCTTTTGGCGAACTCTCGTGTGCACAGATCCGCTTGTATTTTGGCGGGTTTCAGTTTATACGCGGCAACACTGTTGTTACGGCACGCTCTTGGCGGCAGAGAGGTCGCCAGCATCAGTCAGGTAGTCGGTGGCGGTTGTGGCGGTCGCATCCTGACGAGGAATGACAATATAACACCGGAGAGTCGGGTGAGTGAAGATACGGTAAACGAGGAGTGAGTGAGTCGGTTGATGACATGTACACGCCGAAGCGGAAGACGCGTCCCTTGACAGAAAAGCTTGACAGCAGCCCAGTGAGCGAAGCGTTTTACCACCCGTTCTATTGGAACGAGGAAGTGCGCAACGTGCAGGCTCTAAGTCCGGGTAGCTCGTGCTCGTCGCCAGAGTGCAAGGATGTCACCTTGATAGTCAACACTTGTCTAAATGTTGGCGGCGCAGGCAGCAGCGGACCGTCGTGTACCACCACCGTCAATGTCGAGAGCCATCGCCGCGGTCGACCGCGTGCCGACGCTCTCACGAATCTCATGATGCAGGGCAGCACGTCGCCGAGCAACATTAAGTGCACGTACTGCAATCGGGTGTTCCCGCGCGAGAAGAGTCTGCAGGCGCACTTGCGCACCCATACAGGTGGGTAATAATAACGCGCGTAACGAAAATTAGCGGCCGCGCATCGCCGAGATTTGCCAGCGGCTTCTCCGTTTTTCTGCGGGAAATGTACCCGCGCACGTTTGTCGCTGTTTGTTCGCCGAACGAAGCCTAGTTGCCCTCGTCAACGATCTCGCGCAAGTTTATTCAACGATTTCGAGAAAATCTCTCGCGCGCGATATAGTGTACGTACGCGCGCGTACGTATACCCGCGTGCTCCCCCGCCACGCGCTTGCTCATGGCTCACCTCGCGTCCCGCCAATCGGCCATAATGCTCGTGCTTTAAATACTTAAATGGCTCTCTCACGCGACACCGAACTTGGCCAATTGCGCACCAAATCAACGGCACGATGACGCGCAACGCGGAGCACGTTGCACGCGATCGCGTCGCGCCGGCGGACATTCCTCATCCGAAAGAACCATGTGCGTTTTGTACGCAATCCGTTTTTCACGCCTGCCTCGTTACGGATAACACAATAAGAGTGCAGTTTCTTTGTCTATTGACAACACAAATAGGACACTTGTAGCGGCGCTTTTTTTTCGCATCTGCTTTGTACTCGTGTTGAAAGATACGTTTCTCGAAAAAGAGTGTTGTTAACATTCTTGTTTGTTGGACGTACTTTTCTGTCAGTTTTTCATTTCTTTTTTCTTGCGACCGGTTTTTTTTTTTTTTTTTTTACTTCCACGTGTGTGTGGAAATCTCTTTCATTAAAAAAAACCACAACAATTTTGTATCAATTCTGTTTACTTACGCATGCGCGCGTTACCTGTAAGACCAAAGTAAAATATCACATTCAAAAGCACAACTTGAACCAAATTTACCGACCAATTCGTAAAAAAATATTGAAATGTCTCGACTCCGATACATAAAAAGAAATCTGTAATTAAAACTAGCTTTACCACTTTGTCTCAAAGTTAAACTCACACATAACTTAGAGATAGCTTGTAGAAAAAAAAAAAAAACCAATGTTGTGTATCCCGATGTAATAAAATTCTTATGCGCATTTGTAGGTGAGCGTCCTTATACATGTGATTATCCTGGATGCACAAAGGCTTTTACTCAGTCCGGACAGCTGAAGACTCATCAACGGCTGCACACAGGAGAGAAACCATTTGTATGCACTGAACCAGGCTGTGAAATGAGATTTACTCACGCTAATAGACACTGTCCCGAACATCCCTATGCCAATCTCACACGATCAGATGATTTTGTGTTAAAGCAAGTATCGGATAACACCGAATTGTCGAACGATGTCAGTCGATGGTTGGAGCGTTACAAAATGTCCAGAGAGCGGGAAGACAGAACGCCAACTGGAAAGAACGATCGGAAGAAGAAATGGAAGAACAACAGCGAAAACAAGAGGATAAAATCCAGGAAAGGTCTGATGATGGACATGGCGGGCGAACAAGAAAATCTCGATCGCAAACCGACCAGTCAGCGTCTGCACTGCGAGCAGAAGCGGGATAGTCAAGATAGTCAGGATAGTCAGGATAGTCAGGACAGTCAGGACAGTCAGGATAGCCAAGAAGAAAGTCAAGACGAAGATCCAGCTGAGGCGTGCTGCGCAATATTGCAGACATCGGAAGACGAAGAAGCGTCGAGCGCTAAGATGGCGCTTTCGGCATTGAGGAAACCATTGGACAGATTACAACCAAAGAAACGATGGCTACGAAACGCCTGTTTGGAGCAGCAGTTAGGTTTAAATAAGGATGTTAATAGTTGTAACAACAGTCTACCATCCGTATACAAACTTGATGAAAAACAAGTTCTCAATGGACCTGCTGGACCTGGAGAATTGTCTGAGATCCAGTGGTATCCTAAATACGCCAATAACTCAATTACGAACAACAACAATGAAAAGCACGAACTAGCACTTCCAGGCGCTCATTTTGAATCTTCATACGATACTTCGCCGATGCCTTGGTACACGAATCATTACGACGAATCTCCGAAAGTAACTGAAGATATCGCACAAGAAGTAACAATCGCACACTCCCCCAGTCAGATACAATGGGATTCTTCGAATTATTTACTGAATAACAGGAATATTCTTACTAGTATTGAAACTGGTATTGATATTAACGAATCACAACAGGATCTGCGAATTCCTGAATCGGATTATTCCTATATTGACTGCGCAGCTCCGCCACCAGCTAGTTCCTACGTCAACAAGAACGAAACTAGACCGACGGTTTTGATGTTGGCCGGTAGTTTTAATAACAATAAAGAGATCGTTTCGCCTATTGTAACGGCGGAAAACGTAGAATCAAAAGTAATTGACAAGCAAGAAGACGATATGATTAAGTTACCGATACAGGAAGATAATAAGGAATGGCTAGGTGCTCTGGCACTGATGGAATTAGCCAAGACGCAAAAAGAGGCAACAAATTTAGATTTTAAGTATGGTGTAAAAGACAATTGTTTCACGGCTTCATAATTATCATCATCAGCCATTTATAGACTGTGATTACTGGTTATTGTAACTTTGTTATTTTTATACACAACAAGAAAAACGAATAAAAATGCTCCTGTTCATCATAATGTCAAACGCGCGTTTTGCTGCACTGGCATGAGAACGCGACAGACAACTTGCTGTGAAACACACATCTGTTTTTTTTTCTTTGCTTACTCTCACTACTCTACTAGCATGATTTTTTTTATTATTCACGTGCGATATATATATATATATATATGTATATGAATTGTGTTTGTTTTAATTCTGATGTTTTTCTGAACTTTTTAATTTCATGTGTCTTAATGTATTACCACCACTTACGTGTATACTTATAAAACAGGGTAATTACGTTTCGACAATTTTTCCACAATTTGTATTCAGAGATTTCAAAAAACAACCCGTATTTCTTATTCTGTCTTTCTCTCTCTCTCTCTCTTTTGTAAGATTAAAGTGAATCTTTTTTGTTTTTTTTTTTTTTTTTTTAATTTTACCCTAGGCATAATATGATTATTATATCATGTTGATTTTTAAGAAAGTGTTGTAATAAACAATTCTTTGGTCTTTTTAAATCTGTACTGCAAAACTGTGGTATTGTTTGAGAAACACATTGTCAATAAACATTGTGTTAATTTTTCCTTTGCAGTGCCAAAATTTCCTATTTGCGTTTATTACAATAAATTCGTGTGATATTTACGTTAAGATTAATAATAATAATAAAAAATTTTTAAGAAGAGGAAAACAGGAAATGAAATAGAGTGTCGAGCATGTTGAATTCAAATTACAAAATATTTAATTGGGATAAAAAGTATCGGTTAATCTATACAAATTTATAAGTTACAATAAACGAAAAGAAAATAAAAGCGCCAATCTGAAATCAAGTCTTATCCTATTAAAAATAATTTGTAAGCATGCGCGAGTTTTCTGTTAACTCTCGAGAGGAGGACTGTGTGTGCGACACCCACATGCACACTTGGACGCCGGTTCGCTTCTGACTCATAATGAAGAAACAAAACAGAATCATCACATGAGTAAAAGATCCGGCAAAGGATTAAATATACAAATTAAGAAGAACGCTTATTTAATACTTTATAAAACCATCCGATTTTTATAAAAAAAAAAAATATAAAATTATTTTACATATTACGCTGTGTATAAAAGATCCATACAGTGCCGTCATATTTGAGAGAATTTTGAACACAGTTTTTACAATATCTTCACAATTGTTTTCGGATCTTCTGAAAGATGACGGGCAGCGTTCCGGACATTCACTGTCAGTCTTAAAAATCTATATTTCACATCACATGCTTTAGATTTCCAATATCTGGCGGTGAATATTGAGAAACGCCATAGGATATTGTCAGTCTTCCGTCAATCGTCATCATTTTCGTTATCGCTCCAAACCATATTAATTTTGGTTAACTTCAAAGCCATTGGGCTTCTTTTGTGTTTTTTGATAGTAGAAACTTTTTTCACGCAAGGCTTGGCAGACGGTGTGACACAAATACTCGGATTGATCGGAGTTTCCGCATAGTTGCTCACGTCAATATTATGTGGTTGCGTGACCATATAATCTACAACAAGATTATTATGCAAATGTGTAAAAAAGTTTGCGTACATTATATAAAAACACTAAATCACATAAATATTAAGAAATGCATACGTAAATTGTCTGGAGATTCCAACACCGACTGGAAATTAATATCGAGTGCTAATTCTTTGGCCGATATATAGACAGGATGTCTCTTCAATTTGTACTTGTGACATGTGTTAATCGCTAAGTTGATCAGATTAACTATCTCCTGTTGCCTCGAAGACTTCGTCTTTAGAAAGTAACAGAAATCGATCAACAGCTGCACGTAATCAGTGATGTAGAATTGCGTATGCCACGTGAACTTAAACAGATCTTCTCTTATCTTAAAAGCGCCAAGAAAATGATTGACTGCCAAGTTGTCGTGATTCTGCAAAGCGTATAATTGAGCTCTGATATACGTGGTGGCAAACACCAAATATTTGTAAGAAACGTTGCTGCACTTGTAACAATCGCAAGCCACATGGTTGATGAATTTTGGTAGATCAAAGTCTTTCTTGTTAAGCAGTGGCGAAGTGTCGGGCTGGGACATATCTCTGACGGGATCGATGATCTTTGTGGGAGTCACCGCTAGCATTGTCGACGGCATTTTAACGGGCTCGACTTTGATCGACGATTGAAATGTTTCAATCTCCAACATGTGTTCAATTCCTTCCAACTTCACTTCACAATCGCTCAATTGTGAACGCGACAGATCGATATAACACAACGATTTGAGCAATTCAGCTACACGTATTACCGCACCTAAGCTCTGTGCTGTCTTCAAGCGTCCTACTAAATCGGGGCTAATCGCACGAAAAGACAACAAACTGTTTACTCTCATTGACAGATTAACCGTCGCGGTAAAAAGTACATCGCAACTGAAGAGATATTCCACTTGATTTTTACCTGAAAATATTGTAAACAGTTCTGTAATCTTAAAGTTTTACAACTCAGAATTTGTTTTTATCAAGAATAATTTTGAAGTAATGATGTAAGTAGTTGTATCAATTACATTTGTTTTTTAAGAACAGATCTACATTCAAGCATCTCATTGCAAAGATACTTTCCACGATGTACATGCCGTACTCCATTTGGTCCATATTACTTTTATACAAAGTGCTGTTGCGTAAAATAATGTCTAAACTTAACATATATACTGAAGTATTATCCATGAATGAAATTCCCTTAAGATTCCTAGCTTCAGTAAGTAATTGTTTAGCCTCATCGTGCTGAAATAAAATTAAGAACATTTGCATGTGTATCTAGAAATTTATTCGCATTTTTATTAAAAATATGTTAATAATAATTTTTTTGTCTCACCTTTCCACATTCAAAGTAGTAGTCTGCCAAACTTAGCCAGAAGACAGCAATAGCATAAATTACATGGTTCTCTTCACAATCTCTATATTTCGCGGCATACTCTTTGGCGATCGACAGTTTACAGAAGAACTGTCTCATTGAAATACAACGACCTGTGACTATAAAACGCATACATATGTAATGTAGTCCGATATTCGTAATAAATATTCCCTATTTTAATTACATTATGGGACAAATCAAACAACATAATACATACTATAAATAATTGCAGAGTTATCGTTAAGTTTTGTTGCTAACTCATATGCCAGCATCCATATATTGTCTTCACATCTTTCATAACGATACAGTCGAGAATATTCACCAGCTGTTATTAATAAATTTAGGATAAGACTTGGTTGCCAATTTTTTACGATTTCATCCTATCGAGACAATAAAATCTGGTATTTAATTACAGTGTGTTATAACATTTATAATAATAACATGTAAAAGTTGGTTCTAAGTTTACTTACAATATCACATTCAAATAGCTGATTCCACTTTTTTACGCATTCCTCCAACCTCAGCATAAGACTGGAATCTTTTTTAACGTTAATCATAGTATAAGCAGGAACTACATTTGGAGATTTGGTTTCGCTGAGTTCTGGCACTTTGGGAGCTTGTAAAGCAAACTTTGTATTTTCCATTTCTTTGCGAGTTTGCTTGTTCATTGTGTCTAACTCATCCACGAACATAAAGAATTTTAAATTGGTTTCCAAACATAGACGATCTATCTTGTTCAGCTTTAAATTAGTTATAGCTTGGTTATAATAATTTAGAATAGAGCTGTCATATTGAAAAGTCAACAAGTAATGTCCTAATAGGTGTAGCACGCGTGCGTATTGGTAATTACTTGGTTTTAATTTTTCAAGTTCATCAAGAGTTCTCGATACGCCATTTGCGAATGGAACATTCTCCTCCATCAAACTTGTTGCTTCACGTGAACACAGTTCAATAAGATCGTACTTGGAAATGTCACCTGAAAATCCTATTTCACTTTCTATCTCGTCTTTGTCCTTTTTCAAACATTCCAGCATAGTTAATTTTGCTATTTTCTCAGGCGCACGTTTTTTGATAACTGCCCATACAAAGAAAGCTTTTGTATTCGGTTTATTGTAAGTTAACAAGGCATATACTGCAGTTACAGTTATAGCTTTTCTGAGCATATTATTATTAAGGTATATCACACTTAGTTTATTCAGTACATAAGTAATGGAATCTTCTAGATCTTCCTTAGGTTTGATTGTTTGAACTTGAAAGAAACAAACAGACAACAGAGAAAATAAACGGATGTTTTCCTCATAATCAGATATCAGTCCCATGTTGAAGATTAAGGCACGACAAGTATTCCACAATTGTGTCCAGCGTGTACATTTATATTCTCTCATCTCATTAATGACCAATTGTATGTTGTGCTCCAATATTTTTCTAGCAAGAACAAACACTTCCTGTGTCCATACTTTACTACAGAATTTATATACTAAGCTGATGAATTTGCATTTTACTATTATAACATTGTATAAATCTCTCTTGACTGTACACACTTTGTCCACACACCATTTGCATTTGATAGATTCCTGCTTATTATAAAATTCATCTGCACTCATATGTACAAATAAATTCATCATTTCCAGCAACAAGCCACTGTCAACCAGTTGAGTGACCATGTGTTTGTCAGCCTGTAAACATTTTTCCCAGTATATAAGTACAGGTTCGACAATGTCTACAAGAGCAAGTGCATTGCATCTAAGGCCTCCTGTATTTCCATACTTTTGAGCAATGATTGAATTATTAAGAACAAAATCCTTTATCGTTTTGGCAACGTCACTATAATTCTCAATAGGTACTGCAAGTGTTGTATATAAATTTTGAAATTGATGAAAACATTCGTGGCATTCTTCATCCTCTGTCAAAAGTCTCTCGACACAATTGGACAACTCAGCTAACATTTCTGAATTATTATTTCTGTTTATAGTTTTATAAAACATGCACATGATACGAAGTACATGACAATATATTACATACTTCTCATCTTTATCCAAATACAACTTTGTTTCTATCAGATATTTAAAAAACAATTTATACAAATCTTCTATCAAAAATGTTTCTCTTTTTACATCAATGTTTGCCATTCTATCCATATGTGTGCTAATGTTCACAATCAAGTGCTTTGTATAATCTTCATGTGTCATTAGTATCATTTTTATTTCCTGTTTTATGACAATCTCTAAGTTGATGTAAGTTTCTGAATTTCTGTGTAAGGTTCCACTGGTGAGAGCACAATATATATTATTACTGACTGAAGCATGCCACAAGAATAACACTTTTGTCAAAAGGTCCAGGGTACCATTCTGCGGTTTATACAATCTTCCAGGTTGCAGATAACAGCAGATTTCTCCTGCATCCTCATACAAATTCAGAGAAATTAACAAGCGCACAATTGTAAACAAACATTTGATAAAGTTGTTGTTATCTGGTATTTCTATCAACAACGAACACAATAGTTTAGTTAATTCGGCAACAGTTTGTCCGGATGAAGAGTTTAATTTGTTGCACTTGTCTACTGCACAGCAAAAGTGCAACAGCAATTTAAAAATATTCTTGTTCAATTTGTTGTCTACTTGCGTGCGAGTGCTCTTCTAAAAATATAAATACAATAAAAAATCAATACGTAATGTTTGCGCAAATATCGGACGTTAAAATTAAAAGAATATACCTTGATGTCCTCTAATACATCTTGAAATTTCTCCGACTGTATTAATTTTACCCACGTTTTAATCTTGTTATACATATTGCTCATAGTTTTTGTTATCGCACACCGTCGAGAGAAGAGGTTTTACCGGTCGAAGTTAATTTAAATTTTCGATACACATGCGAACCAACATGGAAGGTAAACATAAACTTCCTCTCGCGAGTTTCCAATGCCGCGGACACTTCAAAGCTAATTTCTAATCTATCAATTAGACGCGTCGAGCCCATATCAGACTACGAATTAGGATTGGAGAGTAGATTGGAATCCAAACCAATCAGGACGAAATTCTCTCTACTATGTACATAGAAACTGCAATGGAGGATGATCTCTCTCCTCTCACGGTTCTCACTGATGATTAAACATAAGATATATATATATATACATAACCTAAACCGCGAATCACGCAAATGACAGTGCTGTGTAAAGTGAGGATAATAATTCTACATGCGATATCATATGATTTAACAAAAGAGAAGAATTTGTAGGAAAGAATAATGAAATATCCCACGTCACCGTCGACGAGTCGATGTCAGTCACCTGTTCTGACGGAATTTTCGTCTTCATTGCCAATGCCAGTTTACAGGTACAGTTTTGTATACAAATAAAAAATACGTATAATTTTTTGACAATTATTTGGAATCGCAAGTCTTCATGAAATTACTCGAGCTGCGTGATCCCATGATTTCTCGTCAAATTTTATTCTTTCGGATGAGAATTTCATCATGACTCGCGATTCTGAATAATTTAGTTTTTTTTTTTTTACTTCAATCGATTAACGAGACAACGATACAATTGCCAGACACAATTGTATGGGCGCTGCAACAAAATGTTACAAATATTTGAGGAAACTTCTCAAGTTCGAGCAAATGGACTTTGAATTTGCTCTCTGGCAGATGATTTTTCTGCTTGTATCGCCACAAAAAGTTTACAGGAATTTTCAGAACAGAAAACGTACGTTGCATTTATGTGTCAGTCTTTATGTAAAAAAAAAAAAAGAAAAAAAAACGTTCTTCTCTCTTATTTTTACAGAAACAAAGTCGCAATTTGCAAGAGACGATCCCGCATTCTTTGTGTTGATCACGTTTTTCTACTGCGTATCAGTTAGCGTAGTTGGCGTAGTACTGGGTTTCACATTTTTCCAGTGTATAAATTTCTTGTTCTACATGGTTTTCATCGAGTACATAAGTCTTGGCTTACTTGTAACCACAATGTTGTGGTGAGCATATTTTCAACTGCATTTAAAAATTTACATTTTAACTGTTTGTTTTATATAAGTTGTTATATATAAGTAGTTCTTTTTTAATTAAAGTAATTCTTGTGTACAATCTTTTTTTACAGGTACATAGCTAACCGTTACTTTAGGATAGACAGAATACAAGATGTCGAATGGGGGTATGCATTTGATATCCATTTGAACGCGATATTTCCTTATTTTATACTTCGCTTCTTGCAATTATTAATATATCATGGTAAGATGTGTGTGTGTGTGTATTTCATCTGTTACAATGTAACGTATACTGTTTAACAATTCTCTTTCTTTACACAGCTCTGATAAATAGCAACGCGTTCTCCGCGCGATTTGTCGGAAATACTTTTTACTTAATAGCTGGTTGCTATTACGCTTACATCACATTTCTCGGTTACGCAAGTAAGTGTTAAGAAAACTAATTTGCTTATTTATATTCTTTTAGTCATATGATAGCTTGTAAGTGCAAATATAATTTTATTATTATAATGATAAAAAGAACACTTGATGTGAACAGCACTCGATACGTGCTACATTAAGATGAGACTTTGATTTCAGATGTTGAGATACTTCACATACACAAAACCCATTCGATATTATCCACATTACCGATAATGCTAGTGTTATACATCATCACATTATGCGCCGGCATCGATATCACTTATATAGTTATGGAATATTATTATCGTCCATGGGCTTCGTAAACAAAAACTGTCACGTCGGTGCGACTATTAATACGGACATAAAACAGACGTATTGCAAAATAAACCGCGCAATGATAACGTAAGCGTCACTTGTTAGTAGTTGCAGAATTATGATACAGTTTTTGGATACAATATCTAATATGTTAACACAACATGACTGTAAAAAATGTAAGATATACCCCAATAAAAGTTTAGAATTATTTATTATATATAAGATATAAGAATGCTTGTGACTTTTTTTCTGTACAATTAATGAATAAAATTTATTTTTACACTCATATGAGAAGAGACTATACAATGGAGAGACTGAACAATTACAATTGTACCGGATACAATTTGTTTTTTATTTTTGTAGAGTTTAATGATCTATTATAATTAACTCATCGATACCCCAATCTTCGTAACTGTTGTCAGGCAAATAGCGACGTATAATTATGGGAATTTTTCGCTGCTTCAGTTCTTTCATGGCAATCTGCAAGGGGTCCGTCTCTCCTTCCAATTCCACCATTACAGGAGCGCACATCGCTATCTGTAAGGCTCTTGTGCCCAAGACTCTCGCTCTCTCGTATCTATAAGGTAAGTTACATGTGCATTTGCGACATTTCAAACTTTTAGTTGCATTTTTACTTCATATACAGGTTATACATGTGTATTATTACTTCGTCATGTATTTCGTAGTGATTCTGTTCGACTTCTGAACTCCGCCGGTGTGGGCCTCGTGTTTATTTATTAACTCGATATTCTCACCGTCATCCTCAGGAGGTTCCAAGTCTATATTGTCCTCGTCCTCGACATCGTCGAAGTCCGCGACTCTGTTGAGACAGTTGGAGGCTAAATTATCAAACGCTAAAAATTTGCATCCACTTACACAGTTAGTACTTACTCGTCCCCATCAAAATCTTCATCAGCCATTATATTTATTGAGTGCAATTTCACGTGGTTTTATTCACGTGGTGCTGCGTTTTCGGCTGCCCAACAAATAAACAAAAGCACCGAAAATGGCCGAAGATATAAATCGGCCTCTACCGATTGCCAAGAGATGTCGTCGCATTGAGCTTGAGAAAAATTTAACCAAGATCAGAAACCACATGGTTCGAGTTCTCGCTATTCCGAATCCCGAGATTCTCAACTTGCGATAGAATCTACAGTTTATGTCACATGTACTATGGAAAGGTGGACTGTGGAGATACATGTGTAGGTATCGCATCTGTACGTACACTTTAGGTATGTGTGTGTGCGTGCAAACACATTGCCATCCCACTGCCATCACTGACAGCGAGGCATGTATCGGATCCGGTGGGTTGCTCGCTGACGAGTTGATTCTGTCACTGGGTGTGTTCGCGATTGAGCAGCCAGTGGGTCGCGTACATGGTCACCCTCTCGATAACGTCATGTGAGAATTGCACAATTAATCGGGATATTCAAATAGGGATGCGACATTCCACTCAGTCGCCACATTCGTATAAAGAAGAGAGACCAACACACGCGTCGAGTCGCTCAAGAGCAATACACAGAGTAATAAAAATTGTGTTGTGTTAGTGTCCGCGCGCGGAGAATATGGCTATATTTAGCGTATGACAACTGGCGGTTTTGGAGCGCGGTGCCGCGTGTCGCGTCGCCCTGTTGTAACTCGCGCGCCCGTGTTTACACTTGTGATTTCTATTAGTGCGGAATAACGAAAAAATGGAGGATATATTTCAGTGGTGCCGCGAGGGCAATGCCATGCAGGTCCGCGTCTGGCTGGACGACACCGAGCATGACATGAATCAAGGGTAATTATTCCTGAGCAACTCCCTTTTTAGGAAAGACTCGCGCTCGGTCGGGAGATTTATATCGCGGTTTCTCATGTTCTATAATTAGGCTGCCTGGAAACTCGGATGGTTCTTTAATAAAAGTAATCTTCATAATGAAAAATAATTATTCAAATAAATACTTGAGAAACATAAATACAAGTCACAAATTTTTATAGAAAATTTTATTTACTTTTTTCAAATTATAAACAATTAGACACTGTGATTAGTAGATTTTATTTCGACACTTTAAACTCTATATTACTTCTTTTAAGTTTTTAAAAGATTACTGAGGGTTTTCTTTGTCCAATAATTTACATCTAAGTTTTTAATTGTTTTATTATATGTACAATATTTATTTTTTATGTATAAAACTTATAAATATGTGTTATTCTTTAGAGATGATCATGGATTTAGTCCGCTTCATTGGTGTTGCAAAGAAGGACACTTGAAATTGGCCGAGTTGCTTGTCAACAGAGGAGCACGTATCAATGCCACCAACAGAGGAGACGACACACCGTTGCATCTGGCTGCAGCACATAAGCACAAGGAGATAGTACAATTGGTAAAAGAAATTTGATACAGTGTCATTTTTGTTAACCATTGAAATCGCTTATTTGACTCGATGAAGAATAAAACTTGGCTTGGCGCAGTTGCTTAGGAATCGCGCCGATGTAAATGTCACAAACGAACACGGAAACACTGCTCTACATTACGCATGTTTCTGGGGAGACCAGGCGATTGGAGAGGAACTGGTCGCGGCCGGTGCTCTCGTGTCTATTGCCAACAAAGACGGCGACACTCCTCTTGACAAAGCCAGAGGTGTCGTGGCCAAGAGATTGCACGGTATGCAAAACAATGTATGTCAAGAATTCATAGTTTTTGTGCTTACAAATGTAATATGTTCCTTGCTTTATCAGATTTGGCGGTGGAATATGGACAAGATTTGAAGAAGATTCAGTTTAAAGATCAGAGCTGGTTGGGTTTGAAGACCAGGAGCCGTGAGTATTTTTTGAAAATTCTGAAAAGAACTATAATAAATGTTTAACATTACACGCTCTATTTTGTTCTTTCCGCTGTTGTTTGTCAGGAGATGCCACTCTTTCAAGACACAAAGGCATCAGCATGGCGGATTTGTCGTTGCACACGCATATCGCGACCACACCGAGCGGTGAAACCTGGCGGGGACGATGGCAGAACAACGATATCGTTGCCAAGATCCTGAACATTCGCGAATGTACCGCGCGCATTTGCAGGGACTTCAACGAGGAGTTTCCGAAGCTGAGAATCTTCTCGCATCCCAACGTCCTGCCGGTTCTCGGCTGTGTGAACCAGCCGCCGCAGTTGGCCACCGTTTCTCAGTACATGGCGCGCGGCAGTTTGCACCGACTTCTGCACGGAGGAACGGGCGTCGTGGTGGACACCGCCCGTGCTCTTCGATTGGCTCTCGACGTCGCTAGGGCGATGGCGTTCCTTCACAGTTTGGATCGACAGAACAGATGCAGATTTCATTTGAACAGCAAGCACATAATGGTGAGTTCTCGGTAAAACCATTGACTGTACATAAGAAGTGTACATATGTACAATGTCCGTATTTATTCTGACGTGTTGCGTTTCAGATCGACGAAGATCTAACAGCTCGTGTGAACATGGCGGACGCGAAATTCTCCTTCCAAGAAGTTGGGAGAATTTACGAACCGGCGTGGATGTCGCCTGAAGCTCTGAGCAAACGTCCGGCCGACATTAATCACGAAGCCAGCGATATGTGGAGCTTCGCCGTTCTTTTGTGGGAATTGGCAACTAGAGAAGTGCCATTTGCAGATCTGTCGCCCATGGAGTGTGGCATGAAGGTGCGAATTCTATTTTTTGTTACTCAAATCAAACGAAAAAAAAAAACGATTAAATTTATTTAACTCGATAATATCGCATCTTGTTTAATTTACAAGCGTTGAACTGAAAATTGATATTACTTGTATTTCTTTCTCTCTCAGATTGCGCTGGAGGATTTACGCGTGAGCATTCCGCCGGGCATTTCGCCGCATCTCGCGAAGCTCATCCGGATTTGCATGAACGAGGATCCGGGAAAACGACCGTCTTTCGAGATGGTTGTGCCGATTCTCGATAAGATGAAGCGCTGAAACGCGCCCGATGTTTCTTGTGTGACTATTGGTCACAGTATAATTAGAAGAAACGATGAAACATGTTTTAAAGAAATATTAGATCACAAGAAGTGCCTAACAAATTTCTATATATTTATTGAATTATCTCAAATAATTAATGAAAATCAACGATAGAATATTTTTTTATATCTCTCTATACATAGACATGTGTGTTCTATAGATACATATAACGAATACTGCCTTAGGTTTGAACTTAGGTTTCAAAAGAAACTAATTCCTTTTTTAGTTATTGTTATATATTTAATATAAATATATTGTTTCAATACAAATATATATTTATATATGCATAATCTTTAAATAAGGTTTTAAATATGTAAGTATTTATAGAGCGTATGTTTAACGCAACTGCTGGAACTTTTTAACAGAAAAAGAACAGAATGTAGTAACGCTATTTACACACAAAACTCTGTAAAGCATATTTTTTAAATAAAACTCTTTGACAATTTTATTTTCTTCGTATCAAGAACGTATTTGTGAATTTATATATACAGGGTGTTCTACCGATGTTCTTGAGAATATTCTGAGACAAAATTCTACATAATATGAAAATAGTGAGATTATAAAAAATTTTCAAATTCTCTAGTCAATTAAAGATTGTGAATCGAGGATCTTATGCACACATGTAGTGTGTGTTTGTTAAATATAAAAAATAAATAATGAAACTAAACAAAACCATGTACCATTTCGTATTATTAAAAAAAATAAACACGTAAATAAATTTGCATTATAATTCTATATTTTTTTTTATAAATTTGTATATGTATATATTATGTGTCAAAAATAGTTTTTTAAAATACAATTATTACTTTTAACGGCAGATTCCTTAAGTCATTTTAAGAACAAATCGTAGTAGGCTACATATTAGTAGTATTGAATTATAAGCACATTCGAAGTTACATCAGATCACCTAAAGTGTGCAACATACAAACGCAGTTTGGCACACGTGATCCGTTCTGTTGGTTATGTCAGACAGGTGTCCACTGGGAATTTAAAAATGACCACGATACACAAACTCACCCGGTTAACGCAGAGATTAACATTGTTAAATAAAAGCTACTACGAGAATGGAAACTTACGTTCGTATTGCACAATAGTGCAGCAACCACCGAAGACGCGTAATTTGTTGAGGATCGGTCTGCTCGGGGCTGCTGCCGGCGTTATCGCGGGTACAGGTTATGCGTACTACCAGATCAGTAAGGCTCGCAAAAATATCTCATTGGAAGGAACGCAGGCGGAGAGCGTAGTGCTGAAACACAAACCGCCTGTTACGCCGTCCCGAAAAGTATCTTGAATCACGTTTAGATCTTCACGTTGTTCGCTGGCAAGAAAACAAATGCATCTTTTTGTTTTTCAGGTTGTATATCCAGTGAACTCAACTGGTTTGGAACTTACGTTATTTCAGTACCAGACGTGTCCTTTTTGTTGTAAAGTAAGTAAACTTGCGCTTACAAATTGTCTTTTACATCGGGATAATGTGATAAAAATTTTTTAGGTCAGAGTGTTTTTGGATTACTACGGAATATCTTACGATGTTGTGGAAGTGGATCCAGTACTCCGTAAAGAGATTGGATGGTCCTCTTATAAAAAGGTTCCGATTCTGTTGACAAAAGTGGAGGAAGGTTATCAGCCGTTGAACGACAGCACCATGATAATATCCCTTCTTGCGTCCCATCTGCACGACACTGATCAGACAATCGAGGACTTAACTAACTACTATCCGAACATAGGAATGATAGATGAGAATGGCAAATTCAGATATGAAACTATCAACAAGTATTTCCTCATGTTCAACAGGCATCTTCCCAAAGACAGAACAATGAATGAAATAACGTGCGTGTAGTTCTGATCTTTGGTGCGCGATTTAACGATTGCTCGCATTATCGTTTTTATTTATTTTCATTGTTTCCAGCGAGGAACGCACTTGGAGGAAATGGGCGGATGAGGTTTACGTTCACACACTTTCGCCAAATGTATATAGGACACTCGACGAGGCGTACAGAACTTTCAATTGGTTTTCAGAGGTGAGCGAATCTACTGTAGCAGAAACTATACATGACAAAAGCAATGGTATTTAAATACGATTGAGCAATTGTCACAGGTCGGCAAGTGGGAAGAATATTTCCCAACGTGGGAGCGAATGTTGATAGTGAACGTGGGCGCGACCGCAATGTGGCTGATAGCAAAGAGACTCAAGAAGAGACACCGTCTAAAGGACGACGTCCGACAGACGTTGTACGACGAGACGAATTACTGGTTGCGCGCCATTAACTCGCGCGGCACCACGTTCATGGGTGGCAGCAAGCCCGACTTGTCCGATCTCGCAGTGTACGGCATCCTGAAGAGCATCGAAGGCTGCGACGCTTTCCAGGATTTGCTGGCTAAAACCAAAATCGGCAACTGGTACAACGCTATGAAGGAACAAGTCGATTCACATTTTGGCAGCGCGAAGTTGAGTAGATAATATATTAATTATTGTATTTTTATTATAGTATTTTATTATACAGTACAATATCCCAAAACGTACACAGTCGGGATAATGATGACCAACTTCTCAAAACGTACACTTCCCCTTTTCCTTCACTCTTTAACTCACGCGCAAAGACTTACTGCGCAAGCGCTAGCGCAGTTTCGGTTTTAACTATACTTAATGGTGGAAAAAGAGCGATGAAAGAAAAAATATACGTTTTGAGAGTGGATGCGTATACGTTTTGGGAGGCATATACGTTTTCGGAGTATACGTTTTGGGAAGTTCTACTGTATTGTATTTGTATAGAACGCACTCACTTAAGAAATAAATACATACATAAGTACATGCTTTGCTAGTTGTCTCTGTATTTAGAATCTAATTAAAAAAAAAAAACATATTTCGCGCTTGTGACCAACAACATTGTTAAATCGTGCAAGGCAGCTGACGGAACATCAGTCGAAAGCCTTTGTTTTGGGCCTCTGTCAGCTCGTCGTTGTTCGTAACGACGTAAAGTACGAACGGCTTCAAGTCCGCTAGAAATTCAATATGTTTAAGATTTACTTAAAGATATTATTTTAAATATATCTAAATGCAGTAGTGCCTTGCTAACTTCTCGCTCCTCGGTTCCGCGAGCGGAAAAATGTCGAGATAGATATTGTTCCGAGAATTGTTATCTGATTGGCTCAACCACGGGCTCGACTGTCGCAGAGTCATCCCGACTAATTCGCGCGAAGTCTCAACGCTTTTAGGAATTGGTGGCGATGACTCCCGGCACGATACCGAGAGAAAAATGCGGCATGTTAGGCGAGGCACTGTTGTATTTTGTAAATAAATAACATTTATATTAGATAAACTATAAAATGCGGCACAGTTGTCCCGCAACTAAGCTAAACTTTGTCGAACAAATTGTATGCCATTTTTCAAGTTGTTTCTGAACGTAGAATTGCTTTGTTTTCGGTCGCGTACCATTCATTATGGAACACCCTAAATACTCACATGTTTTAGTTACGAATCCGTTGCCGCAAAACCTGTCCGAATTAACGAGAACGCCGTTTTCACGAGGATCGGGTACGATCACGAAATCAGTTGTGCAGCTGCCGTCAACTTCCGCGACCAGAGACGTGCCTATTAAATTCGGATCAAAAGATCCCGTGTCCCCGGAAACAGAGAAAGAGAGAGTATCCGTCTGAGACCATTCGATGCTGCAGTATCCCAGAGCCATTCGAACGCACACACCGTAACGATTATTCACCATTTGTCGCGTTCCGATTTGAGGAGCTGAAAAAAGAACGATTCCTCGTCAAAACGCGTTCGTTCGCGGTTTGTTGTGTTCAAATCAAGGCGTACCTCGCACATTTTCCGCCGTGCCAAAGTTGAAACTCATCACGGTGCCGGAGACGGTCTTGTAATATTGCAAACATCCGTTAGGTGCTGAAAGAGAAAACTTCGCGAGTTTCTTGACAATGACAAAAATGGCAATCCGTCGCTTACCTCTGCACACGGAATCGCATTCTATTTGCTGAATTCTTATGTTCCAACGTCGATCAAACGCATAATCCGCGTTAGTGTCGACGGATATCGTGATCGGTGCCGCTCCATTGAAGTCAACGTATACTGAAGTGAATTTTGAAAAAATCTAGTTTTTATTTCGTCGTAAAAGTGACAAAAATAATTTCCCGTTTCTTACATCACAATAGAGTTGCCAACAATCACTTGGAATGTCTCAATCTCTTTTCTCTCAACTTACCATGCTGATTCGTATTTTCTCCGCATATCCTCGGCACCGTGGATGAACCTCCCGACACCCAAAACACGTCGAAGTCGCAGAATCCGGTTGCATTGGGTTGGGCCCAAGTAGCTTCCAAAAAGTCCAACCGCAGCTGTAAGTAAATGAAAGAGATAAAGAGACACCGTGACATTCACGTTTTTGGTGCAAGTCGCGTGCGCCAATACCTGGCACACCTTAGAATTACAGCGTTGAACCGTAATCGCACATTGTTCTCCTCCTCGATAAGTGATGGGATAATTTGGGCTTACGAAGTACGTGTTGTTTATGTTGGTGGTGGAGCCGCAAGATTTTTGAACTGTAGAACATGAAACAATTGCGTTCATGACGCGCCAACATTTTATCCTTGATCAGTTCTTTTTTTTTTTTTTTCTGCTCTACTCACACACGCAGCAAGTGCCTAATCCGTTAGCGCACGATCCCGAGGGATTTCCTCCGTAACTGATGCACTCCCTTCGTGTGAAACACGTGCCGTTGAGCTGATCGGTGCTCGACAAGCACTGGAAGTTGGCGAAACGCACGACACTGAACAACGGAAAAACTAAACAAAATTTTATTAAAAAAATTTCCTTAGATAATATATATAAAAAAAAAAAATCGCACACGCACACCAAACAGCTTACATCTTCCTTGCTGGTTGTAACCTTCGTCGCTGGTTCTAGAATCAAATGATGAAGTTTCCAGAGCAGCATCGTTACTCACGGAATGATCCCAATTGATTTGAGCGTTCGTAATCAAGACGGGAATAAAACAAATGGCCAACAACGCACTGATCATGTCTAGAACTGACAGGATCAACTGACCTGACCGAAGAATTATGTTCTGGTTCTCGGGAAGAGAGACCGTAACGGCACCATGTATGCTCAAACAATCAGAGCAATTAGCAAGTGGTCGAAACTTCGAGTTTACTGTTCGTTTAACTGTACAATATTTTAGATATGAAAGTGTATTCGCGCGTATATATTTATTTAAATATTACAACAATAACGGCGAGTTTGAGTGAAGGACATGAGTCGTAAAAAAAAAACAATTTGTATTCTCATCAGCTGTACAAAATCGTTTTTTCAGAAAGCTTAGTCAAATCGACTTTTTTGATAAATACTCACATCTGATCTAAACATCTGATAAATACTCACTCCTTATCTACAACAAATCTCTTATCTAACACTCTTATTTAACACTTTCCTCTTATCTAACCCACAGTCACATTCGGCGTTCGGCAGAACGGACAGTGTCCTTGTCGTAATAACGCGAGTTCATAGTCGTCCGAATGAAACAACTGAAATGCACAAAATCAAGGAAAAGATTTTATTTTGAAGCGTGTTTAAATGTAGCGTTTTGCGAAAAGAAAACAGACTCACCTTCAAACAGCACTTGCACAAGCTGATCTGGAGATCTGGTAACAAATTTCTGAAATATCTAGTCTTGAAGGGCTTGGGCCACTTGATAATTATTACCGTAGACGGATCCATGCTCCTCAACACTCCTCTTCCCACGGTTATTGTAGAATTGTTGGATTTCTCCTGCGGGAAACGTAACGTTTTTATCCCTTCGAAGATAAAGTAAACTTCGCGCGGTCACTATGTGTCTCGGCGATTTATACCTCGTATCTCATTAGACGAGCGGTGAAAAGATCGGTTTCGTTGGAAGTCACGGTAAACTGATCGCTGATGTCAAGATCGTCCGAACTAGGCAACGGTTCCTCTATCAGTTTCTCCGCCTCCTCATTCGTAATGTCGTCCTCTAATTCGAATTCAACTAGGGGCAGGATTTCTATAATTCAGTTTAATATAAAAATCACACCTTATACAGAAGTTGTACACGAGATATATTGGAGAACTTCAAGAATCTCGAAATTTCTTGTAATCTGATGTGTGTTGCTTACCAAACATGACGAAGGAATGTTGGAACTTCAGTCCGCACTGCGAGCAATTGCTGCCCGAGATGTTGTTCGTCGGCAATAGCGGATTGAACGTGGAGCATTTGTAGCACAAAGGTAACAGTTCCTCCGGGTCACGATACGGATAAGATCGGGCCGCCAGAGTGGACGTTTCCACCTGCGCAAGAAGATTCGCGGGAATTTTCATCGCGCGCAACTGATCCAACAGTTGCATGACCAGTTTATTGGCTCCCAATATCCGCGCTTGTTTCACCAAACTGTACATTATCGTCAGCTTCGAAACACCCTCCAGACGGACATTTTGCGTCTTCATGAGCAGGTATCTCGAAATGTTGAACAACGCTTCCGGCATCAGAGATGTGAAAGGTTCTTCCTGATAAGCAAAGCAACTTTATGAAGAAGGAAATGAAAATGTCGTACGCGACGCAAAGTTATTGCAAAAAATACAGACGTATGTTGCAATTATACCAGATATTTGTGCACTTCGTGGTACGCGTAGTAGATGTCAGCTTTGTCGGAATAATTGAGGAACATCGCTTTTATCTCGTCCATGCTCTTTGGCAGGTCCAGACTCAGCTGCGACAACAGCCAATAGAAGTAAGAAGCGTCGCGAAACCTTTTCTCCGTCACGGCATTGTTGGCTAACATTGTGAGCACGAGTATAGATTCTTCCGGTTGTCCAGCCATCTGAAACGCTGGCGAGAAAGAAACAATAAAATATCTCAAAAGATGAGGACGAAAATGACAAATCCTTCCGTACCTTCCTGAGCTTCGGAGAATCGTCCGGTTTCCGCCAACCATCGCGCGTACGGTCCGTATATTCGCGACTTTAGCTTCGGGTTTCTTTCCGCGAGTTCGAAAGCTTCGGGCCACGCTTGCGCGTCCACAAGCACGTCAGCGACGTCAGGATCGTCCCCTAGTCTGCTAAAAATCTCAGCTGCGCCGTGCGAGGCGCCCAGTTGCTTGAGTTTCTTAGCGATCATGGACAAATTGTCCCTGTCCGCTTTGTCCAATTGCCTGCCCACTTTGATCAGCATGTCGATCCAACCGTATTCGGCGATAATACTGATGGCGCGATCAACGTCTCCCGCGGAAAGAAACATCTCGGCCGCAGCGCGCGGCTCGCCCAAACTCTTCGCCCATTCCGCCCTTCGTCGCAGCAATACTGTTCGATCCTAGAGATCGAGTACATTTTGAATTTCTTCTATCTTTATTTATATTATTTATAAAAATCGCTTGAGAAAGATCAATTTTTTACAAACGTACCTGTGTATTACCTGTGGTTATGAATTCTTGCGCTATGTCGAACATGCGTAGGTCTGAGTACATGTCTAGGGCGTACTGCTGCAAACCAGCTTTTTGATAAAGTTTCGCCGCCTCGCGGAACTTGCCCATAGCGGCCGCGGCAGTGGCCATGCAGGCTTCTCGTCCCCATTCGCCCGATTTCAATTTCTCCTCGACTTCGGACACGATTTCTATATATCGTAGATTCTTTATCCGCGCGAAGCACGAATAGGCGATATTCAATTCCAAATTGTCCAAACATATCGTTCCCAGAGAGAGCCAGTCCGACTCGGCTACGCCTAAACACGCGATTTCGTAAGCGTGATTGTACAATCCGATGTCCAGATATTGATACATCGACAACGACAGCGGAACCTGCAAATATAGACGTGTATAATAATTGCGTGCGTTATTCTCGATAATGTTTTTTCCTTATCCAGCTTACCTCCAGCGTAATGATGGACGAACCGTTCAGGCAGTAAAGTTTCGAGCCGTTATGGCCCACGACGAAACCGGAGAACTTCTGCCTGTATTCGGCGAAATTCGCAACCTTTATCGCGAGGTAGTTGGTGCCCGCGAAGCACATGATATCCTCGAACGCGGTATTGAACGCCACGCTGTTCACATCTTGGAACTCCTGCAACTTCTCGCCGGTGCACAAATCGAACACGGATAACACACCGGCCTCGCTGACCACCGCCATTTTCTCCTTCATGGAACTGACGTCCAAGCATCTCACGGCATCTTCGATTTTGGTGACGTGTGCGGGAAACGGATTGTCCAGGTAGATCTTCATCACGTGACCGCTTTTCAGACCTATTTGCAGAATCTCTGGGTCAATACGATCCGTACCCGCGATGAACTGATCATAAAAACTCCTCGAGATTTCTTACCAGCTATTAAACACTCCTGTCCAGCAGGTCCGCCAGCTACTTTAATGTAAGTGATTAGTTCGTCGAGGATCCACTCTCGCTCTATTATCCCAGTGAACGAGAGACTTCGCAGACGCCTTTCCAGACACAAAATCAAATGATTCGACGTGACGACCAACAGGTTGCAATTCAACGTCTGATTGAGTTTTTCTCGTATTCTGTAGTGCATCCCGTCGCTCGTGCCAGACGGCTCGTAAATGATCACGCGCTCCGGCAACTGCACGGCCAGTCTGTTTCGATACACAGCGATTCGACATACCTGAAATATTATTTCACAGTAATGTGACACTCTCGGTGCTTTGTCTTTTGCGAAAGAGAAACAATGAAAGAAAGACTGTGCCAATGTACTCACCAAATCCTTACATTTGATACGAACTTTCTGATTAGTGATCAGATGTTGTATTATTACGTCAGTCATGTTCTCCCTGAAAGCGTATCTGTCTCCGTACAGACCGTGCACGACGTTCCACGAGAGTTGCAAATATGTTATTGTACCGTCTTGGGAACCAAGTGCCTGAAACGTAATGTAATGAATTACTGCGGAGATCATGTTACAAACAGCCCGTCAACTTACAACATGCGAAGCGGTCGGATGAACGGCACAGCTCCACACCCACGACGAGAAGGTGTTGCCCACACTAACCAGCTGTATGCCATCGTGAGTCATCAACAGGCACTGCTTGTTGCTACCGCAAACGAGAAAATACTGTCCTTCCGGGAAATGAGTGACTTTTAACGGTATGAAGTTGAAAGTCCTCTCTCTTCGGACAGCTTCTCCTCCCGTGTTGTAAAATGAGATTATTCCGTTCCATTCGGCGATACATAGGATGTCCATGCCTTCATCTCTACACGAACATTGACATAAATTGTATGCATGTTCTTATTCACTTCTGTGTATGAAATTGAATAGATTACATACCGTAAAGGATTCCATGACAAACTCCATATTGGTATCCCAGACTGCCGTTCAATGCGTAATTTCTCTTCACCATTCTACAAATACATAAATTACATTTCTATATTACATATATATGATAGACACATATTTATAGAAGGGTACAATGGGGTATACTTTATTTCTTATGGACACGTATCCAGATGCGAGACCAAGTGCTAAATATTGTCCATCTTTTGTCCACGCACAGCAATTGACTCTTCCTCCGGACTTGTGCTTCTGCACAGCTTTCTGTTCCGCGGACCAAAAGGCAATGTCTGATAGTGAACAGCTGAGAAGCTGATGCGAGACAGGATTGAATTGCATACACTGTACAGCTTCATTGTGTCTAAAAAAAATATATAGTATATTAAAAATATTTTTAAAAACTCTGCACAAAATCTTTTTACATTTTTATTAAACATATATGTGTAGCTAAATTATCACACGACGCTCTGGATTGCACGTATCCTCTCTCATGCGCCACCTAATCAAGTCCAACATATATGTGTAGATTTATAGTGCATTTAATACACAAACTTACGAATATTTCAATATTCCTTCCAGCTTGGAAGTCCAGATAATGACGCTTTTGTCTGCGCCGCCAGACGCAAATTTCTTACCATCTTTTGCATAACACACGCAATAAACTGTATCCTTGTGGCCTAAAGCAATTAAACAAAAAAAGGAAAACATTATTGAAAAAAATTATTGTAGAAAATAAAAATATATTTTATTACTCAATCAAGTCTTTTTTAAAAACTGTTTTAAAAAAGTAATTAACCTTTTAAGGGTTGAATTAAAGCACCATCGTTGGTCTCGTACACAAGAACTTGCTGACCAGATGCAACAACCAATTGTGTACCGTCTGGATTAAAACAAAGGTCATATATACTGAAATAATACATAAATAACATAAATAAATAATATGTTATCAAATATATATATTAAAACATTTAAAAGAACTAGCGTTTTCGAACGTATAATTAAACCCTTTTTGATTTTTGCCTCTCAAAAACTTGGCGGAGCATAAATTCAAAAATCGCAGCGCATCGTGTGCTTGCGCAAATCACAATTTTTAAAAATCATTCGAACAAAACAATCGAAATCCAGGCTTTACCATTGGTCTAATTTCTCTTGAACCTTGTCGACCCATGCTGGATGCGCTCTCATTGTGACACATTCAGCGCTGATCGTTCAATATTGTTGAATTACAATGTGCGGCAACGTATATAATCGCTTTTTTGTATGACATACAATTGTTTGGATGTCATCGGTTGTCACACGGTTACCACGGAAACGGGCGTTCATGGAGGGGAAAAGATAACAGGTGCGACAACGGGACGGAATGTAAAATCCATATCGGTGGAATTCCTCAAGTCAAGTCTTTCTTGCAGATGTCTCTTCTGATGATTGGTCAATTCTGCGTTCCGCCATTGTTGATCGACCTAGAAATCCACCCAATCAGATTGGGACATGAGTCGTCCAAATTCCATGTGCAGCAAGGTTCAAGTGCAATAGAAAATAAATAGATCTATAAATAGGATTTTATATAATAAAGCAAATCTGTTTGTAAGCGCCGATCGTTCAAAATTGATACTAACCAATTTTATCAAAGTGTGCAAACATTGGACTCGCTATTAATTTCGTATGACTTTTAAGCATTGACAAGTTATTCAAAATTTATAAGAAAGTTTTTATTGCATCACTTGGAATTATCGCACATTTGTGGAAACTTATCACACCTCGATACAACATGGTATCAATATTTTACTTTTAAATGCTTATGCATGTACATTTTAGGGCACTGTGTTTTTCGAATGTTCCAAGTATATATTCGATTAGTTTCAAATTTTCAAACATATAACAATTGCATTCGACAGTCTCAGGTAACTAGTATGTACATTCAAGAAGAACTAACTTTAGTGAAAACCACAAAAGTCTTAGTTAGTTGGGTCGAATCGCCTGATAAAATTTATGTCACAAAGGTAAACAATAAATAACATTTTCAACAAAGTTATACCGCAGACTTTTTGAAGTTGTATTTAAAATATCTATCTATATAGTTTTACATGTTATTTTTTTCTTTCTTTTTACCACAGGTAGGACAGCAAAGCGATCGACTAAAAAAACTGTTAAATGAGCTAAAAGAACATTATGAAACTATTACTTTACCAAAAAAGATTGAAGATCCCATTCCAGGTTAGTTCAGATAATTTACATTCACTTAAAAAATTCTTGACTACTGACTCCAACTACATTGGCTGTGTTCAGCTGAGCTCAGCTCTTAGTAAGCACTTTGTGCTTTGTCTATAAGTGATATATTTGCAACACATCTAAAGAATTAGGCGAATCACAAAGAATAAGCGCAAATTGCTTACTAAATGCTGAGTTAAGTTAAACACAGCTGTTGAATCATGTCAGAGGGAAGTTCTGTAATAAACCAAATTTGATATTACAAGATAGTATTATATCTCTCTCTGTATGAGCATAGGTTTACCATGTGCCGTGAGATTGGAAGATAATCTGTGGTATCGTGCTGAAATTGTTGAAGTAATTGAAAACAATAATGCCAAGAAGAAGATCAAAGTGTATTGCATAGATTTAGGTTGCATTGTATCCTTGGACTTTCCATCTAAGCTGAATTCGATACAAGAGATTCCGTACGCATATACTCTACTGAATGCTCAAGTAAATTGCTCAGTCACTGTACAGTTATTTAAATTTTCACATCACTTACCAATTTATAGTAATATTGATTTAGTGGAATTTATCAGTCACATATCTATCGATTGGTTAACCTGACTACTGTTCGAGCTTAGTTTTCACAACAACAAGACACAATCACAAATAAGTTTTTATATTTGTTTTGGTTTTGATTCAGGCCATAAGGATATCGTTAATGTACGTTACTCCTACAGAAACTGAAAAGTGGTCTTCTCAAGCCTTTCTTATATTAAGAAGTGCACTTCTTACAAAAAAAGTTTCAGTATATCCTAAGATAAAAAAACGCAATGGACATTACTTGGGTTGTATCATTAGCGATGGTTTGGATATCAGCAAATTATTAAAAAGCTCAGGTTGTGCCAAAGAGTATATGCAACATTTGAAAAATAGTCAATACAAAATACCACATATAAAGCAACGTAAGACAAGATATAACAGAAAGTGAGTATTACACAGAATTTATGGCCTATCTAGACCTCACATTTGCAGAATTATTTAGCTTGCATAGAATCGTTGTTTTTATTTTATTTCTTTAATGCAGATACGAGGAGAAAAAGAGAATACTAAAAGTAAACACGGATAATGGAAATAAACTAGAAGACGAAAGTATTATATCCGATAATTTGTACGACTATAGTTGTAATACCGTAGACATTACAATGGACAACAGTTCATCAAGTAGCACCCCTGTTCAGAGTGAAAAACATCCATTTATGATAGAGATACTTGTACACCAGTGGGAAAGTCCGGATTGCATTTACGTTTCTCAAACATCTCGCGAAGACTCAATGAAAAAACTGATATGGGCTATACAAAAATTTTATAACAAATATCACTCCGAACCAAGAAACAATTGGGACGTGAATGACACGTGTATTGTTTATTCCGCGAAGGACAAGTCGTACTTTCGTGCCTATATTTTAGATATACAATCCCCGAAAGAAGTGTTGGTTCAGTTTTATGACAAAGCTTTCAAGGAGATAGTAACGCTGAAAGACATACAAGTTTTACATCCGACATTCGCGAAGGAAGCAGCATATTGCTTCAAAGTGAAACTGGCCGGTATTATGCCGTGCGGCGACAAACCCGACTCGTGGCCATCCTTGACAATTACAGAGTTCCAGAAACTTATGCGAGAAAATTATCGGCGAAAATTTTATATTAGCAAACCGGTAAGAGGAAAAATTTTCAAAATCATTTTAATGCTTTTATGTTCTATTGAATCTCCAAGAGCTCATAATGCGTGAGCTCGTTATTGGTTCAATTCTATACATTTAAAGTGTATAAATTGTATACATGTTAAGGTCCAAGAAGAAATGCGCGATGGCGTGATACCTGTTGAATTGTGGGTACGACAAGTTATAACGCCGGGACCGTTTGAGCCGGATGTAATACAGATTAATTCTGTCAACAGAATGTTAGTGGATAAAGGCGTCGTTTTACCTATTAGAGAGTACGTTGAACCACAGTTAGAGTATTTTATATTTTAATTTGCGCGAATATATAAAGCACCAATATTCGCAATAGTTGTAAAACGTTTATTCAATTTTTTAAGCTATTTCGCGAAAGCCGACGCAACCCTCGCCACCGAGCTTGAAAACCACTTGAAAGACAATCATCAGCTTGCATTGAGCAAAGAAGAAGCTAAGTGGTTCAATAATTTCCTTCTTTCTCGCACAAAGAAAAATGTAGAGTCGGAGAGAAGTGACGATGATAAGCTGTGCGATAATCTTAGCATTAACGCTTTAACCGATTCTTTAATTGCCAATTGCACAATCAAAGATTGGGCGGAGATCAGTAATGCAGCCATCACCTCTTGGTTGCCACCGAATACAATAGAAGAAGATGAATTCTACGCCATACCATCTTATGTCGATCAACAATGCGCCATATACTTGCGTCCTCACAATGGTATGTATGTTACACGAGATTTAACAATAATAATTTCATATTGAAGTACGTGTACTAAATTACGCTTTATCTTTGATGTACATTTGTGTTTTCTTCTTAGCAGCCAATAAACAACTGCAATTTATACAAAGAGAGTTGAAAAATCACTATAAAAATGTTAGTAAAATAAATACAATACAGTGGAAGGAAGGGGATATATGTATCGCCCGATATCACCTTGATAACCAATGGTATCGAGGTAAAATTGTGAAAAACTTTGAAAACAAGTTAATGGTAAGTAGGACTTGATAATTCTTTTTTTCTTTTTTTTTTAGCGACTTTGAAGAAATTGCTTTTTTCCCATGTAAATTCGCATATATTGTAGGTATTTTTGTCACATATGTGTTTTGTTTTAGGTACAGTATGTCGATTACGGCAATATAGAAGAATGCGATCTGGAGGATGTGACGGATAACGTTAGACTGGGACACATTCCTATACAGTGCACGAAGTGCGTTATTGGCGGACTGAAATCGGTAACTTTGCTAGGTTTTTATTTATTTTTTTTCCAATTTGATATTTATAACACTGTCGGCATATTTATTTAATCCTTGTCCGTCTGCGATGACTTTATAATTGTTGGTCTTGTTAATGATCTTGTAAATTATTTGTGTTGGATAACAACAGACCACGTCGAACGGTAAATGGAGAACCTGTGACTTGGACCAGATACATGCGCTTCTGGTCGACCGTGTGTGCAAAGTGAACATATTACGGCGATTACAGACGCATTTAGTTGTAAGTCGCCCTTATATCAAACAATTATAAACTTGCAAGTCTTAATCTTCACCTCCAAATTACCGACGATTTCTTGATTTTGCACGAGCACATAATGAGATTATGTAATTGGTGTTTGCAGATATCGATATCTTTACTCGAACCTAAGATATGCGATTTCTCATCGTTTATAATAAAATATTATAACATGCGCGCTGCTATCGAAAAAATTGACTGGAACAGTTCGATGTATTGCGAAAGCGAAACAATCAACAATTCCGTATTTGTTGCCAAGGATGATTCTGTAAATACTGTTCCGACGGGATCGTTAAAAGACGAAGAAGGGACGGAAGAATTTGATACTTCCAAGAGGAATTCATCAGGGACGTACGTGCAGGATACATCGAATGAGATTGTAATCAGTGGCAATTTAGAGTCGTCAAAGCTCCAACTGATCGAATCCATTGACGCTAAAGAATCCGATTTCGAGATAGCATCGATAGATTTCCACACGTTGGATTTGGGTAACAGAAATCTGATCTGTTCAACGCCACAAGAAGTAATAGAGGACGTCTTTGATATGTACAATTATTTGACTATTCCGCGGAACACAAAGTACATAGAATTGAAACTCATTTTTAATTTAGACGCCACCACCGCGATAGCACAAATAGCGGCAAATAATAACGACATATTCTCTAAAGTGAGCACATATGAGTTTATTAAATATATTTGTATACACGCACACACATAAATTATTATTGATTTTTAATTTATGTACTTCTTTCTAGAAATTAAACAAAACTTATCTGCAATTCAAAGCCATGATGTCTGAGTTGCAGGCCAGCGCGAGCTCTCAACCGTTGCTCCAGCGTTTTGACAAGTGTAAGTTATGATTTATAACAAACATACACACGCGCGAGATAGATTTAATTAGAGTTTCAAATCGAATCTAATTATGTGTGAGGTGACTGAAAAATTGTTGAGAAAACATGATCTTCAACTCTCCCCCCCCTACCGATCGTACATATAATAGAACTGATTGTAATATTCGTGTAACATTTAATTAATTGTTTTCTTAGGCACACCATGCGTGGCGAAATTCACTGACGACTTATGGTACAGATGTGCGATTGTAGATTGCGAGAAAGAAGAAGATACTCAGTATTTGAATGTAAACTTATATTACATCGATTACGGTAACATGTCTCAGACACAAGTGAACTTATTGTCCACGTGAGTATGATGTAATAGTTTTTATTTATTACTTAAATTTTGCAATATATTATTCTGATGATACGATGTAAGAGAGTTTTGAAAGAATCGCGTTAAGAATATGCATTAAAAACATCTTATGTCTCCAGGACCGACGGCTTACGCGTGTCAAAAGACGAGTGGCTACAGTTGCCCGCAATGTGTCTCACGTGTAAATTTTGGCACCTGGAGTTTGTCGGTACTGATCGCACAGCATTGGCAACCAGGTTAAACGAGTTGTACAACAACAAAGTTATAGCCGAAATTAAGGTGAGAGTTTTCTCCTTTTTAATATTTTATTTCAATTTTAAATATTTGCTCGAGAGTACGCGAATTAATTTTATTATTGCAGGAGAATAACGGTTCTAACAACGAGCTGGTAGTGCAAGCGTATAAGGACACAACGTGCAGGGAACTCTTTTTTGCCGAGCTGATAGAAGAGGGCTTCTATCGATTCAACAATCCCGAGATCGATAACGAAATCAAAACCATCGAAATATCCAAAACTTCTATCGACGAAATGAATTGAAGATATTTTTTTAAAGCGATATTAGAAGATAAGTGAAAGAAAACAAGAATTATGTATTTTTTGACGCTTTATTGTGATTGTACGTGATACATGGCTGTGAATTTTAAAAACATTTCTTATATCAAAATGCTTGACGTCCCGGTTTAACGCTTATCAGCGTTGAGTGCTCTTCGCAATTTGTTCCTTCAACACTAGAATACTTTGTCTTTGCTCAGGTGGGAGCATTGCAATTTGCTCGTCCGATAATTGCAAGACTTGCATTATTAGAGCAGCCTATAAAAAGAAAACAGTTAGTTACCATTACGTAGAATAGTTTTGAGTTTCTTTTCGCTTGATCGCGCTGGTCATTTTTTCAAAGTCCAATGTCGTGTACTTGCAATAGACGTACAAAGAAAAAACCAAGCAACACGTGAAAATCTCAAAAAGTTCTCTAAAACAGTATTCTAAGATAAAAAAATAACCACCTTCGACTGAAATGGAATACTCATGATACATGTATACGTATAATCTCATAAAAATGCATTTATAAAGTTAAGCTATACATAAATCTTCATGTATAAATTTCTTTTATAGTTTTATAAGATCATATATAAAGTTATTTGACGAAAGTTTTTTTATACATTGCACATTATTGCACTTTTCGCTGCGACGTCGTCGTCACAACCATGTCGATGATTTTTTTGCCAAATCCGCGCGAATTCGAATATACGCGTACAAGTACGTAAGATAAAATGTATTTATTTATCGATAACGAAGCGATACATTTTAGTTTTGAACCGGAATTTCTCGGTTAACTTAAAATAAAGAATTGTCCATTTTCTTCGCCGCAGCAAAAACAATCATATCAACTATCAGACAATTATATACATACCCAGCAAACAATTTTTGACTGCGCAGATCTGGCAACAGAAACTGTGTACAGAAACGCTACAATACGGAAACCTGCTTTGTGTGCCAAAGCTGTTGACACACAGACACAAAAAACGCAACATGGTCACCAAAACTCACCAAAACCATATCCTACTAAGGACAGATAGATATGGATTTGGTGTGGCGGTTGGCGACAAAATCGCGACATCTGACAACCAAATTGTTTGCTGGGTATTTAACTGAAATTACTGTATAACGCAATTTCTATTGCGTTGTTTTTGTATTTTGTTGTATAAAATAATGACTTGAGTAGGGATGTGCGATCCGTTATTTTGTCACATATGATCTCTACTTCTTGTGAGCATTGAATAAAGAGCATTATGTAATCTTATCGGTAGTTTGTATTTTGCTGTGATACACGTACCTTTTCCTGATCAGACGCACCGCTAGGTATGTTTCCCGCGGGAGACATTCCGGCCATAAGTCTCGTGGTCGCGGAAGTTGTGGATTGTGTGAGCGCTGCCGAGGATCCAGTTGTAATGCTGGTTACGCTTGGAGTTGTCACAGTTGGCGCAGCAACTGGTCTCGGAACAGTTGCAACCAAAGCCGGAACCGCTGATTAAAAATTTCTCAGCATAAGATTAAAACAAACCAAAACGTATGTATCAGTTACTTTTTTAATCACAAGAGAGATGCAGCATAACTCTAAAATCGAACGTTAAACGATATAGAAAGATAAAAGAAAAAAAAACGTACGATTAACTTTGGTCCTAGGATCTGCTGGCATCCTTGGATCTCTCGGGTCTCGTGGATCTCTACCGAATCTATCGGTTCTTGGATCACGGCAGAAGCTGAAATTAATACAAATTTATTGTAAGAATGAGTGATGATTACACATTAAAAGCTATTTGAAACTGATTATAAGACCTCTCAATTCCTTCCACAGGAAGAATGCTGCAAAAAAGATCACCTCTTTCAATTTACACACAATCGACAATTGTAGTTAAAAAAAAAAATTGTATGTATTTACTTGTCTGCAGCAACGGTGAATGAACTAGGTCCTCTTGTCAGATCAGTAGTGGCCGATATGACTGGTGGAACCGTAACCGAAGTGGGCTGTGTCTGCAAAGATCCTCTCAAATCTTGATCTAACCTAGCCAAACGTGGATCTATTGGTCTGTCCAATCGAAGATCCACATCTTGACCTGCTGAATATTGCGAATAAAAATCTTTCTCGTCTATTTTCTGCGCTACTGTTGAAAATTTTATCAGTTACATACAAAATACTGTAAATAAATAAATAAAATAAATAAATAAAATAAAAATTCAGTAAGATATATCAGTTAGCAAAATCTTGTTATAAAGTCAGAAGAATTGTATGAAAACAATTTTGATAAACATCTCAAAATTAAAATACAATTTTTAATGATTCAATAATAACTAACACTAGGACAAGATATATCAATACCGGCAAAGATTGGTGGAACACTGGCCGGCACTGGCCGTGCAGGTGCCCATGGTTCCTCAATTCGTGGCTGGACTTGTTGAAGTGGTTTGTCTGATGGTGTCAACACACTCGGAATAGGATTAGCTTTGTGCAACATATTAACTGCTGTATGAGTGTCCACTATTCTCATGACTACCTGTGCCTGGAGTAGAGCATATGCTAGCTGAGGATTTTGAAGAAGCATTTGACGCGCTTCATTTGGATTGTTTTGCACACAGAGCTTCATCTGCTTCATCAGCTCGAACATTTGCTCCGGTGGTAAAGATGCTACAGCTTTGCTTATTGCCTCTGGCGCCTTGTCTGACTGAACAGCCTCTCCGTACGGATTCTCAGTATTCTGTCCCTGCAACAGGCTCTGCATTTCCATTCGACTCTTCTCTGTGCACGCATTGTCCACACGTAATGTTCTACCGCCGATTTCATATCCGTTTAAATTTCTCATAGCACTCAAGGCAGTTTCTTGATCCTTATATTCACAAAAGCCATATCCTTTGGGCTTGCCGGTTTCACGATCGAAGACCAATCTATTCACACGTGATGAAGAGTAACACAACAAGCAGACATTTAACATAACCTTCATGATAATAAACTGTGCAAATGGTATTTGATTAAATACACAAAAAATACGACAGTACTCACTTGAAAGACAGAACAGGTCCCACCTCGCTGAAGATATCCTTCAGATTCTCCTCCGTGGCTTCGTACGGGATATTCCCGACTAACGTGAAACATTGTGAAAGAGTTCAGTTGTGTGTAACGCTGACAGTAAAATACAAAATATGTCACGCAAATTGTAAAAATTCACTCACCGAAAACACTCCGCATGGACTTATCCATTAGCGACTGATCCGAAATAGTTGAATTGCTCATTTTTGCGATTTGTTTTTGTTTTTCTCCGCCACGTTAAAACGTTCACGATACACCTGCAATATTTTTTATATTATATACCGCATGAAATTCTATGATCGAATGTTTTGAATAGACGTCACAGTATATGTATAACCAGTAAGGTTACTCCGTGTCGGCTCTTTTGATGTCAGCGTCCGAGATCACATGTCATGTCGCCATGTTCTTGGTAGTAATAGCGCGCTAATATTTAAATTGTAAGAAAGAAAGAAACTATAGAAACTTATTTTTATGCTACTAGCACAACACAGGCGCGCGCTACGCGCACGCTATTGTTATTTTTATTTAACGTGTTGTCAGTGAACCTGTCACCGCGATGACAGATAGTATATACGTCTTATAAACCATATAATACACATATGAGAAATGTCAGAAATAACGCATGAAAATCAAACTCAAAAAATAGTGAGAGAGAGAAATGGAAAAGGGTAAAAAAGAATATTATATATATTATATGTAATATATTCTATATCTATATATAATACACACACATACGCATATATGTATATATATATATACCGTAATCACATGACCGAAATCAGTAACACCGCCGCGGTCGCGCGGCCGAGGTCATTGACCCCGCCGCGGTCACGCGACCGAGGTCATTGACCCCGCCGCGGTCACGCGACCGAGGTCAGTGACCTTACGGTAGTATGTATATAATATATATAATATATAATATAAAGTATAACATTATAAATATATAATAAATTATATATGTATAATATATATTATTTAATATAGTATTTATATCATATATATTATTTAATGTTATGTATAATATACATTACAGTCACATTACCTTAGTCACGTGTTGTTTTTCTACTCTTTACTGTCATGTGACTTTAATCACGTTTTTAATTTTCTCCACGTATACGACAAACTGTCTCAAAATCGCTTTTCTGTCATTATTTACTCTCTTTTTTACTTTTTTTTTTAAGAAACTCGAAATTACTATCAAGTAATTATTTACTCTTTATTATTTACTCAATTTTTTAATGCATTTTTTTTATAACAAGCACCAAAATCAAACATAATTAATATAGAAATTTTTGTCTATATTTTTATTTGTACAGTTACGTCATCTATTAATAATTAAATATTATTTGCATTCAATAATTACGAAAAAATAAAAGAAGTAGATTAGGATTAAATGACCAGTAAACTTTCAGGAATTTTTCTCTAATAATTATAATAAAATAATAAAGTAATTATTACATTCAAAGTAATTACATTCAAATAAAATTTATAGATTTTTTTAGTAGGATCAAACTTTATTACATCCTGCGTCCTTGGAAGAGAGATAAAGCAAAGTATTTGTTTAGAGCATTATCGTATCGTGCTTGAAATTATTTATTAACTGATGTGCCGTCTTGTATACAAAAGCATGTGTAATATGCATTATTCATACTCAGCCGCATGCTAACGAATCGGAATTTGTACAAATCATTTCGGGGTGACGAGTACATTTTATCATTCTACTACAAAAGTAATCAATTAAGTAAATAATTATAATTTATATAGATACATAATATTGTGTAAATCTTACAAAACCATGAGATATTTACTTATAGCTACAAAGAGTTACTTTATTATATCTTAATTTTACATATATATCCTAATAAGCAAATTGTGAAAATATTGCACAAAAATGGCATTATGAATAACGACGATCCTGCAATGATTGCACTAAGATGATTCGCCATAACGCAACAGTTTTGTCGAAATAAAATTTTGTAAATAATATTTGTCAAAAATTGCGAAAAAGTCGGTATGCATTTCCATAAGTATATACATGAATTAAGTTGATTTCTTCATATGCAATTATATATATTTCTACATATTTTAAACATAGCTGAAATTTTTTTCTCAATTATTGGACAATTTCTTTTTGAAATTAATTTTGCAAATATATTGCTAAGACGATTCGCCATATCGTTATTCTTTTGCCAAAATAGCATTTGGAAAGTAATTTCGCAAACAACTACAAATATTTTATAAAAGATCAATATTTTTACATGTATTTCCTAAAATATATCTGTATAATTGCAAGTTACAATTTTAGTGCAAGATTTCGTCACATAATTTTGTAAATGTTTTCCTATTAGGGTATAAAAAAATTTTACTTTTAAAAGAAGTTTAATTCAAGTTATAAAAAAACCTAAGTTTGGTTTATAATTATCAATTTTAGTTACTAATTACTAATACATCATATTTTAAGGTTTGTGATGAGAAAGAGAAAGAGATATATATATATATATATAGATAGATAGGTAAATAAAATAATATAAAAATTACATTTTATTTGAAACATTATATCAGAAAATAAATTTTTAGTATAAACTTTTATACAATGTCAATAACTTATTATATAACTTATTATATAGTATCACTGATGTGTTGCTCTGTGTGTGTGTGTGTGTGTGTGTGACACATTTTAATAATAACAAATTATCAATAACTTTTGTAATGAACACTCTTGAACGCTAAAGCGTCGCTGCGATCGAGACAATTTACGGCAGCGCATAAAACTGAGTACGATCGTGTGGTTTCAATCAGTTAAGTAGTGACTTCAATCGTTGAAAGAATCTAAAGTATACTTTGAAATTCTCTGTCTATAATCGGAGATTTGCGTCGTTGAAAGTTGAAATTTCATTAATTTTTTTGTGATGAGAAGAACATAAGTGATCGGAGCTACTTATCGATACGAAGATAAATTAATATATTAGCACATTAAATTTAAAACAGAAAATTCATATACACAAATATATATATATATATATATATCACATAAATACGCAGCATAAAATACTAATTTAAAATATCAACGAGAAAAAATATCAAGAAGAAAGCAATGTAATAATTGCAGCAATATTATTTTAAAAAAAGTAACATTTGTGTTGATTATTGGTTGGCACAACGATTTGATCAGAACATTGTTATTTGATTGTGCACATTGCAGATTACGGTATTAAAATAGATTTTTAACCAAGTACAAGATAAATACATGAACTTAAAAGTATTATAAAAAGTGCAATCATGGAGAATACTTGGCAAAATTACAGTCTTGTAGCGAATACAACAATAATACCCGATATGATGAAAATTGTATCAAAGAGATACGTAACTTTTGCTTCTCAGCTTGTACTAACTTTTCTTTATATAATTGGTGTTATTGGTAATTTATTGGCTTTGGTCATTCTCTCACGAGATAATAAGGTAATTTAATAATCAATAGAAAAATAATTATTTCTGTATTTGTTTTATATACATTACACGATTTCTTGTCTTAATATTAAGGACATCTAGAAATAAAAAAGTAAGTGTCATATAAATATGTTTAACAAACAACCATACATTCATTCGCACGCATACACACGCGCGCGAACGGAATTTGATATCATGTCCTCTCTGATTCTGGATAACGCAAGAAATAGTATTTTTATTTATATTATTTACCATACCTCTGGATTGGAAGATCGTAACAAACTTTTTCAAAAAGCTGTGTTCTCGTCTTTAGAAATTGTTTTAATTAAGCTTTTACTCGATCTCTCATCTCTGTCATTTAAAATTTTTAAGCCACTTCCATTCTCTTTTACCATAGGGATGAAAGATGTGTTTTCTTTAGTAAAAGATAGCTTTTATGATATAAAATCTATAAAATCTTTCAAAAGTTCAATCCTCTGTCTCTATCTGCTCAAAAGTTATTAAGGTTTATCTGGATTTTTGGACTAATCTTGTTTATTCAGTGTTTTTTCCCTTCTTGAATATTTCATTCGGCGTTACACTGTTAGAGTAGCATAAGGTTGAACATTGATATGGCATGTTGCTAATATGGTTCTGTGAATACGACGTGAATACAAATTTTTGGTGTGTGAAATGTGGGAACATGTTGTTTATTTCAGCAGAAAAAAACGAATACGTTTGCGAATTGTAAAATTAAATTTTTCTGTAAGACGATGTTAAGAATAAAAAAAAAACCAATTTAAGATATTTATTAAGATTAACACTTTCTATTTCTTTTTTGCCTATTTATCTTCTATAACAGTCTGTCTTCACAACTGTTTTCTATTGCTTTTACTAAATATATTACATATGTTTGTAACATAATTACATTGGTTTTCTAAAAAAGTAAATGTTTTTAACTTATTTTATACTAAATCACATTACCACTTCTATTTTTTCTTGACCTATTGTGCAATGTCACATTTTTATAAAGTTTTCAGTTTAAAACATCAAATTTTAACAGAAAATTAGTGTACAAAATGTAAATAAAGACTATCATTATCTTCCTCTCTATTAATAACTGCTATCAAAATAAATGTGATAATGTATTCCATACCACATCTTCCGGTTGCAGCAATAGTCCATCATTACACAGTATAATATATAATACATAATAACAGATATCTCTGAATATATTAGATTTAATATACTAATATACTCTAATATAATCTGTATAGATACTCTGAACATATCAGATATAATATGATGTGTAAAATGTATTATTTGCAAAATCGCGTTACAGAATGCATGCTTTGCTGCATTTAATTTGATATTATTTTGTTTCAGGGAAGAAATCGTAAACATTTGCTAATGCTGCGTTGTTTGGCGATTAACGATCTTGTAGCATTAGCCGGTATGTTGGTGCAGATGTATTTTACAATTTACGTAGGCCGTGTAACATCTACAAAACTAGTTTGTTCATTGAGAATTATTTGGAGGTTTTTTGGACTCTTCAGCGGCTGCGTCGCTTTTATCATGGCGATAGAACGCTGGTTAGCTTTGACCAGACCTTTTGTTTATCAAAAGGTAAGTTTTTACTTGTAAAAAATATTCATTGTCAAAATTTATGCGCATTAATGAAGCGCAAAATATCTTACATTCCGTGTATACGTGATGTATATATTATTTGTACTCACGTTATATATATTATAATATATATATATATATATACCCAGCAAACAATTTGGTTGTCAGATGTCGCGATTTTGTCGCAAACCGTCAAATCCATATCTATCTGTGTCCTCAGTAAGATATGGTTTTGGTCAGTTTTGATGACTATGTTGCGTTTTTTGTATCTGTGTGTTAACAGCTTTGGCAGCACACAAAGCATGTTTCCGTATTGTAACGTTTCTGCACACAGTTTCTGTTGCCAGGTCTGCGCAGTCAGAAATTGTTTGCTGGGTATATATATATATATTTATATATGCAAGGTGTCCCAAAAAGGTCGGGACCGCTGAATATCTCAGAAAATATAAATTTTACAGAAAAGTATTTCAGAGAAAAGTAGGGTTTAAAAGGATCTATTTGCTGATTGTATCAGTGTGATCTTGGATGGCTCCGCCAAGGTCAGGTCACATCGATTTTTTTAAATGGAACTCCCTATTGTTTTGCAGATCCTTATAGCTTAATTCAAGATTTCCAAAATTCTATAATATTTTCTTTCCAAAATACTATAATAAAGTTTATTTTCATCAAGTACTTTTTGAGTTATGAGAGTTTAATATTAGAGTATCATAAAAGATTCTCATTTTACACAATCACACATAAGTTTTTACAAATTTTTGTTAGTACCTATATTTAGGTACTAACAAAAGTTACTAACAAATTTTAAGTATTAGTTATTTAGTTGCTTATAAAAAAAATTTTTATCTCAGTAAAATATTTCCATTATTTGTTTTAAAATTATTAATTTGGTGTAAAAAAATGTGTTTAAGTATAAGCATATGTAGAGAATATCTTGAGAATACAGGTTCTTCTTAACTATTCTGTGTTCTGCCCCCACTCTCCCTATGTGTTTTCCAGCAGGTGACGTATCCAGTAATTGTGCGTTGCATAATAGCACTTTGGATAATATCGCTAGTATTAGCTAGTCTTCCTTTAATGGGTTTTGGAGTTTTTTATAAAAGTGGACGATGCGTTCGGTATAGAGAAGCTACCGATCCAAGCGATATTGCTTATGCATATGTATGGTTTACTTTTGGTGAGTACATCAGGATAATAACAATAAAATATTGATTAAAGATTTCTTGTTGTTGTGTGACTTACTTTTTTGTAATTGTACATATAATTTAAAACATACATATCACACATTATATAAAATGTTTCTATTAATATAAATGTGTGTGTGTGTGTGTGTTATACCTAAATCACTAATTTCTTATATGAAAAGTTATCTGATTATCTTAGGTACCGTTTTATGTACATCTATTGTATCGTGTAATTTAACGGTCTCCAAGGCTTTGAAAAAATTACATCGCACAGGTGCTTTAAGAAGAATATCTAAAGCATCATCAAGAGCAAAACCCTTATTAAATGTAACTGGACCACCAAATCAATCAGAAGGTATAATAACTACACCTGAAGAAAAAGCATTTTCAAAGCTTATGAAATTGTTATCGATATCCTTTGTGGTTTGCTGGATGCCGCAAATGGTAAATCTATTAATAAAAATTAAAAGTTTGATAATTAATAGTGGAAATGTAGTGCGAAGCTATTTGTTTCTCTCTTGGTTTTGTAGATTTCTATTCCACTAGCTCAATATGCGATACAGTTACCTCAAACAGCCATTATTGCACGAAAATGCATCCGGATTTTTCATGTCGTAGCTGATATAGTTTTATGTACTCATTTCACTCTGGATCCGTACATTTATGTATTATTGCGAATGCCATTGTCGAGATTTCACTTGTTGAATCTATGTCAACTCTGCTCTAATCGAAAATGCTCCAATTCATTCTCAGGTAAGATAAAAAACGATAAGATACAAAAAATAAAATGTAGAAAAGATACATCAGAATAAATATATTGAAGAAGATACATGGTTTTCAATTTGTAGTTTTCACGCGTAATGAAAATATTAAATATGTTAACAATAACAATATAATTACAAACTGTTTGACATTTGAGCTACCAAAGTTATAGGTGTGTGTGTTACAAAAATTTTTATACAAACTCATTTTCATTTCACTTTTGTTGAACGAAAAAATTTATGGTAGAAAATTAATCATTCACGATTTGCAAAAAATACGTAAAATAATGCTTTGAAAAATATACAAATATTTGTACTTGTACTTGTTGTTCAAATATTAATCCCAAATTTATTAAATTATAATTTATGGAGCTACTATAAAATTGAATATCATAAAATTTTAATAATATTGTTTCATGTTATTATAGAAAGAAATCGTCAATGTACTAATGGTGATCCACCTACGCCGATTACTGAAGCACCATCAGTACCTGTAAGTGAGGACCATGAATTACACATAGTAACGTATTTCTAAAATTACGACAAATAATGAATAATATTTGCACTGTATCTTCTTAAAAAACAATTACAAGATTGTAATACTGTATAATCTTTGTAAACTACTTATATAGAAACGAACATTTTTATTTAATATTTTGTATATAATAATAAAAACTTGTTGAGAATAAGAGTAGGATGTAAAACTTTAGTTTCTGAAAAGAGAAAAGTACAAGAAAGAAAAATATTTAATTCGGGAAATGTTCACTTTTTAAAATCAAAAGAAATAAGACTATATGAAAGAAATGATAAGGCTAATAGGATATACAAGATGCAAATCAAACAATCGATATAGATTTATAATTATAGGTGAACGCGCGCGCGTGCAAGAGAAAGAGAGAGAGAGAGAAAAAGCATTTCTGAAATGTTAAAAAATAACTTTTCAAATTTTTTTTAATAGTGAAGTATACTTTTCGAAGTATATTTTGTAATTTCTTAAGTATATAAATAATCTAAGCTTTACTTTCTTGTAAATATAGTTTATTGCAAAAATTGTGTGTCAACACACACATTTTCTCTTTCTGTCAGTTTAAGTATCATTCCGATTCTTTGTTGTCGATGTGACTTACCACTATAATGTGTTAGCATCTTTTTTTTCTTATTGTGTTCTTCCCACTATTGTACATCTAGATTAGATATTTTTTGCTTCATCTTTGGCACGTAGTAGTAGAAGAGAGTCGGAGGAGTATTTCCTTTGAGATCGCGCACAATATGATGTTACTTTTACTTTATATCTAATCCTAGTCTCTTATTCATGTTGCGTCAATCTTGATAATCCAGCGGTTTAATCTATGAAATATTAGTCTTGCCTTATGGCGATTGCAAAACAAGACCAGTAATGGCAAAAATGAACTTCGAACAGGACGTGTCAACGTGTTATGCGCGGCCAAAAAATACGCAGTAATCGATTAAGAAGATGTTGGACCGTCCTGTTTTATCATAAAAATAGTACACTTGCAGATTTAGAAATTTTGTAAAAGTTTGTGCACAAAGAAGAAAACGGTTCTCCAAAATAAAAGAAAACAGTCTAAAAAATCACTGCAGCCAATAAATGTTTTTGAAACGAAAAAATTGTTTATTAAAAAAATTGACTACCTTTTGCTTTTCCGTAAGTTGTAACTTCTATAGCAAAATTTTAAAATCGAGTAGGTATGAATTCAGCACATCAAAACCTAAGAAAGAATTTCTTATAGAATTACCTATTACAAAGTTTATATCTATATACAATGTTTATTAAAAGGATAACAAAAGTGTTAAATTTAATTTTCAGTATGTAATTGTTTGATATTCAGTATGTAATTTGTTAAATTAGGTAAATAATGTCCTTTGTTTTTTATAAAATTAGAGTCGATTTACAACTTCTAACAGAAAGAAAATCTCACTTAAACGCTTAATAGAATTTACTTTTTTGTAAATTATTTTTTATAAGTTGATCAATTACATTGTTATGATTATTATTATATAAAGCTTTACTAATATATAATGTAAATGGTAATACATTATATAAGATAACTTTAGTACAGATAATTTTTATAGAAAGTTATATGTATACACGCATTTTTATATAATCTATCTATGGAGATTTATTTACATTTTGTTTATATATCTTTCAATATCATCTCATGATTTGTGATACTAGTATAGACACGTGCGTGTACGTAAAAGTTTTATATTACTTATAAAATCGTTTTGTATTTGCATCTTATATTTACATTATTAATGTGAAAAGTCGCTCTACATTCTCTAATATATACAGCATTTGTCTGTGTATGTATGTACAGGCAGTATAATCGCTTTTACATATAAAGTTGTATCAATAATTTCTCAACCTTAACAATGTATTTTAAGTTGCAATAAAAATGCAACTTTACGTGTAAAAAGCATTTGTGCTACTGCCTGTATTATATATATATGTATATATATATAAAACTTTGATTATTGTACCGTAAATTACTAAAAAAATAATATACATAATATTATGAATTTAAACGACCATATTGCGCTAGTATGTTCTATAAAGGAGAAATAAAATAACATTTATTATATACATAAATGTATACTATCTTCAACTATATAATGTAAGAGCGCAGTTTTAATAATACGGATTAAAATTTTACATGCGTGTAATTCACTAAAAAAATTATTATCGCTTTTGTGTGTAATAAAACAAAGTCAGAACAAAATTTGTACGGCAATCAATTTGATAATCGAACAATTTCAATTTCATTTTCCATTAACAAGTTGATATTTGATGCGCAAGTTTTAAAATCATCTTTATATAGTTTTCTTTCTCAATATTCTATACATCTTTATATATATTGCGTATTTTATTTCTACTTATAGAACGTATACAGTGCAGTTTGACTATTAAACCCTGATGATAAGCTATATAAACACGTGTGGAATAAACTGCAATTAGATTATCTCACAAACATACAATACAATGTTGTGAAAACAATCAAGTAAAACCTTATAAAATATTTGAAACAGTAATAATATTTGAAGTTAAATAAAAAAAATATTTAAACAGTTTATATATCAATATTAGACTTAGAGTATAATTTAGTAAATTCATTTAGTTTACATGCGAAGTTAAAATATTAATCGCGCATATATATTTGTTGTGTCAAAATATCATACATAATTATCCACTCTGTATCTACATACATTGTTCCAGATTTCGGCAGTCTAAGACTTATTTAAAAACTTAACACCAGTAGATGTTTACGGCGACTCTTTATTTTCATTTAGGAAGCTAACACCATTGGATGTTGATTGATGTTGAATGATGTTGGGCACCCTTAATAAATCATGATATTGCAATAAAGCTTCTCGCAAAGATCTAGATACTTGCACACAAGTATCTAAATCTTTGCGAGAAGCTTTGTTGGTTGTAATTGTGCACTCCACTAAGTATGGATATAATCCAATTAGCTGTTCCCATACGGATCTATCAACTGCAAGAAACATGTATACATAAATATATACGCACGCGCGCATACATGCATATGTATAGATAAATATATGTATGTATTCTTTTTCAACATGCAAAATAGATAATACTGGTCAGGTAAAAAGAACATTATTTGTTTCTCTACATTCTCAATAAACATTTAAATTATTAAAATTTAATATAAAAACTTAAATTAATTTTAAAAAATTCTATAATGCCGACAGTGTAATATTCTTTCAATTTGCAAACTAAACTTACTATAATGCACATATCACGTAGTAGTACATAAACAAAATAAATACCTTTATTCGGAGGCGCTTTTTTGAGTGATATTACAAGAGTGGCAACGGCTTTTAAGACAAATGATATCTCTGACAATCTGTACCTAAAAAGAGTCTCATATATTATATGTTTATCTTGTATAGTAAATAAGAGTCACAGATATTTATTGGAATAGAACAAAAACATTTTAGTTTTAAAAACAACTGTACTATTACCTAGGCAAAGGACACTTCCCGTTTCGTCTTTCGCTTTCAATATATCGTCGTAGAACTTCTTGAAATCTATGTAGAAGAGCTGTAACTGCCAATCTTCCGGCAATTCCACCTTCGTCATTTTCTAGATCCTTATGAGGACTATTCTCCACGTCATTTAATCCGTCTAATAGAGAAAACTGTAGCAGAGTTTCAAAGCAAGTTTTTGCAAACTCTTCCCGTAACTTTGTTTCTGCCCCGTCTTCTGTGTAGAAAAAAATGAAAATTTAATTGTCAATAAAATGTCTAAATATTCTAGGAATAAAAATAATGTAAACAGTTGTTTTGCTTTTTCAGATATATTTGTTCCAGATATGCAACCCCAAATGTTTTTCTTTTTTCTAGATGTAATTTTAAAGATAAATTCCTGGATCAGAAAAAAATTAGAGAAAATTAAAAATTAAAGCTACGAGTCTCAACAAAATTTTGTTTAGTGCATTTCTTTCCTCTAACATCGTTAAACACAGGACAGCGACGAAAAGAGAGCCAAGTCTTAAATACATGATATACCAATATTTGCTGTGGTGGCCGAATGTATAGAACCTTTATTTAGAAGCATAACTACTCTTAGAATAAACTGATGAGGTATGTGCTGAGAATGTGGTAAAACTTCGTTTCTCAACAACTCCATAACCTGGCAATCAACTGCCTCATCAGCCTGGATTTCTTCAACTCCTCGTTCTACATTTAATACACTGCAATTAATCAGACAAAAATTAAGAGATCTATATTTAATAGCTTTTATTTAAAGATAAATAATAAATTAGTCACGCATTATCTAACATCAGAGTTGAAAATTTACCTTTTGGGGAACAGAAAATCATCCAATGTGCTTGCGAGTTCAAGCCACATACTCTGAAATTGTTCGGGATATTTTCTGGCGAGAGGTAGTCCAATATGCAGGACAGCCAGCAAACTAGTTACAGCCAATTTCCATGTTGTTGCAGACGGACATGCGTACTTCATAGACAACGGTACGTGCAGCGTTTCCACGATATGCTTCAACACCTGACCATCGATCACAGTCATTTCGTGCGCGGTTTTTTGATATAGACTCACCACCATCGAGAGTGCTTTTTCTCCGAATGGGACGTAATTCATTGTAACCCACTCGGCAGATATACCTTTAATTTGGGCAATGTGTTTTGTGGATATTTTACCATACGTGGGAGCCTCGCACGCTAGCTTCGAGAAGCTTAATAACTGAAGGAAGATTAGCACGATCATTGTGCGCAAGTTTTCTGGACCATTTAATGCTTCCTTCTGTAACAATTCCATTGAATGCAGCACTTCATCTTGTAGATGTGTGAGAACTACATCCGGCATTGACGGTAGAATGTACGGTGTTGATTCACCATGAACCGGAACAGCTACCGCGTTTTTCAACACAGTACATAATTTCTGTAAATCTGGGCCAGTAAACTTATTTCTAATATGCTGAAAAACACCTGGGAATATATGCATCAACGCAGTTAAGAATGCTTGTGACGGTACATAAGGTTCGGTGTCACTATCTTGCGGTGGTGCAGTGCTCTCCATCCCAATGTTGAGCCACACACGCCACGTCACCATCCACAAGTTCTCTGAATCGTTCGATTGAATTATCTCGGTATTGTCATTACTCTTTGGCTGAAAGAGAATCTCCTGAAACGATTTCAGCGCTGCTAATGACACTTCGTTATTTTTGCTTAATGCAGAATTTTCGATGAATTCAAGAAGTAATGACCAAGCTCGAGGAAAATCTCCTAACATTTGCAATAATTGACGTTTTGTGTTAAATACTCGAGCTACGCCGCTCAGTGTTAGAACTTGCGTTTCCGCCCACTGTTTTTGCGCTGTATTTCTACTATGATGAATAAGTATGTTCCCGCTTGTGTCGACTTTTTCACTGCTAGCCGAATTTGATAAGCTCCTTACTTTGTCTAATAGTGGGAATAATACTTGCCAAAGCACAGCTTGCCACGTAGGATGATGTAAAAGACTACCGTGCGCAGATATAGTAGAGAATAAAGTCTGGCTTGCTGATTTGCGTACTGCGGGTCGTGAATCTACACATAGATCGCCTAATCTTGCATACAAACACATCCAGAGTTTGTCAAACGATGGCATATTTGTTGTACCAGGAAAATCAGGAAATACCGACGTAGAATCTCCGCGCAAACAAACGCATAATTTTTCTTGATTCTGATAGAAATAATCGCTTATGTTCCACATTAGACCGACAGCTGTAAGTGAAATATTTAATTCTTGTGTTTGCGATCCGAATTTAGCAGCTGTGTCGACACACAGTGGAAGACATCGCCAAGGCATTACAGGTAAAAAATCCGTTACAACCAATTGTAAGCACTGGAAAGCTATACGAACTAAAGCTTCTCCGTGATGATCGGAAACTGCTCCTATAATACCAAGAACTAAAGGCCAGCCGTGGTATAATGTTTCTCCAGCACCATGAAGCACTTGCAAAACGCATTCCAATTGTCGCTGTCTGACATCTCCGTGTCGTACAGATGATAATTCGGACAATGGTCCTAGCAGTAACGTTTGTAGTTTCTGATTATCTCGAAGTGGATAGGGATATTTGTGTTGCAGTGCCATTTTCACAAGATATGTAATCGCTTCTACACCCCATTCTCTCATGCGAATATGTGGGTGTTGACAAACTTCTAATAGGTGATTTGTTAACGGTCTCCAAAGCACTTCTACGCGTGGTAAGTTTACCAAACCAGTTTCCAAAAGTTTAGCAACAGCGAAAAGAGAAGGTTCGCGGTTTGAATACGCCAGTTCCATAGCCTCATGGCTCAGTTTACACAGAGCGTCTATTAAATGATGCAAAGCAACGTCATCGAGATGTTGACTGCTCTCGAATAATCTACTAAGCATGGCGCTAAGAACTGGCAAATCCGCCATAACCGCATTTGTCAAAACTGCGTTAGGATCAGTTGTTGTTCTTCCAGCTTTCAATGATCCCCCGGTAGAAGGTTTTAAACCGAGTATCCAAACGAGATGTTGAAGAGTAGTAAGTACCAAGTGCCACGCGCTACCAAGTATATCACCATGACAATGAGCTAACGATAGTAACGCACGCATACATTGCAAATTTTTTGCAGTCAACATGACGGGACCTTGATGAGCACCTAAATATAATTAATATAATAAAAACCTGACAAAATCAATCTAACAAGAATGATACATAAGATGCTAACTTACCAATTGGTAAGGATGCTGTAGGAAGTGGTGTACCAACGGCAACTACTTGTTGTCTATAATCAGGCTCACCTATTGACAAGTTATACTGAGCAGAATCTTGCTGTCTTACCGTTGGTATGCCTTGAGGTGCGTTATACAGTACAGTCAAAGCATAATGAGGCGGTAATGAAGCTTTACATATTGCGGTGATAAAAGCATCGCGTGGCGCTTGCAGATCCAATTGACCGCATAAAGATGCAAATGTTTGAATTGATTTCAGGACATTTTCCGTCGCCGACTCATCTGTACTAAAATTCACAAACATATTTATGGTTTCAAATGTTTTCAAAAATACAATATCAAACTCTCTCAAAATTATTACCTAGCATCTATTAATGGACTAAGAGCTGCCAATAAACCACACCAGCTGGATGTTATTATTTGTACATGAAGCTTTCGTTCAAATTCGCTCGATTGATACGTCTGATTTTCGTTACAATCATCTTTCGATCCGTTTATAGTTAAGTCGATCGATCTTATGATATCTAGCAGGCATGCATAAGCTATACTGATTCCATAACCTATTGATATTTGCGGCGGTTCGACCTTATCTAACATTTCCAAACTAAAATAAAAATTATGAGTTATTATTCTGATTCTTACAGCTTTTTTTTTTTAAAGAAATTTGACATTAATAACAATATGTCAGCTCTCGTTGTCTTCAATCATATATTTTAATTTAGATTTATTTAATTGATTATTGTCGTTGATTAACGTAACGCTTACTAAGTTGGTTTAGCTTGTCCACTTGTAAATGTTGCTACCACAGGTAACCAAATACCACGTGAGTAAAAACCTGGTTGAGGTGATACACCTGGGCCAATAGGCATTCCTGTAAATAATGGTAAGCCCGTATTTTGAGGCACAGTTGTATTTGCTGTTGCTAAAAAAAAAAAAAAAAAAAAAGTAAGTTATATCAATGTTCAAACTTAACAATTTCGTAACTATCAAATATGTTATCTAATATAGAATTTTACCTGTTTGATTCATCATCTGTGGATTCACAAAGAGACTGTGTACATAAGCACCTAAGCTATTGACAATATCTTGAAAAATATTTGTAGCATGAGGCTTCAAGTCATAGCATTCACAGAAATTTGTTAGCAAGTCTGCCTGTACCGTCATTTTATGTAAAACTTCCAGTGCTAAAGCTCTCTGCCAGGTAGGTTTGTCAGGATCCAAAAACTTCACAATTAAAGACAAGAATATTTCACATTCTGTTATCTAAAATATTAAAATCACATTTAAGAAATTATGCTGCATTACACTTACGTATATTTTTATAAAAATAGTAATACACTTACTAACAACGAATGGTATTTTTGTATCAAAACTGACACAACTCGTAAAAGTCTCATACTAATAGGAAAAGAAGGTTTATCCAAAGGTGTAGCTTGCTGTAAAGATGCTGGCACTAAATTGCGATATTTGATGTTAGGCGAAAACAATTTGATAACAAGTGCACATACTCTCTCTTTTAATAAAAAACTGAATTCTGGATGCTACAAAAAAATTTTACTTTTATATATAAAATATATATTTTTACATATAAATTGTATAATATAAAAAAAACTATTCTAAAGGTGTTAACACAGCAAAAAAAAATACATACACGCACACAGTGCGATCTCCCTTTCCGAGTTTTTCTACTTAGAACTATGAAAACTTTTTTTTTAACTTTTTCCATTTCTATTCAATAGTATATGCACAGAATTAAAATTGCGCATATATAAACAAATCAAGAACACATTAAAATAATATAACTTTATCGGTTCACTAACTGCTCACATGACACTATGTTTTGCTATTCTCACTGTCAGTACTGAAAATTTATAGTACATGTAGTGTGAAGCTATAAATTTGCAATGCTGGCAGTAAATATCGGAATGCAACCATGGTGATACATATAGTCACGAAATAAAAAGAGAAGCTGAAGTAGTACAGAAAAGAGAGAGACAAAAAAAGTTTTACTGTCTGTACGTGTTTGCATTTATTTTAACTTATTTATTTTTATGTATAAATATAGATCTAATACCTTGAAAAAGACTGATGAAAAGTTTGTTAAAACTGATTCCAATAACTCTAAACCAAAAGTTCTAGTCATTTCAGTAATGCCTATTAGCCAGTATGGCTGATCAGCATTTACTAATTGAACTAAATCCTATGAGAGAAAAATTTATTATTTCAATACAAGTAATAAATTGACAATAGAGCCAACGTTGTTATTGATGCGTAAAATTTATCATTTATTAAAAACAAATGTATACTTCGATACTCGGTTTGTATTCTTTTCAATATGTATTTAAAATACATATTAAAAATGGAAGTTACTTAATGTTGTTAAATTAACGCAAACGATCAATAAATAAGAAAGTATATTAGAGCCCAACGATAGCTGTGTATTTTTGTTCTTTACAGTTTTACGACTTTTAAGTCGAATATACTACCCGAAAAAATACACAACTATCATCAAGCTTTGATATTCTCTTACTTATTGTTTGCGTAATTTGACAACATTAATAGCCAAACGACTCTCAGTTTTGTTTTTTTAATTATATTGAGAAGAATATAAACCAAGTGTCAAAAAGTTCATATTTGTTTTTACTAAATAAGTAAATAAATATATGTAATAAAAATGACAAATAAATGATAAATTTATTAATGATTATACTTTTTATATGCACCAACTGCGTTGACTTTATTGCTCTAATTTATTACTTGTATTTAATTTATATAATTCTAAGTCATTATGAATATTTTAATTTGTACTATAATTTATATAATTAAATTAAAAATAATAGCAACAGATTTATAAAGTTACCTGAAACATCAAATATGCATCTGCAGTACAAGGACCAAGACCTTTAGGTGCTTGATTTGTTGGAATTTTTAATTCTTCTAAATTAACTTCAGTGTCTTGTTGATCAGGATTCTGTTCATCCTCAGCAATTACTCTTTCAAACACCAAAGATACTAGTTGTCTTACAGTAGCACCAGCAGTATTTATTGTTGTACAGTCTTTTGTAAAGTGTAGCCGGAAACATAGTACTAAATTCTGCAAAAATATAAATTTAAATTACATGTTATAAGCATTTTAATTTTTGTAATTCAGAAAAAGCACAAATATTTAGAAAAGATAGACATCTCACTCTTGCAAGAGTATCTCCATGTACTACAGTATTACTTGTAAGTAAAAGAGTTACAGTCTGTAAAACTTTAACTTCTTCTATACCCGATTCCATCAGCAACCACAAGGTGTCTGTAATGTATCTGGCACCTTTTTGATCTACTGCTTGCTGTGTTATTATCCTCTGCATCATACCTAAGCAAAACTAGAAAATCACAAAATACTTGTAACACATGTTGCACATGTGATAGATAAATCTGTAATTAGATAAGCATAGAATTTGAATACCTTGATAATTTTTATGTCCTTACTTTCACAACCTTGAACCAAAGGATAAAGTATTTGATTTACAATGTAATATATTGGTGTGCCTGGATTATTGGATGCTGTCCTCAATTTTGCAATTCCTTCTTCACATGACTATAATAAACATGCAACAAATATATGTTATATGTATGTTATTAAGGATTGAAACTTAACTTCTTTGTCAAGTTATTTTAAGTGAATAATGGTGAAAAAATTAAATGTTGTACACAGTACATTTGTTTTTTGCACAAGAGTTCTTGTGATTTCTACTACTACCACTACTTTATGTTTATTTTGATGATTTTTAATATATACAGAATCTTAAATTTAAAATAAAAAACTTGTTTTTAATTTGTCATACACAATATATTAAGTGTATACACAAGTTGAGTAAAAGTTGTGTTTTGTAAGTTTAATGGTCAATTTTTAAATATAAATCTCAGTTTGGAGAATTTCAATTGATACACTCTTGAAATGAAATTCAAGCAACAACTATATAAATATGAATTTAATTGTTAGTTTAGTTATATATACGTACTTCTTTGATTTGAGGATACTTCTTTTTAGTCTCAGAAGCGAGTACTTTGAGGTCTGATTGAAGAGTTTCCAAGAACTTGATGATGTACTCCGGACTGCTGCCAACTGCGGGATTCGCTATCGCTGACATCGCTAATACTTTTGTATACTTTTTCTTAGATCGACCCGATTTTCAAGATCGTACGCATGATGTCTAACTGTAAAGTTAAGATGCTAAGCGCCGCGACGCTTGCTTGTCGGGCAATCGTTGACAATGACAGCGAACAATTGACAACGATTCATTGGAATCACCTTTTTCGAAGTGCCACGTTCACATATGTAACAAAATAGGTTACAACAGATGCTCATAAAACGTAGCGCCGTTATCGCGAACTGTCCTATTGTATTTACTTACACGCAATAATGTGTTGTTTTGAACGTAGTGATTGTACAGTCCTTACTTGTCTCTCTTAATTGCAATTACATCAAATACGACTTGACACGCAACCTAGTTGGTTTGTGTTGCATTTCTGATTATTTTAAAGATCTTTCTACATTAGTCGTAAAGAAGCAAACGCAAGTGACAGATCTCGCGGAAATGGACCAATCACGTTGGCTGAGTTGATCAATGGGATTAGTCAATTCCGTGAGACCTGCGACTTGCGTTTCCATCTTACAACTACTGTAAAACGACTTTAATTGATATTAAGGTCGCGTTCAGCATAACAACTTCTGAGTTTGTCGTTCTGTCAATACTTGGGCTGTGTCCAGTTAACCAAGAAGGAACGAACGAACGCAGGAAATGCAGGAAATACAGGAATTGAAATGCAGAAATAGCAGAAATTGAAAGAAGTCGAGAAAGTGCAAAAGAAGAAATGAGAAGGTGGCTCCCCGATCTGTTAAGGGTCGTCTACAACTCTCCATTGTAGACGGCTCTTTACAGCTTTATGTAAAACAGGCTTAAAATAAAAATTGCAACTTCATACATATAAAGATACTTATGCCGCCGATTGTGTTCCAACAGCGATAAAATAAGATAATCGCAATCATGTCGTAATCAAATTTCAAAAGTCATCACACATTCGAGAACCAATGGGGAGAAGAGAGCGAGAGCATATTTACATTTTATTATGTTGATTTTCCGGTAAAAATATTAAAGATAGGAGCTGATAACACCGTGACGAAATGTAACATATTAACACAGTTTCTGCTACTCAGACATCAGTTAAAGTTGCGTATTTCGCCTATCAACTTTGATACGAGAGAAGAATTTCTTAATGCGATTAAAATCAACTCTCATCGATTTACTTATATACAGATTTGTATGGTGCAAATTCCAAAGTTTACATACACTATATATACATATAGAATATATAGAAGTTTACTTGAGATATAACTTTGGTAATTTTATCGAGATATCTCTTGCAAATGGCTATCGTCGCTGTATATAAATTATCATAATTGGTGCCGTGAAATAAAAGAAAAACAACAAAACGAAATATTAAAGAATACATAAATAAAGAGGTAGCGGTGACGTATGCGTACTGAAGGTTGCCATGTTTAAAACCTACCGTGCTTTTCAGTCATACCCGCATTTTATAAAAACTGTACAGTTATGCTGTTCAATACAGTCAGTTAGTTACGGTGTTCCGTTGTTGTCGCAATCGTCGTTTGCACAGAGATTCGATCGTTGCTATCACTATTTGCAACACAATTCGTCGTCGGTAGAATCACTCGTGAAAATTTTTGGTGCCTCATATACTACAATGACAAAAATAAAGGTAGGTTTATTATCATGCAGTTGATATCACTCTGATCTAATCAAAAGTAATTAAATAGAATTATATAAAAACAAAACTAATTAAGATCAGCACAATGACTTTCCAATAACGACATGAGAAAGTGAACTTTGTCCTCTGTAGGGACTTTAAGTTTTCAAAACTTTTTTTATTTTCCTTATTAATTTGATTTCAAAAAATATATCAACATATTATTTGTTTCAAATATGTTTTACAATGTTTCATGAAATATCTTTTTTATTTGTAATATTAAGTTGATTTTAAAGTTATAACACACATATATGTTTTTTTTCTTTTTTTAAATCATTTAATGTAATGTTTTTTTAAATATATATTATGGTATAATATATTTGTGTAGGTTGGTCCAGTTGTTGACATCCTTGGAGATGAGATGACACGTATCATATGGGATTCAATCAAAGAAAAACTCATTTTACCTTATTTAGACATTGAATTACATACTTATGATTTAGGTATTGAAAATCGTGATGCTACAAATGATCAGGTAACAATAGACTGTGCAGAAGCAATCAAACGTTACAATGTTGGTGTCAAATGCGCTACTATTACACCTGATGAGAAACGTGTAGAAGAGTTTAAACTGAAGCAGATGTGGAAGAGTCCTAATGGAACTATCAGAAACATCTTAGGTGGTACAGTATTCCGCGAAGCAATCATCTGTAAAAATATACCACGTTTGGTGGTGGGCTGGAAAGAGCCAATCATCATTGGTAGACATGCGCATGCTGATCAGTATAAAGCCACAGATTTTGTGGTACCTGGACCAGGTAAACTGGAGATCACATGGACAGGTATTTCTGGTGAGAAAATCGAACACACTGTTCATAATTTTAAAGGTCCGGGTATAGCTCAAGCTCAATATAATACCGACGAGAGCATACGCGCATTTGCTCATAGCTCATTTCAGTATGCACTATCGCGCAATTATCCACTTTATTTGTCTACAAAAAATACAATTCTCAAGAAGTACGACGGTCGCTTCAAGGACATATTCCAGGAAATATACGAAAAAGAATACAAACAACAGTTTGAGGCAAAGAATGTATGGTACGAACATCGACTGATCGATGATATGGTGGCATACGCTATGAAGTCCGAAGGTGGCTTTGTATGGTCGTGTAAAAACTATGACGGCGATGTACAGTCGGATTCAGTCGCACAGGGCTATGGTTCCTTGGGCATGATGACTTCGGTTCTTTTATGTCCGGATGGTCGCACGATCGAAGCTGAGGCTGCTCATGGTACTGTTACTCGCCACTACCGTCAGTATCAACAAGGCAAGGAAACATCTACTAACCCGATTGCATCTATTTTTGCATGGACCCGCGGATTGTTACATCGCGCCAAACTTGACAACAATGTTTCTCTACAACACTTCGCCAAAACTCTGGAGAAAGTTTGCATAGATACCATTGAATCCGGTTATTTCACGAAAGATCTCGCCATATGCATTAAGGGCATGAATAACATCACTAGAAGTGATTATCTGGAAACGTTCGAATTTATGAACAAGCTGGCTGACAACTTAAAGAAGCAGCTCAATGCGTGACTCATTAAGTGCAATGTAAAACCTATGAGCCTGCGAGCCAAATATTAAGAGTCCTTTTTTTTTATATAAATTTATATATTTTAATAACAACACAAATAAATATGGTTGCGGTAAAAGAAAGTTTATATATTTTGCATTTTTTTCATCATTGACTGAAGTTCATTATTTTTTAAGTGTATAATTACACTTCGCTTATTTCGTTTCTTATTCTTAGAATCTATACATTGCTATATATGAAAAGAATAATCTACTTGGTCTATCTAATAGTTAATATAATAATATTGAAAAACTGTACACATATTTTTTAATAAATATGTTACACTCAAAAGAATGTTACACAACACCAAGTTTTACTTTCTTACCAAAATTAAGAAAATATTTTTTTAACAGAAATTTGTTTAACTTTTGTATATTATTTTAAAATTAATATAAATATATTCTCACAAGCTAATAAGTCATGCCCAAATAGAATTATTATAATTTTATATCGTTTGGTATATCATTTTAATATCTTCAAAAATAGCATCGCGCGATCTGTTGCGTTATAGTTACGTAATCGATAACACCGATTTGAGATTATATACATTCTTATACTTTTACGCATAAATTTATCTTGTGTAACAAGCAAAGATACTAAAGCTCCTATAGTTCTATATAGTACACGTAACATAAACTGTAGAAATATCATTGTCTTCGATTGTAACTTAATCGGACGATTATTCCACTGAAATTGACAAATCGCATTGTTAGAAACGTTGACAGTTAAGTATGTATATATATGTGTATATTAGAACGTAGGCATAATTTTTTCGCAATATAGTGTTGATGCTGATATAATAGTATTAGATAAATTCATTAGTTTAAAGCTAGTAATCTAAAGAAAAGAATAGAAAAGTACAAGAAAGAGAGAAAAAGGAGACAGACAAAAACAAATAGAAATAATAGATATTAGTGACGGAGCGCGAGGAGGAAGAAAGTAGCGCTGGAACGACGATCTCATGTGTTGCGGTCGATATTTTCAAACATTGATATAACAGTATACATGGATCCTCAAAAGATCTTTTTATAGTTTAAGTATCCAAACGCCGCTCATTGCAAATGACACGGCAGTAATTATCAAACAACGTTATCGCTACTATGATGATGCACGGTAGCAAGATAACCTGCTTGAGAGACTTAGCACTACAATTAATGGCGCAGGTGGACGAAGGTTTGTTTTCATTAAATGATCGACTAAAGATTTTCATGTATATTTTATCAGTATATATATATTTTATCAATTTGCTCGTAATATCATCAGGATAGACGCAGACAATATATAGGCCAATATTTCATAGTCGAATCTTACATTTAAGATCGTTCATTTCAAGATGCTTCCATCTTTAGATGTTCTGTAGCCAATAGAATGACTCGTGCAACATTTTTAAGATAAACTTAAGACGGTCTTAAATATACGATCGGACTATGAATACCATTGAAATAAATCCCGATAAAAAATTTTTCATATATACTTGTACACAAATTAAAATTATTATATCTAATTATGCAAATTTATATGTGTGTGTGCCAAATATGTCAATACAATTTTATACATGGAAAATTTTTTACCGGGATAGAAAGTGACTTGTAAGAAATCTGACATTTTAAAGACCCACACGAGATGGCCGTCTCCTTTACATATTTATTTTTTAAACTTGACATATAATATATGATTTATATTAAGTGCTTAATTAATGTACCTTATTGTGATGAAAAATTTAATTTAATTGTATTTTTATTTACATACTTTATATTTCATTTATCGACTTCAAAAGGAGGTAAAACCTATGGTAGGACAAAACAAAAAAAGATTGAACAATTAATGAGGAGAAAAGAGAAGTGGAAGAAAGAGAAATAAAAAAAGTAAGAAAGAGTAAGAGAGGAGATATCTATAATATTTGAGCAAGAATGACTGAGTCAACTAAAATATATGAAGCGTATTGCTCGAACCGTTCAACTAAAATTAAGAAAAGAGTGAAATATATACACCTCTTATTTCATTATATCAAAAAGTTGTCTTGATTTCTCACGATTGGACAATAAAGACATTCATTTATGAATGGAATAAATTGTATATTGTTCATATCGTTACCAATACAATATTTTTAATTAAAAAAGAAAGTATAAGTAGTAGTTGTACTTGCTTTAGCATTGGCAAAAATCAAGCGAGCAAATGAAAAATCATATTTAAATTAAGAGAAAGAAAGAGAGAGAGAGAGAGAGAAACATGTAAAACTTTGCATTATTTTCTATTATTTTCCGTCACTATTGTCTTGTGTGCAAAACTTTTTCGAGCTGCACATAAAATAAAATACAGAAAGAGATGATGTAATCAAAACGAACACACTTTGTGCCATTTTACAAATCAATCGGAGTTACATAAAAATTCCTAGAAATTGCAAGAAGTTACATGAGATCGGCTGGAATACAATATCTTGCGCGTAAACTCGCGAATATGATATGAACGCAACTCTATATTTTTGCGACATGGTTTTGCACTACATACATCGACATCAGGCACAAGTAACGATCTAACGCATGTTCTCGGAAGAAAGTAACGATCGAACGCTTTACATGTACGTATCCAGATACACAATATCCGGTCGTTGCGATTAAAGAGAAGGAAGAGAAGAAGGAGGAGAAAAAGGAAGAGAAGGAGAAACTTGCGCAAGACAGGAAACGGAGGGAAACGCAGATTAGTATTTTATAGTAAAATTTTCCGCAAATTTTTACATATGTATATATTTCTAGTACACATCCGAAAGAATAGTCTTATGTAAAGACAAAACCTATATGGCAAAAAAAGAATATGGCGGTTTATTACCGCGACTGTTGTAGGCGCTTGTAGATCGCTTCCATTGGGAGTAGGCGCAAATACGTTCGCACGGCATGCACGCACGCACGCACATTTATATACGAACGCGCACATCCGCTCAGACTCGGTATTTCCGTAACGTAAACCGGAATTTGTTAAGGCCACGCAGTCAACACGCTGTAACACGGGGACACGTCAAAGAGAAGAGGTGTTGTTGCGATTTCATTACGATGACAGCAACCCACCGATTGTTGGACCACGCGCGCTCTGATAAAAGTTTTTAATTGTCGCTAGTAAGAATCAAGTAGAACGGATGGAGAGACGTCGTTGTATTCTCGTATTATCGTAAACCACAGCGGCGCGACAACGAGTGTTAAACATAATCGTAATTTTTAATTTCATCAGCGCAAAGAGAATGAACGGAAACATAGATTGCTGATAAATAATTGTTCCTGCGGTGCGCCATGTTCTCCGCGGCGAGCAAGGGCGAGCGAAGAAATCTGCGCGGAAGCGCGCGATTTTCGTCCAAGATGTCGGGAAGACTGTCTCGGCTACGTGCATTGCGACCACGATCGCAGCAGCAACGTGTGAGGACGGCCGTTATTGCAGATGCGACGCGCAAGCTAGAAGCTAACCTTAAAGAGATGACAACGAGTCACGAAGAGGAGAACACAGTGGCGAAGAAATGCGATCTAAAAAGAACGGAGAAGGGCGCGGACATTGCGAACACAGTGAGCGAGATGGATGACAATGACGACGACGATGAGCTGACGATGATCACTACCGAGAAGAATGAAGAGGCGGTACGGGACGACGACATCGCGATCAACTCAGAGGAAACGACCAATTTTGAGACGAGTCAGCAAGATTCTTACGAGTGCAAGAGTTGCAAGCCTTCAAAAACGCTGCCCAATATGACGGCCTACCTCGAGCATCTCCAAAAAGAGCACAAAGTAAGCGCCGTAAGCGCAGTTTTCTTTTTCTTTCTTTTTTCCATTCAGGTTTACCCTCGAATTTGTTATGCTCTGTTTTGCGCTCTGGTGTTCGTTTCCTTTTACTTTCTTCTATTATTAGTGCTGCTTGCGAAATGAAAGATTGAAAGTTAAAACAAAGATTTTGCTTTAGAAACAAAAAGTGACGTTACATACACGTTTAAACATTTATATGTACGTTACAAAAAAAAAAAAAAAAAAAAGAAAAAAAGAAAAGAAAA